ATAACAGCGGAGAGTCCTGGTTATGGTACTATATCATTATTGAAGGCTTAGTAAACTTGGGCTTGTATGTCGATATTTCGAAAACATCATTGAACGACACTCTTGAGCACTATGGGAAGACACCATCTGATATCCGATTTCAACAAGACAGAGCAACACCGCATACATCGGGCATTACTAAACAATGGTTCACCGACAATGGGTTTAACATAGACGAAATCATGGATTGGCCACCCCAAAGTCCCAATCTTAATCCCATTGAACATGTCTGGCATCTCCTAAAGCTTCGTCTTAATAAGTGTTTCACTAGGCCCTCAACAAAAGAAGAATTAGAGCGGCGTATTAACATTCAGTGGTAAAAAATAACAGAAAAAGAGTGCCAGAAATATATTGATAGTATGCCTGCCCGAATCAAGGCTGTCATCAAGAGCAAAGGTGGTTCAACTCACTATTAATGATTTTATAATAAAATGTACATGTTTCTATATTTATTTTTTAACCAATAAAATCATTGGATTTTAGTTTTTGAAAAAGTTATAATTATGTATAGATAGCACTACTTTCTCTCATTCAAACGATATATATTTCGACTTTGTATACAAAGAAATGACCAAAAACTTGTGCAAAAAGACAAAATTTTAAACGAACGGGACAGTTTTTCCCCCTACAGTATTAGTTACACTCTAAGTTATTTGTTAACTCCTACCATTGGATTTATCTATCAAGACGACATGTATTAGGAAGCGTAGGGTGATCATCACAACTTATATAGTCGAATATCAATAAATGGATTAAAGAAGTCGATGTTGCATACAAGCATGCATCTTAGGCTACATTCACTTTCTCCTCAAGCCACCTTTTACAGTGTAGCAGCATAGATGATGTTTGTCGTATCACATCACATCTATGTTTACAAGTCCAGTCAATTGTGTGTGCACAGGTGCCTCAGGAACTACAATACATTCAATCTCCCCAATGTCAAGATATCGAGATCCACCTACACTACATGAAACATATCGACTTAGGTGGCCTCTCAACAAGCTATACCAACAATCCATAAGGCCCCAGTGGCCTGCTATTTATATACCATCTCAACGTAGTAGTCATTGACCAGGGATCTACCATATTTAAGCAAGTTAGATGCCCTGTAATAAAGAAGCTCTTTGCTTTCGTTTTAGATACAGTTGACAACTGATTATTATCATCGACTTATTATTACGAATTCATCAGTCGACAGGAGACAAAATTTGGCCAATCTTGAACAGAAGAAAAACAAACTGAGCTTGAATTATTTTTGCTGGTGGTGTTGCTGATGATAACAATGATGGTTGCGATGCTGATCAAATGGGGATCATGGAGTTGAAAGGGCAATTGCTTAGCGTCATAATCATCATTGTTATCATCAGAAAAGCATTTGGGTTATCTAGCAGCAGCGCCGCCCCTCAAAACGTGTCCAAATTTCTATTCAAAGGACTCCCAAGTGAAGCCTATAATTCTACGCCACTCGGAAATTTTGCAGTGTAGTGCTGTTAGTAACATCATAATAGTGTTTCGGAATGTGACTCTGAAACGCGTTGTATTTTTATGCATAATCACACTGGTCTTTTGGTTTTTCTCCCCCTTTCTGTATGCTTTTTTGGTTTTCTTCTCTGTCTGGTCTTGGCCTCTTTCTATCTGGTCCTTTGGCGGTATCAAGTGGTGCCTTTATATCCTTGGCCGGCTTGCCACTGGTCTTGGTTCTGAAAAGATGCTGCTTTTTACGAAGAGATTGGGTTGCTTTGCCTTCTCATACAGATCTATCTTGGCAATCATTCGATGATGGAGTATTAGCCTGAACTCTCCCCAAACCGGATTTAGCCACAAATGCGTCCATTTATATACTACGGAATACATGCCATCTCCTAGTAACTTTCGTGTTGCTATGTACGCTATCCGTATTGGTTCTTTACGAGAATAGGGTAGTTGGTAGGGTGACGGCCTACCAAGCTGTTGATCTCGCGTATACATGTTACATCATGTGCTCTTTTGCATGTGGTCTATATCATGTAATTGAAGAGTAGGTAGTTGGTGGGGTAACGGCTCACCAAGCTGATAATCTTCGTGTGCTATCTGCCCAAAGTAAGGAAAAGTTCCTCTTGTTTTGGCTGCCGCAAGAGACGACTATACGCTATGCGTGAGGATAAGGGTAGTGAAGGGTCCTAAAAAAAACTCCTGTGTATGAAAGCAATCAAACCTAGGGAATGCAATCCTCAAGGGAACTGTTCTGTATGGCTGCTTTGATATTCTTTCTGGAGGTGAAATCGAGTCAAAGCGGCCATATGCAGTCATATACAAACTGGTACGTATCTTTTATGAATGCAAAAGGTTCCTTTTACTAATATTGTTTCTCTGCTTAAAACTGCTTTACGCCCTAAATTTATTGATGGGCGTGGGTGATTAGGGGGGCATCGTTTGTGTGCGCCGCGGTCAACCCTCCTTTCACTCACTCGGTTGTAAATAGTCGGGCTATCGATACCTACTCTGGCCTGGCGACCCTCTCTGGTGAACTGCTATCACTGCTATTGGAGTGATAGTAGTTTCTCTCCTTTGGTCTTGGTTTATCTTCTTGTTTTTTATAATAAAAATAAAGCCATATTCTTCTTTATTTTTCAATGCAACCTCCATACTCCAAAATCATATAACAGGCTCAAATAAAAATAGTGTCGTCGTGGCCAACCAGATGCATATTAAAAAGTCTTTGTTTGCATTTACAAGCATAATCATGAGATTCTGACTGATGAGGAAGGATAATAGACCTGAAATTTTATCAACAAGGATGTCCGTATTCGATTGAACCCTCAAATGAGATTGGAGCTAATTGTTCGCGAAAATACGCGCACTCAAAACTTGCCAACTGTCAACGAGATTGCAGCCATCATTCCTAGCGAATATCATGATACAGGTTATAAAGATGCCAAAAATCATTCAACCTCAGTTTGTTTTTCTTCTGTTCAAGATTGGTCAAATTTTGTCTCCTCTCGACTTCTTTAATCCATTTATTGATATTCGACTATATAAGTTGTGATGATCACCCTACGCTTCCTAATACATGTCGTCTTAATAAATAAATTCAATGGTTGGAGTTAACAAATAACTTAGAGTGTAACTATAAGGTTGAGATTATGTTCTACTGTAGGGGGAAAAACTGTCCCGTTCGTTCAAATAATCTTGACTTTTACCCAGTATATTGCCAAAACTCAGAAAACAAAGCTGCCCCATACTGCGTTCGATAGAACAGCTTATAAAGATTACAGCAACAAAAAAACCTTATGGCTGGACTATTTTTTAATTCCAGTATAACCAGCTAAAGTGAGACGTAGCAAAAATATTAGGTGGGTAATTCTAGATGATATAAAGTGGTTGATATCTTTACTTCCAATAAACGTATCGAAGAAATCTAAAAAACTACCCGCGGTATGCTCAGGATATTTAATATCCCAGGAGCATTCTAAAAGTATAAAAGAAGCTAGTTTTTTCATATTTCTTTCTTTATTTCTTTGCTTTCTTATTTTTTTTCAAAACTTTCATTATGCCTGCTCGTTTAACACAAGATTTGCGCAACACTCTTCAATCTTTGCTCCAACGTGGTCTTTCGTTCTCAAAGATAAGAAATTTGTATCCAGGAGTGGGTAACTCTACTCTTACAAGGCTCAGAAAACTATATTGCCCTGACCCAACTAGACCTCTTGGCGGAAGACCGAAAAAACATGGTGCTAAAACTATGTCCCTAGTGTCAAGAGGACTTCGATCAGGTGCTTTAGGTAATCCCCGAGCAGCACAAGAAGTTTTAAGATCGATGGGCCATGATATATCAATTAATGGCATCCGCAAGTCATTGAGACGAAATGGACTTAAATCTCGTAGAAAAGTAAAGACCAATTTTGTTAGCAAGACAAACAAGCGGCTTCGATTGGCGTGGGCTAAAAAGCATAGGCATCTTACTATTGCTGATTGGCGTCGTTGGGTGTCTTCGGATGAAACAAGAATAAACCTTTGGGGCTCAGATGGTAATTCTTTTTACTGGACGAATGGTGGCCGAATCATGCAGTCGTATCAAGTCAAGTCTCAGTTGCAGGGAAATGACGGTGGGGTCATGTTCTGGAGTTGTATAACAGCGGAGGGGTCTGGTTATGGTACTACCATTATTGAAGACGCAATAAACTCGGGCTTGTATGTCGATATTTCGAAGACATCATTGAACGACACTCTTGAGCACTTTGGGAAGACACCATCTGATGTGCGATTTCAACAAGACAGAGCAACACCGCATACATCGGGCATTACTAAACAATAGTTCACCGACAATGGGTTTAACATAGACGAAATCATGGATTGGCCACCCCAAAGTCCCGATCTTAATCCCATTGAACATGTCTGGCATCTCCTAAAGCTTCGACTTAATAAGTATCCCACTAGGCCCTCTACAAAAGAAGAATTAGAGCGGCGTATTAACATTCAGTGGTAAAAAATAACAGAAAAAGAGTGCCAGAAATATATTGATAGTATGCCTGCCCGAATCAAGGCTGTCATCAAGAGCAAAGGTGGTTCAACTCACTATTAATGATTTTATAATAAAATGTACATTTTTCTATATTTATTTTTTAACCAATAAAATCATTGGATTTTAGTTTTTGAAAAAGTTATAATTATGTATAGATAGCACTACTTTCTCTCATTCAAACGATATATATTTCGACTTTGTATACAAAGAAATGACCAAAAACTTGTGCAAAAAGACAAAATTTTAAACGAACGGGACAGTTTTTCCCCCTACAGTAAGACGCTGTTTATTGAATGCATTTACAACTTATATTTATACTATTTCTACGATCGATAATTACTTAATCAATGGAACTTTCGAGTAGATATAGTGCTTGATATAGCAACTGATAATTATATCATTGCCTGCTATCAGTTTCCAGAACCTTCGAGTATACGCTGGCGCCTTTTAGTCGCTTTCTTCAAATTTGGTTTAAACCTAAATTTAGGCACGACATCATTCCCCCCCCCCCCCGAGATTGTTGATCGACAGAGCCAGAAGTACCAGAGAAACTAGAAGTACCAGATACAGCCTGATTACTAGAGTTGAGACCCATTTCTTCACGCCAAGCAGCACGAGACACAGTGGGATTGTACCAAGGAGTATCAATGGATTCAGCCTTAACACCTTTTAAGCGATCAACATGCACCCAAGAAGAGTAAGGTTCGCCACCAACAGTTTCCAATCTGTAAACATGCGTTTCCGAGTTTTTACCAATGACGATAAAAGGACCAATCCAGTTGTACTCGAGACCATACTTCTGTTCGTTTCTAAGCAGGACATGATTACCGATTTCGAATTCAAGTTTCTCAACTGCAGCATCCCAACGTTTTTTGTCCGATTCTGAAACCGTCTTCATACGATGAGCAGCGGCAGCGCGAACTTGACCAAGATCTTCCAATGCACGAGCAGTATGTTCCGCGATAGTTCTAGGATCATTTGACGTTGACTTATCAAAGTAAGGACGAATATAATCGCCAGGCAGTAGCGGCTCACGACCATAGACCAAGTAAAAAGGAGAGTAACCAGTAGAACGGTGATGACGAACCCGGGCAGCGAAAAGAGCAGTGTCAACAAATTTATCCCATATGTGAATAGCGCCATTTACGTATTTTTTGAGCATAGCCTTGAGAATACCATTGAGACGTTCGCATTTACCGTTGGTTCGAGGATGAAAAGCAGAGGTAAACTTGTGATTAGTCTTAACCCGGTTCATATAGAGCTTCACCACATTGGACATGAAATTGGCACCACGATCTGTTAAAATTTCTTGGGGGCAACCAAAACGCATTACGATTTCCTCATAAATGAAATCAGCAACGGCTTCCGCTGTAGCTTCCGGTACGGCACGAGCAATAGGCCAGTTGGTAGTGTAGTCAACCGCAGTTAAGAGCCATTTGTTACCTTGTGGAGTTAAAGGCAATTCACCGACAAAATCCAAATGCCAGCGACCAAAAGCAGGAGGTATATCCAAAGAGACCATTGGGGCATGACGTTTGTTTTTACCAGAACTAGAAGCTAACTGACATTCCTTACAAGTTGTTAGCCAGCTTTGAATATCGGCTCGCATATTGGGCCATCACCAACGCTTTCGCATAAGCTCAAAGACAGTACCTTGACCAGCGTGACCAAAACCTTCATGGAATCTGTTGACCAGAGTAGCACGATTGGAAAAAGGACAGAACCTTGCTTCAAACTCTCGCTCACCAATTTTTACCTTGCGATAGACCTTTTCATTCTTGAGAATAAACCGGTTAGCATTGGACTTGAGTAAAGGTTTCACCGAACCAGGAACTAACTCTTGCTTGGTTAGATAGAAGGTAGGCCAATCCGAAGGATGTACCATGATATTTGACTCAACAGAGTACAAATAACAAGGCTCCATACTAGTTTCAGCAGCTACACAGCTAGCACCATCACGACGAGATAAAGCGTCCGGGACTTGATTGATTTTGCCAGGTTTGTACAGTATTTTAGGATCGTAAGTCTCGATTTCAGACAACCAACGAACCAAACGAGCTGTGGGTTTAGATTGTGACCTTAGATATTGCAAAGGGTTGTGATCCGTATACACCACATAGTCTGCACCGTCAATGAAGCATCTCCATACCCGCAAAGCATGCAAAACACCAAGTAATTCCCTCTCTTGAGCAGGGTAATTACGTTCAGCCATAGAGAATTTCTTAGATTCAAATGCCAAAGGATGTAGAACGCCTTGATCATCTTTTTGCAAGAGCACCGCACCGCAACCAAAGTCAGAGCTATCTGTCTCAATGATATATGGTTTGCTCACATCAGGAGGCTGGAGACAAGGGGCATGTGTTAATAAGGATTTCAATTGATCAAAAGCTTTTTGACACTCTTGGCTCCAGATAATGCCGCGACGTTTAGGACCAGTACCCTTAGTGAGTTCAGTTAAAGGAGCAGCTACAGACGAGAATTGTCGAATAAACCTTCGGTAGTGAGAAGCCAAACCAACAAATTGACGGACCTCTTGCACATTAGTAGGAACTGGCCAATTCTTAATAGCTTTGATCTTGGAATCAGAGGGTAGGATACCATCCGCCGAGACTTTCATGCCTAGAAATTCCACTTCACGCTGATTGAACTTACATTTCTTCGGGTTGGCATATAACTTGAACTGCCTAAACCTTTCCAGAACTAGACGAATGTGTTCCAGATGCGATTCAGCCGTTGGAGAGTACACCAAAATGTCGTCTAAGTAGAGCTGGACGAATCGATCAATGTAGCCAGAAAGACACTTGTTCATCATATTTTGAAACACCGACGGAGAATTTCGGAGTCCGAAAGGAAGCACAAGCCATTCAAAAGCACCATAGCGTGTAACAAAACAAGTTTTAGGGACATCTGCGCTAGATAGCCTAATTTAGTGGTAGCCGCTCGTCAGATCGATTTGCGCAAAGTATTTAGCCCCGCCGAGGCGTTCCAAACACTCATCTATACGAGGTAAGGGGGTGTTGAGCTTTTTAGTGCATAAAGAATTGATAATTCTGAAATCAATGCACATTCGAAGCTCGCCAGACTTTTTACGCACAAACAGAACAGGAGCACCCCAAGGAGACGAACTAGGTTGGATGAAGCCTTTGTCCAACAATTCCTTTAGTTGACGTTGTAGTTCATCCAATTCTAAAGGACTCATCTTGAAAGGATGTTTGCATACAGGTTCAGCATCACCAGTCTCGATAACATGTTCGATACCACGATCAGGAGGTAAACCAGGAGGTAGTTTTTCCGTGAAAACATCCTTGTACTCATCCAACAGTTTAGAGATATCCTTTCCGAGATTATCACTAGTATCCACCATGTTGTGCCAGTCACCAGACTCTTTGACATGTACCAAAAACAATTCATCAATCTTGTTTTTTCGCAGAGAGCGCTGCATTTGTCTTTTGGCCATGACATACACCAAATCTTGAGCATTAGATACCAGATTTACCGGAGACAAGACAGCCATACCAATACCATGAGGGCCAGGAATAGACCAAGAGTTATTAGACCAATTGGGAACAGGTTTATACTGTTTGAACCATTGCTGACCAAGAATAAGATCAAATTTAGTATCAAACACATAAGCCTGTATACGTTGACCAACACCATTAGCCGAGACCGAAAATTCCACCTTTTCCTTGATAACAGATACTTGTCCATTAGCCGTTTCCACTTCGTGTTTAGAATGTAATGGTGTGATCTTCATTGTTGTAGGATTAACTAATGTAGGACTAATGTAGTTTGAGCTAGCACCAGTATCCAACAGTACCTTGATAGGCTTGAGGCAATCACGAGTTCCATCATTGGAATAGAGATCAAAAGAGTACAATGGCAAATCAGTAGTAGTTTTATTGTTCTTTTCCAAATTAAACAAATAATTGCTGTCAGCCTTTAGATCATCCACTTCGTGATCGCTATCGAGATCTAACAGATCAACACCATTACCACCAGTCTTGGGAACAGTATCTCCTACTTTGATACTGTTGAGGGATCTTCTATTAGAGCGTGCCTGATCTCCCCCCTCGTCAGACACGCTTACTCTTTTAAATGCTTATTAAAAGAGCCACCAAATCGTTTTCCACCACCACGACCATTAGTACGAGGGCTGGGGCACTCACCTTGCATGTGTCCCCAACCTTGACAATTGTAACATTTAATGTTGGTATTGTTTCTGGGTTTGTTACCAGCATTAAAGTTACGTCGACCGCCAGGAACACCATTAATAGCATTGACTAGTTCACGGATTGCATCCAAATCCATCGATTCATACTGAGGTTGCGGTACATTCGGCCTAATAGGTTGAACTACCTCGTCTTCACCAGCACCTTCGATGGCAAGAGCCAAACGCTGAGCTTCCTCCATCGATTTGGGAAAATGAGATCGCACAGCATGACGAAGAGGTTGTTTTAGTCCTCTCACAAACTTGTCTTGAGCTACACCAGGCGTCATATCCGGGATCTGTAATAGTAGACGTCTGAATGCGTTGATATAACTCGTAACATTCGAGACTTGGACCAGATTAGCCATACCATCGCGCGCCTTGGCAATGGCATCGATTGGTATGAATTCATTACGCAATGCCGTCTTGAACGTTTCCCAATCTTGTGGTGTATGCTCACTATCAAAGGCACTCATCTGTGAGTACCACAATTGAGCATCATTTCGCAACAGAGAAAGTCCAACCAAAAGCTTTTCTTGGGTGTTTTCAATCTTTACCAAGGAGAAATACAACTCCAAAGAGTAAATCCATGCGTTTAGAACAATAGCGTCTCTTTCACCATTAAAAACATCGGGTTCACGGACCTTGCGAACGTAACCAGAGTTGTTACCAACAATATTTGCACTTGACATAGTAATATCTTCGTTCATAGACTTGTAGAGAACCAGAGAAAATCAGAGAAACTTGTAGAGAAACCAATAACGAACGTCAAGAGAACCTTGAGAAATAACCTTGAGAGATAACCTTTAGAATAACCTTTAGAATAACCTTGAGAAATAACTTTGTAACTTGAATTTGTTTTTTTTTTGTCCTGCTGCTACCAGTTGTCGTCTTGATAGATAGATCCAATGGTAGGAGTTAACAAATAACTTAGAGTGTAACTAATAGATTGAGATTATGTTCGAAGATGCTGTTTATTGAATGCATTTACAACTTATATTTATACTATTTCTGCGATCGATAATTACTTAATCAATGGAACTTTCGATTAGATATAGTACTTGATATAGCAACTGATAATCAGATCAATGCTTGCTGTCAGTTTCCAGAACCATCGAGTATACGCTGGCGCCTTTTAGTTGCTTTCTTCAAATCTGGCTTAAACCTAAATTTAGGCACGACAAAATTGATAAATATCAAGCTCTCTATAATGATTACCTTGGTAGTTGGTAATCAAGATATAAGTATTGTTGTGTGGAAAGGAAGACTGTAAGAACTATCCCAATAATTATGAGAGATGAATTTAAGGGTTCTTTAGGTTTGTTCGTACTAGATTGGCACTAGTAACTAAACTCCAGATTAGAATAAGAAGAAAAAAATGGATGATGTTTATTAAGATGCAATTCAAAATACTATTTATATATGTCATTGTTCTATTGTTATTCTCCTGTCAGGCTCAATTCAGATCCGAATGTCAGTGCCCTGATCAAATGTAACCTCAAATTGGATTGCCTTCAATTTAACGTCAATTTCATGTACCCGCGTTCTTGAGTCGATCCTATCGTTTAAAATAGTAACACCCCAATTCCATTGTTGTAATTCCACTTGAATCTTGCATCGATTCGACATTAATTGGTTTGCATCTATCCTGAGTCAAAGTCCAGAGTCAAATCCACATTTCAAAATAGTAATGCTTGGCTATTAGCGCGCAATCTCATTTAGATCCCTGACTAATTCATCGATTCAACATTATCGGCTCCAAATACTGATTAGATTTCGGCTAAACTTGACAAGAAGCACCACGATCAAACGAATATGTAACAACAACAAAATAGAAGCGACACCAATTGAGTAAGCACCAACATTGATTAGCAATACACCAAATAGAGACCACATCGACTAGAATAACAGTATCAACGCACCATCAAGAGATAACATACAGTTTTACAACAATTATATGAGTGTGTCAATGCACCAGAACACCACACCAACGAGGAGTAACCCTTCAAGTAAGACATAGTAGATAAGTTAGAGAATTATACCTTGAATCCACCACATTGCGCCTTTTCCATATACGGTATATTGCCTTTTTAGGAAATCGAGATAGAGCCAAGTAACCAAGAGAAAGATACACACGTATCACGCACCGCCCCCTTAAAACTTGGCTACAAAGAGATTTCGAAACACGCCTTTTCTCTTGCTTCCAACATGTTCACTCTGTTTGCTTCAACCCATCTTTGAAACTGATCTGACGCCTGCGAAATCATCACATCGGGAATCATACGTTGCACCTCATTGTTATACGGCTTGAGTCGATCACCATTCACAGCATGTTTCAATCGTAAACTGTTCTTGCCCGTTAAGTGGTATGTACCAGAACTCTTGTTAACTTGCACAACCTTGTATGGACCTTCCCATTTATCACCGAATTTGCTGTCTTGGATTGGGTTCTTCAATAACACTTGCTCGCCAACTTCATATTGCCTGATGAAATGTACATTTGCGTCATAACGAATCTTCGCCTTAGCCTTGCGTTCGTCCGAGTATTCACGCGCCTTTTCCCTTACGCCATGTAACTTGTCGCCAATCAATTCAATTCGCTCCTTGAGTTCTTCTTCTTCTTCACCTTCAACGTAATCAAGACGAGGACTAACCCACACAGCTGGAGTACGGAATTCATAGCCATATAGTAAGTAACTTGGACTATACCCAGTGCCGGTATTCTTTGTTGACCTTAAAACCATTAGAGCCGAATCCACATACTTGTCCCATTGATCAATATTTCGCTCATCTCTTGCAATTTTCGCCAACACAGACACCAGGGAGTGATTTAACTTCTCAACCATACCGTTAGCAGATGCACGATAACTTGTCACCATGATGTTCTTGCAACCGATTTGCTTCAAAAATTGGTGAACGTAAGTAGAGATGAAATTAGCACCTCGATCGGATAGCAATCTAGCAGGTACACCGTATCTTGACACAATTTCACTAAAATAGAATTCACCGGTAGTAACTTCATCGATAGTAGATACAGCACGAGCCATAGGCCATCTTGTCAGACCACAAATAGCTGTCAAAATATATTTGTTTCCCTTGGATGTAGTGGAGAGAGGACCGATTGCATCAACACTCACAAAATTCATGGGAGAACGTGGAGTCTTGATCACCTTCATTGGGTTCGATTTGGAAAAACGAATTCTTGCTCTGTACTGGCATGTATCACACGATTTCACCACAGTAGTAACCAACTCACGACAATCTTGTATCATATAGTGCCTTGCCACCTTATCTAGTGTATTCAAAATGCCTTGGTGACCTTCCTTGTGAACTTCTTGAACCTTCTGCAGAGCGGTGCCTTCATGCAACAACTCTCGACCAGTATTCAACTCAAGCACACGTCCATCGTCAGCCAACATTAGCCTTGCACAGTGATAGCGGATCTTACGGCAAACCTTGGGATCAGCACCCTTTGGATAAGAACCATTTAATAAGAAGTAGTAGAGACTGATATACCAGGGAAGGGAGATAGCCATGCTTACAACAGTTACAGTTTAGAGAGACAATGTTTAAGAAAATACAATCAACACACAGGATGAAGGGATCAAATCAACACCAAATCCAGATCAAAATTAACCAAGGCAAGTGGATCAAAAGGGATTGAAAGTACAATTGGGATGGCTAGATTGAAAATTTAATGGAAGGATAAAGATAAAGATAAAGATATTTATTGTTATTTTGATTGATTCTACTATATATAAGTTCTATGAATATTTTTTTTTTTGACATTTTACTCTATAAATTTTTTTTTTTTTTTTGACATGTTGCTCTATAAATATTTTTTTTTTTTTTTTTTTTGAGAAAATTAATTCAGGTACCTCGATTACACAATTCGAGCAGGCCCAAATTCCTTGATAAACTCGGGTAATGGAATGCAGCGAGATAGCGGATCAGCTATGTTAGAGGGACCCGGTTTGTACAAGATCTTGAAATTATATTCCATGACAGCAGCGCACCATCTTGACAGCTTGGGAGATTGCTTAGTTGGGTTGAAGATATACACCAAACTTGAATGATCTGTGATCAATATAAATTCTCTTCCTTTAAGGTAGTGTTGGAAATGTTGGATTGACCAAACCACTGCGAAAGCCTCGACCTCATGAATATGCCAATTCTTTTCAGACCCTCTGAGACTTCTGGAACCATAGCCAATAACTTGCTCATTACTGCGATCATGCTCATTGAATTGATCTACTTGGGTAAGAACACAACCAAGGCCTGATAGACTGCCATCAACGCTAAGTATTTGCACCTTATGACGATCGGGGAAAGCCAACACCGGATTACTGCACTGGATTTGCTTAAGAGTTTCAAATGCTTGCTGTTGTTCTGGCCCCCATACAAATTTGACTCCTTTTCTTGTGAGGCTAACTAGCTCCTTGGCAATTGTTGCATAATTTGGTGTGAACTTCCTAAAAAAACCAGTAAGACCAAGAAAACTCTTGAGTTCAGAAACATTTTGACAGGGCGGAAATGACTTGATCTTCTCTACATTGCGATCACCTGGTCTTGAACCTTCGCTGCTAATAATATGCCCCAGATATTCAACCGATTCTTGCCCAAAATGACACTTCTTTCGCTTGAACTTTAAGTTGGCCCTTTCCGCTGCTTCAAATAGCTCCCGTAAGTGTGCTTCATGAGCTTCTCTTGTTCTAGAAAAGCATAAGACATCATCATAGAAAATGCAAGCTGATTCACCAATCATATGCTTAAAAATAGAGTGCATCGCTCTTTGAAATTCTGAGCCGCCTACTGATATACCCATCGGCAATACTTTGTACCGAAAAGTCCCACGCTTTGTAACAAACCCTGTGAGGTCACGAGCCAAAGTATCCTCAGGATCGATTTCCAGTTGGTGGTACCCAGAAGAAGCATCCAGACACGAAAAATATTTCATTCCAGCCGTCAGTTCAGTCAGTTCCGCCACGGTTGGTGTTGGGAAGTTTGTTTGTACGATCAACTTATTCACCTTTCTGTAATCGATTACACAACGCCGAGAGCCATCCTTTTTCCCAACCAAGAACGCAGCAGAACTCCAAGTGCCATCAGCCTCCTCGATTAGGTCCAGTTCTAACATTTCATCCACGTACTTGTTTAGAGCGTCTTCATCTTCCCAGCTCAGACGAAAACATTTACTCTTGATAGGTTTCGCACCCTCCACGACTTGCACACGCATTTTGTGCCCCTTGATTTTAGTCAGACCCGACACTTCAGAGAAGACATGGCTAAATTCATTTAGTAAATCATGTAGAAATTCTGGGGCACCTTCAGCAATATTGTCCTTGTCATATTTGATTTCCTCAAATGTGTCCGGTATCAGATCTTCCTCCAACGATGCAGCATGTTTCTTGGCCAGTTCAATCTTGTAAATTTCCTTGCTTTTGTCGTGCACCAAACCTGGAATGTGCGAGGTAAAACCCTGCAACTTAACAAGACCAGAAGTGGTAGGTACCTTGATAATAGAGTTCGCAATGTCCAGTTCAACACCATAAGCCTGCAACCATGGAATACCCAAGATTAGGAGATCCGCATTCGTTTGATCTTGGACGCACATATGCTCTGGCCTTATGTGTTTGCCTTGGATGCAAATTGGTACATCCATCACAATGTCCGCACGCGCACCAGCAGATTCGTTGTTAAACCCCACTAATTGCAGAGAGTCGCCATTGCACGCCATACCTAGAGATTCACACAAGGACCTTGAGATAACACTTATGGAGCCACCGGTATCGAAACAAGCAATCACCTTCCTTCCATTGATCGATATTTCAGCCTTGAGAGGGGAACTCCATTTCATTTTTGCTAAATCGTAAGGATAACGATATACTGAGTGAGTGTCATCGAAATTGAGATCCGAATCAGTGCCTGAACTGAAAGACGCCATGGAGTCACCATCACTAGATGGGTCAGAGTCGTAATATGAAGAAGCCTCAGAGACATCAGAATCAGCAGCATGTTGGACAACATTGATTTTGTTTGGAGGTTCCTTGATGCCACCATCCATCTCCATCAAGTGCCGTTTAGTACGCTTTGGCCTTTGCTTCCGTAGATCACGAAGACCATCCACGAGATCCTTAGCAGCGTCCTTGTCAATCGCAACCCAGTCCAAGATGGATAAACCAGAATCCAGTTCAGAAAGCTTGTTCCACACGTTTAATGATTTGGTTGGCACCTTCAACACACGAGCCTTTCTTGTCGGTCTTGGTTCCTTCATCGTGATTTCCTTGGATACAGTTTGCCCTGCTGGCGATACTCGCTTCTTCTTAGCGACACGATTGTTAGCATTTAAGACCTCGGGAACCTCCGGATTAGCTCTCTTGATAGCGTACACTTCATTTAACTCTTCAGCTTCCACCATGGTATCGATGAGATTCAAAGAAGACGATGAGGGTAGAGGATTTGGGAATTGAGTATCAACAACCTCTACTGTTGATACTCGCTGGCTTTTCCCGAATCCTTTCCATTAGTGCCCAAAGGTAAGCTATTAGCACCAGTAACCGGCGGAGCCTTAGCATCATTGACCATTTCCTTGGTGCACTCATATTTCTTATGCCCGGGTTCTCCACATAAGAAGCACACAATTCCACCAGAGTAAGAACGACGAGGGGCACTACCATATGCATTACTGTTCTTGTTGTTGTTCACAGTAGCTTCTTGTAAGGCAACCAAGTTAATTGACAATTTCTCCAACTTGTCTACCAAGGACATCACACTTGACATGGCTGAAATCTCGGAATTGCTGTCCGTGATTTCGTGGTTATCCGCTATTTGTTCTTGCATGTTGCTCAGAGGACCAATTTCTAAAGCGCCTTGACGGTTGCTAGCCACAACACCATATTTTAACTGAGATTTCTCCACTTGTCTAGCTCTTTCCTTGGCGACCGCAAAAGTGGCAGGTTTACTTTCCTTCTCGACTTCATACGCAATGTTGGAATTGATGGCATTCAAAAAGGTGCGCACCAGAAGGCCTTGATCCTTGTTGCCTAGCAAATTGAACAGCTCCTCCATTCGTATGGCTACTTCGTCAACGGAGCGGTATTCATCCCCTTGTTTGAGCCCATAAATTGCGGACCACCATCTGTCCTCCAAGTCAGATAGGTATTGAGCCTTGAAGAGACTCTCGAATTTTTCCCAAGTGTCGGCCTTGGACCCAACAACGTTCCACCATGATTCAGCCTTGTCAACCAGGTTTTCCTCGACAATGAGCAGCATTTCTTCGTCATTTATTCTTGCGCTTTTCTTCAAACGATTCATTCTTGACATCCAAGTGGCTGCCCGTTCCTCATTGACGCCATCAAAGGACCTAGGTTCCCTAAGGAAACGACCACCAGAGCTAGGTTCACCACCATTTTTCTTGTCAATTGCCATTTGGATTATCTTTAGGGAGAACGACGAGTTAGTAACCATTGAAGCCCGGACCAACTGATAAATATCAAGCTCTCTATAATGATTACCTTGGTAGTTGGTAATCAAGATATAAGTATTGTTGTGTGGAAAGGAAGACTGTAAGAACTATCCCAATAATTATGAGAGATGAATTTAAGGGTTCTTTAGGTTTGTTCGTACTAGATTGGCACTAGTAACTAAACTCCAGATTAGAATAAGAAGAAAAAAATGGATGATGTTTATTAAGATGCAATTCAAAATACTATTTATATATGTCATTGTTCTATTGTTATTCTCCTGTCAGGCTCAATTCAGATCCGAATGTCAGTGCCCTGATCAAATGTAACCTCAAATTGGATTGCCTTCAATTTAACGTCAATTTCATGTACCCGCGTTCTTGAGTCGATCCTATCGTTTAAAATAGTAACACCCCAATTCCATTGTTGTAATTCCACTTGAATCTTGCATCGATTCGACATTAATTGGTTTGCATCTATCCTGAGTCAAAGTCCAGAGTCAAATCCACATTTCAAAATAGTAATGCTTGGCTATTAGCGCGCAATCTCATTTAGATCCCTGACTAATTCATCGATTCAACATTATCGGCTCCAAATACTGATTAGATTTCGGCTAAACTTGACAAGAAGCACCACGATCAAACGAATATGTAACAACAACAAAATAGAAGCGACACCAATTGAGTAAGCACCAACATTGATTAGCAATACACCAAATAGAGACCACATCGACTAGAATAACAGTATCAACGCACCATCAAGAGATAACATACAGTTTTACAACAATTATATGAGTGTGTCAATGCACCAGAACACCACACCAACGAGGAGTAACCCTTCAAGTAAGACATAGTAGATAAGTTAGAGAATTATACCTTGAATCCACCACATTGCGCCTTTTCCATATACGGTATATTGCCTTTTTAGGAAATCGAGATAGAGCCAAGTAACCAAGAGAAAGATACACACGTATCAAAATAAAACAGCTGATTTGGCCGAGTTGGTCTAAGGCGCCGCACTCAAGTTGCGGTCTCGCAAGAGGCGTGAGTTCGAATCTCACAGTCAGCACCATTTTTTTTTTTGCACTCTTTGCATTTTCGTGAGACGTTTTTATGACTCCATTCTTCATTTCTCAATTGAGCATCTTTGATAATTGAGCATCTTTGATAATTGAGAATTCAATGGATCAGAACTGAGTTTGTAGGGCGTACTCTCAAAGATGGTTAGTCCATCACTGAATACCTGAATTTGGGCGTGGTCTGCTACGATACCTTATAATGGCGGATATTAAGGAGTGTTATCTCATGAATGTCACTCGATACATTATATCCGGCATAAACGCATAGACACTCTGTTCTGAAAGAGCGTCTCTATTAAAAGCTTAAGTATTGTTACCTACCAAATATACTGGATTTCATTGTCTAACTAGCATTGAATCTTCCGTTCATCGTGACTCCGTTTCCAGTTTATAGAAAAGTCAAAAAGGCTGTCTTCAAGGGACCTTTGCATTTTGGATTTCTTACAGACTGTCATTAACAAAGATGCTACGAGCTCTACCATTAACACAGAATGCGCTTCGAAGTGCTAGAAATACCGCCGCCACATCATTGTACATTAGGTTCTTTACCAATACAGCATCATGTTCAAGAGGTGCATGGGCCCATCCCGTGCTTAGACAAACTTCCAATCCTAAACCATCAAAGCCAAGAGCATTATTAAAGAGTATAGCGGATATCATTCATACCAAGAAAAACCTTCCCTGGGTTCAGAGAAGTAAGTATACTAGAAGCAATTCGTCTCGTTATTGACTCTTGTCCGTAGATCTTGAACAGAAACTACGTAAATTTTCGAGAAATAACAATGCTCGCCGAAAATCTAAAAACTTGGGCATCTCAAACAAACTTCATAATCAGATTGTCGTGAGGTTTGTGGAAGAAGCACTGCATGAAAATATACCACGCATCACTGCCAAAGAACTACTCTCGTCTCTAGAAAGCAATGATAATCATAGTAAGATTAATTGCACCTTGATCTGTCAAATTGTACTAAAACACTTCCACATATCAAAGCCGCCATTGATAAAGCATTGGAGTCAGCATTCTTAAAATACGCCGAAGCCTTTATCCCAGAGGAAAAGCTGGAAAAATTCAATTCGCTTCGATCTATCAGTGATATTCGTTTTCCCAGCGAATGGTTTCCTGATGCACGACAAATGAAGAGGTATAGAAGAGAGAGATAATTAATGAAACAATCTAATACGACTGTGATACAGAAAAATCATCCTTCACGTAGGACCAACAAACAGTGGCAAAACATATAGAGCACTGAAACAACTGGAACAAGCAGAATCAGGCATTTATTGTGGACCATTGCGTTTATTAGCGCACGAAATTTTCGAAAAGATGAATGAAAAAGGCGTAGCATGCAACTTGCTGACAGGCGAAGAGAGAAGAGAAGTGGCACCTTTTGCGCCTTTGACAAGTTCGACAGTTGAAATGGCTTCTCTCAACAAAACGATGGATGTGGCTGTCATTGACGAGATCCAAATGATTGCTGATCCAGATCGAGGATGGGCTTGGACTCAGGCATTACTGGGGTTGAAAGCCAAAGAGATCCATCTTTGTGGTGAAGCATCCGCTGTACCTTTAGTCAAGAAGATTTGTGAGACATTGGATGAGGAGGTTGTTGTCAACAACTACGACCGATTGACTCCATTTACTGTCAGTTTTGAGACGTTGCGCAATGATTTGAGCAAAGTGACCAAGGGGGATTGCATTGTTGCCTTTTCTAGACGAGATATTTTCAGCCTGAAGGAAAAGATCGAGAAGGCAACTGGTTTACGATGTGCAGTTGCTTATGGTGCTCTGCCTCCAGGTAAATGGGATATGGATAGTATGCTATCACTGTTGACTCAACGATTGTGTGTTTAGAAACTCGTGCACTGCAAGCCAAGGCTTTTAATGACCCTGAAAGCGGGTTTGACGTACTGGTAGCATCTGATGCAGTGGGCATGGGGCTAAACCTGAACATTCGACGCATCATCTTTTCAACAGTGCAAAAATACGATGGATCCGACTTTTCATACATTAGTGTCCCTCAGTTGAAGCAAATTGCAGGCCGAGCGGGTAGATTTAACACAGCCTACGCTCAAGGAGAAGTAACTACGTAAGTCTTGATGTAGATCTAATTTCCAGGTACTAACACATTGCATGCAGGTTGAAGGAACGTGACATATTATACGTACGTCAAGCTGTCTCTGCGCCTATCATTCCCCTTGAGGTAAATAACCCTAAACTAAAGAGATGATTTCATAGACGATACTCAAATATCCCACTTTTTTTTTTTTTTTTTCATTTAGATGGCAGGCTTGCAGCCTACTGTCGATATTCTAGAATTATTTGCCCTACAATTACCTGACGAAAAGTTTTCTGGATTATTAGTAAGCATTCTACAGAGTCTAAATTTTACACGGATTTAAATTGACTTTATTTAGCAAAAATTTGAGGATTTAGCTTCCTTAAATGGCGATTACTTTCTGTGCAACTTCAAGGATCAAAAGGTACCAGAACATTACAGAATACGATAGATTGCGGGAGTTAATTCCATATGATAAAACCAGACGATTGCAGATAAACTAGAGCACATCAAACTGCCCTTAAAGGATAGATATCAGTTTGTAACAGCACCAGTCAATATCCGTACTGATTCATCAATGGAGATGATTGAGCGTCTTGCCGAAACGTTCAGTGAAAACAAAACATGTACTCTAGATGATGTCATTACACTACCAAATGCTCTTGAACCTGGATCAGTTTTGGAGAATTTGGAGAGTAGCCATAGAAACATCATGCTATACATGTGGTTGAGGTAGGCTATAGATGCTGGATGCAAATACATTATTGATGCTGATTTTCTACTAGTCTTCGTTATCCAGACACGTTTACAACAACTCCAGAGCACTCCAATGCTGTGAAAACTCGTTGTGAGGTCATGATTGATGATGTATTGAAAAGTACGAGCTATGCAAAGGCTAAAAAAAGAGGCTCCAGCAAGCAGGTACGACCCTCCAAGAACCGCCAGAAACAGGCCATCAAACAATAGTGGATCATCTTGTCGTAATATCATCGACTATTGTACAACACCTCTATAGACTTCTCTTTCATCCCATTTCATTTCAATAAATATACTCACCGTAGATCATAAAATTCATAAAAGATCCTCCTCTTTTCCTGAATCAAATCCAATCAGACTAGGCTCTGAACAATAGCATTTTCTGAGTTGTTCCATGAACTAGGTGATACCAATAGACTCTAAAAAGAAGTCTGTCTCTATCGTCATTCTTACTATTTTTAATCCAAGATATTGCACACTTGTCATAATATATACGTCATGGTGATCCCATTTCAAACGAACTACTCGAATCAAGTTTTTTCTTCCTTACATATATAAAGCGATCAGAAAACTCGTTTCTGGTTGTATCTCTTCATTATCAACAAACAAACACATCTCAAAAAATGGGTTCCATCTTCTCTTGCTTAAGTGGCATCGTTAGCTCAATTGCCTCCCTATTCTCTGGTCTCATCAGTGGTATCGCTGGATTCTTGAATTCTATTGTATCTGCAATCACTCGTTGTATTACTGGTATCTTCAATGCCATCGGTAGATGCTTGTCCTGTGGCGGCTGTGGAAGAAGACGAGCCAGGGTCTAGCACAATGAAGCACACAAGAAATCTACACTAATTAATGCTATGTAAATATATAAATATCTCCATTCTATTACTACTTTTTATTACTTATCTACATATTGAATAAATATAATATAACATCTGCATCTTGTATCCACGAGAAATTATGTTTTACATGTGCTAAATCATGGGCATGGTCTCCAAAATGAATTCTTTAAAGCCTCGTATGGTACACCTTGCTTGGTTGATTGCTGTTTTTCCTGAAAGCTAATGGATACACAAAAATGTCCATCTTGCTTTATTTCTAGAAAGCATTTTAGGTTCAAAGTGCGAGACACAATGAAATGAGATCATCGGCAACGTTGAGCTACATTTCTTTTAGAGATAAAGATGAACATGCTGTCATTCTCCATAAGTAAGGTGCAGTTACTGCAGTATTTTATATCTTGCACAGCAAAACATCATCTTGATTTTGAAGCCGGGGAGTATCAACCGGACACAAATGAGTGCCAAAATTACACAGGAAGTCATAGATGATCTGCACAGCTTAAACAAGAATGAAATGTGGTGATAATTTCAAAATCCGTTCAGGTGGGTTATTTGACATTTTATATTGAATCTAGAATATTGATCAAATGTGAGAAAAGGGTGTGCCTACCATTCATCTTGTTTATAAAGTTAAATTTATCAAATTGCCTCAAATAAGAGAGTTCAAAAGCCTCTTCAAGGAACATGCTACATTTGAATGCTGGCTCGTGCCTGTAAAATCGAATCTTGCGGAAACATGTGGACTCTTTGTAATATAACAAAATTGGATTACAATGCAACTTTAGGCCATTGCCTTGTTGATAAGACAGGCTTATTTCTTAAAATTACCGATGCAATAATGTTGTTAGCTGCTGCTGTGCTAAATCATGTGCGATTATGGTAGCATTGTTTAGTACTTTTCATCGAAACAGATCATAATCACACACACAAAAAAAAAACGAAAAGAACAGATCATGCAATTGCTAATGCATCCAAAATGTAATAGCCTACAGTATCTATAGAGCATCCATAGATGTGGGTGACGGTTAATGAGTGGTGGTGCTAAAACCAATACTCAAATTAGATGGAACCATTCCCTCTCTTTTTCCTGTTTTTTCAGTTTATTCGACATTATCTTCTTCTTTTTCTGCATAATACAAAAAACAAGAAAAAAACCAAGTTTACCGGAAATTGATGAGTTCTGTGCATTCGATACAAAGTGGTAAAAAAAAAAAAAGAAATGTGTAAATTTAGCGTTTTTTTTTCTCATTTGATAAACAAAATGCTGAATTAGACGAAGAATACCCGAAGGAAGTATGCATAAATAATAATGCACTAGCAACGATAAATGCAAGCAAAAAGTGAGTATTTCATTCCCTCTTTTCTCTTCTTTGCATTCAAGTAGTAATTCTTCATGAAGACACTATAGAGAAAATCCGGATGATAGTCAAGATTCAAGCGACACAGATGATCAGGATCAAAGCGAGTTGGATTACAAGTATATCATCAACCATGAAAGCGACATCATCATGTCAAAAGCCCGATATTCGACCGACAACTACAGCTTGAATTCAGTTGTGAATGGCAGACGCAACAAATTACAACGCAAGAAAAGCAGTGTCGTTACCCGAGGCATGAATTTCATTCGAAGGATGAAGTGGAAATCCAAGGAAACGAAATCTGCAAGCAAACGACGTCTATCACAGCCAGACATTGAGCCTTTGGATGCAGTGAATTGGAGAGCGAGCTGGAGCACGCAAAACACACCTCGTGCAAGCATTGATGGTAGTTCGTTACCAGAAGGATTTATTATGCCGCCGCCGTCTGTTTCATCAACGCATGTCGAAACCAAGAATTTAGCTCCTATTCACGAGGCATACACAGAGCAATATTCCAGAGCATTACATACACCCTCCCGCTTTTTACCACAGAATCAAGCAGTAATCACAACTACAGTGGATGGCACAATATTACTCTTTAATGATATCGCATCACTCTGCTTCAAGATTGATAAATCATACATTGGAAAGTCCATCTTGACCAGTCTACTTGAAGATCCTTTTAGAAAACAAATAACCAGCATACTTGACCGTCGAAAATACGCTCGAAACTATGCCAAACAGCAACTCGACATTGGCAATAACAGAGGCTTAGTGCTTGTGTGCGGAACAATTGTAAGTTGTATAGATTTCGATCCAATATTCGGGAAATTTATTTCAATGTCTAGACGCCGATTGTCAAAGCAAATCAAGCGAAATCAGTGGCTTCATTATGGCTGAAGGAGAAGAGCTCAGATCACGGCGATCACATTTACCTGTGGATTTTTGAAGAGATCTACGAGACATCACTGTCTGTGTATGTCGACTCAGAATGCATCATACGACGAGTGCTGGGTACAATGATCGACATCTACGGCTACAAGGAGGAAGACGTTGTTGGAAAACCTGTCAATTGTCTAGTGCCAGCATTGTCCAAAGAGAAGAGAGACGATAATCTGGAGAAAATGGATCGACTCAAGTTTTTCGGCAGTCAATCCAGTCAGGGCATATCATTTCCAGTCATTTTGAACCTAAACAGGCACGTAGCCATCGGAGACGACGATTTAGCAAGCTTTGTAGTGAAGATTACTTCATTGCCATCGATTACTGGATTGATGACTGTATCCCGCACTACTGGATTAGTTACTAATCTCAGCCCTGTGCCTGCCAAATACCTGTTTGGCCGATCTGTCAGCACTATTGTCGACCAATTCCATGTCAAGGAGCTCATACCACTACTGCCATGCATCATTCAAAAGAGCACACAGCCTGTCATGAGCAATCGCATGTGTCGTCAAGTATTATTGGATGAAAACACAAAAGAGAAGCCTGTCATCTATGTGGTGCATCGAGATGCAAGTAGGTTTGAAGTAGAACTGCAATTGACATTTACAGAAGACGCTATCGACATTTGGATCACGTACGACCGCATTGACGCTATTTCGAAACATGAAAAGAGACGAAAGCAAGAGCAAGAGCGACAACAACATGCAAAGTCAGCCAACGATTCCACCAAACAAAGGCCTGCTATTAGGCCACTGCGAATCAGTTCTTTCGGCAATGTAGATAAACAGCGAAAACTATTCCCGTCCCTGAGCAACAACTTTCCAGTCTATACTGCCGAACCGAGACCTGTTATTCACAATGAGCTACCGCCGAGTCCTCCAGAACAACACGAAAAGCGATGGCATCCACTGGACGAGTATGTGATATTGGAGACACTTGGCCAAGGTACATACGGAATGGCTAAATTAGCGTACCGGAAGGACGACCCTTCACAAAAGAAGCTTGTGATCAAATACATTATAAAATCGAAAATCATTGTCGATTCATGGATTAGGTAAAAAAAAAAAGAGCTAGCTAAAAGAAGGTGAATGAGTGCGAGGAAACACATGTTGATGCAACCACTTTTTTTTCAACAGAGATCGGCAGCTGGGATCGATCCCCATGGAGATACATATACTGAGGACGCTACAGAAATATCCCCACGTCAACTGCTGCAGGCTATTGACGAGTTCAGAAGACGAGGATCACTATTTCGTGGTGATGGAACTGCTTGGAGACGGCATGGATTTGTTTGACTACATTGAGGTGAATAAGAATATGTCTGAAAACGAGATGCGAACTATATTCTACCAAGTCGCCTGCGCTGTCAAACACCTACACCAACATCGCATTGTACATCGAGATATCAAGGACGAAAACATTATCCTTGATCAACAAGGCACGGTTCACCTGATTGACTTTGGGTGTGCTACTTATTATAGGAAGGACCACAAGTTTGATACATTTACAGGCACATTGGAATACTGCGCTCCTGAGATACTCAAGGGCAAACCCTACGCAGGACCACCGCAAGACATCTGGGCAAGCGGTATTTTGTTGTATACACTCATGTACCGAGAAAACCCGTTTTACAACATTGACGATATTATGGAAACGGAATTGCGAGTGCCACATGTTGTGTCTAGCGAGTCTTTGGATTTGCTTGAAAAGATGCTGCAGCGAGACATTGACAAGAGAATTACGGTGGATCAGGTATTAGAGCATCCCTGGTTTCATGGCATGGCCAGGTAGAATAAAAAAAGATGCACATTCATTATTAGTCGACCGTTTCTGCGTGTATTATTCATCATATGCTTGTTGCAGGTGACACAGAAACTGGCGTTGCTGTCGTCTTGATTTGTCACAAGAAATGCCTCTTTGTTTTATCGTTTAAATTGAATGCAGTGCATATAAAATGAGCGTTCATTCCAATGCCAATGGATGCATTTTCATTCGATTGTATTATTGGATCAATAAATCACATGCACACTGGACGGGTGGCCATGGACGGACCATTCAAGTAAACAGAATATCACAAGGTATATAATTCTGTTTGTATAACTGCGGCATGTTATGGACCTCAAGCACACACTCGGTAACACCATATATACAAGTCCAGACCAGATGTTTTGGATCTGTCAACTGCGAACATGACGGGAAAATCATTCTGGAGTAATGCTGTGTTCCTGGTTGTCTTGTGTGAGCCAATACAAGTCATGATCTAAAATGGTCCGCTATGACTGAATGTTGGCAAAATCCCTGTATCATTTTTATAGAGAAATGGATTTTATTTAGTCCATAGACTAAGGAAAACTCTAAATTAAAGTTTCTTTCTGTTTTCATACTGGGATGTTGCAATCCAGATCAATGGTCTTGATACAACAACTTTATAAACTGCATTGCAGGGAGCACAATAACAACAGACCACGCGATATGATGGAACCACCTTTTTTTTTTTTTACTCACACACAGTTTGCTATGATTCTCACAATCGACATTGATGTGCCACCAGAGAAGAAAGAGAGATACAGTCATTATTACATTGCATTGAAACTCCATTTTTATGGCCCATGGTATAAATAGATCCGAGCGCATTATGCCTCTTTTTCCTCTCGTAGTATATACATATTATACATTAGTCATACACTTAGCACACACAAGATGGACAAATTGAGATCTTCTGCCAAGCTAAAAATCCATATAGAAAGCGAAAACTTGATCATGTACGGCTCCCCATCTGAATCTGCTGGATGTGTATTGCGAGGAGTCATGTCATTGAAACTCCAAGAGCCTACAAAGATAAAGTCAATTTCACTGGACTTGGTTGGTAAAATGGCTGTTACATGGACAGAAGGTAAATTAGCTGGTTGAATGAAGCGAGGGATTCATTGCTGATACAATACTTGGAATCAGGTTTGGGCAATGGCCATGATAGATTATTCCGCGACGAAAAATCTGTGTTGCATCATACATGGACATTTCTCCCCAGGGAAACAAAGTTACATGTTATGAATGCTGGCGATTATACCTATGATTTTGAGCTTGCTCTGCCTGGTGATCTGCCTGAATCAACTTACGTTCCCAACTTTTACACTGTACAATATCATCTTAAAGCCACCATTGAACGATCTACCTTCATGCCCAATCTCAATCTGCGCAAGATCTTTTACGTCTCTCGTCAATTATTACCCCTCACATCCGAGTTTCTAGAGCCAGTAGCTATATCAAACCAATGGTCGAACAAGCTGGATTACGAGATCACATTACCCAGCAAAATTTATACTCACGGCGATCAAATCCCCATCACCATTCGTATCACTCCTCTTACAAACTCATTGCGTGTACGACATCTCTCTTGCACCCTCAAAGAATACATGATCTGTCGTGCTGCTGGATCTGCTGGGATATTGAATACCCGTCCCCGAGCTCACGGTCGAGTTCTCTTTTCAACAAGAGATGACAAATTTGGGCGTGTCAATAATGCTGCTTCAACACAGTCTGAGAACTTCATTGAATGGACCAAAGTGCAAACCATCCCATTACCTACATCTGTGAAAGATTTGCAATGTGATATTCAGAACGAAGCCATTCGCATCAGACACAAAATCAAGTTTGTTTTGTCACTTATCAATGCAGATGGCCATGTTTCGGAATTGAGAGCGGCTTTACCAATTACCATCTGTGCTGTCAACAATTCTGGATTACCTGCTTACGAAGAGGCGTGGCGTAGTTTACCGTATGATCCAGCTGCTTTCTTGGCTCTTCTTTATCAAAGCAACAACGGTGGCAACAGCATACAAAACACACATACCCCTGTCTTGCCTTCGTATAATTCCATTGTAGATAATTGCTCACTTGTTGCTGCCAATGATCCGCCCAGATATGATGATATTCCTTGCTTGGTTTCACGTTAAAGCACCAGGCTGCCTCACTTTTTTTTTATTAATTAATTGTACATTCTTAAACACTTACATGTAAATATTTCTTATACTTTCATCTGTAATAAATAATTCTTCTCTAATTGAAACTGATGCTCCCTGTGTTCTTGTCAAGCAGATGCTTTTGTATTTATTCGAATGGATCAGAATGTGAATGATCTCAGAATTCATTTACATAAATAAAGAGAATGCACAGATGGCTTGATCTGCTGATTATAATATGATTACAGTCATGATTTGACGAGATCACATATTTCTAACACTGAAGCATATTCAACATATATTTTTTTCCCATCTCTATAGAGTGTCTATTCTTTCCAACAGTTTGTGAAAGTATATACTTACATCTCACATTAGGATTCGCATTGGAACGAGTATTCTGCAACAGTTAAATCTACCACATACAAACATTTGCTACAGAAGCAACTAAAAGTATCCTACCTGAGTCATGGCCGCCACCGCCGAAATCAGATAAATCTCCAACTCTTTTGTTTTTCACTCGAAATGGGAATTTTTTGGTCAATTTGCGACTTCCTCGATCAATTTTGCAAGATTCGACTATATGGATTGTAATGATCATCCCATACTTCCTAATGCACTCTAAAAGTACTTTTCAAGGCGCATCCAATGGTGCCAATTATAATAAGTAGCTTGACCCAATTTATTGAGCAGTTCATGAAAATACGAAATGAGGTTTATTGCGAAAATGTTGAGCTTTTACATATAAAGGATCTACAAACACAGTTTCAAGGGCTGCTTCTGGTCGAGAAGAACATTTTGATTTGATATAAGCTATAGTAAAAGTCTTTGTTTTTATGATGAAAAACACGATCGTTTGATTTTTGATGCAAACCATGAGGGGTACCTCATGGTTTTTGATCAAATTTTGGCGATCTCAAAAAAGTTGAGCAATTGGTACTATTCCGGAGGCCTAAAACGGCTTCTAACACGAGAAATCACGCCTCAAATATACCCAGATTAAGCTATGATTTACATATTTTTGAGTAGTAAAGAACGATGCAAGCAAGCCATCTGCCTATATGTGAATTGTTTCTATTGATACAAATGTGGAGCATCATGGAAGAGCTAGGTCCATGGCTAAAGGTCGTTTATAATAGGTTTTTGCATGGTAGTGAAAAGTTGAAGAGTATATTGCTAGTATGTAGTAGGGTATAGTGCTAGCCATGGAGAGTCTGTCGTGTATTCATCCACAGATCAATTGATCGATTGACAGCGACCCGTGGCATGACTGAAGCATCGTTGGCCTTTCAAGTGTATCTGTATAAAAAAAGTTCAAGACATTCCTTTCTTTCATTCTATTCTGTCTCGTAAACATGACCCTATCGAACCCTGCAAGGAAGGCACTAGCCTCCAATGCAAGCGCTGCCTTCATTGCTTTCATAGAGGCTATCCAGATTCTCGCGTCACCTTTGGTAAAAATGATTACGAATATCTTTACTGCATAGCTTTTAACTTTGGGCAAAAGAGCTGCTGTACTGGAGCTTCGAGTTTGGGCACTTCCACGTTTACCCAAAGTCTTTCTCTAAATGTTTTAGACTTTTACTAACATATATTATTCACAACGAGCCTTTCGACATTTCGGGTGGTTTCCTAACCTACTACGCTTCGCTTTGGTGGAAACCAACCTACGTTTGGGCGGCTTGTGTTGCCGTAGGCTTTTGACTAATATTGCAAGATTAATTATAATAGCTAAAATGTTAGAAGAAACTTGATTGCTAATTGATGTAAAATCACTAATCTTATAAAATTTTATGCTTCGAATGGTTCTTTACCTTCGCTTCGCTTCGGTGAAAACCAACCTACACGGCGGCAACTCGCGCTACCGATTGCCCTTGCGTATCTTTTCAAAACACTGTTACTTTCATGTTGACCCTCTATTTTCACATGAAAAACCATTCATATTATCTGTTAATCTGATTCGTATGTGATGCTCTACATCCATATACACGTAATTACTTCATATACGGGCAAGCAGCATACTGCTACTTCCCCTTTTTAGTCCTTAGTATCCCTGATACAGCAAAACCTGAGTGCATTCGAGCTGCGTTTTCTCGCGTTCAAGGCCGTTTTAGACCGTCAGAATAGCACCAAACACTTGCTCTCACCTAGCACTAACTTGCTGACACCTTTGCTCAACTTTTTGGGAACCAAAAAAAAAAAACATAGTCAAAAATCGACAAAAAAGCATGAGGTACCCCTCATGGGATTCATCGAAAATCAAACGATCGCGTTTTTCACCTTGAAAATGAAGACTTTTACTATGGTATGTATTGGATCAAAGTGTTTCTCTTGATCCAACGCAGCCTCTGAAATTGCGTTTGTGAAGCTTTCATATACAACATTTCGACTTTTTGGCCAGATACCTCATTTAATATTTTCGTAAATTACTCAATAAGGTTATTCAAAACATTTAACTTACTTGGTATCATTGGATGCGCCTTGAAAAGCACTCCAAGAAAGCTTAAAGAATTTTTTTTTTTTTTTTTTTTGTAGGGGAGTTGTACTCCATTTTTATTTAAAGTCCTTTAAATGTCATGATGAGGGAAGAAGAAAACTGAGCTTAAAGAAGTTTAGGATGATTTGCATATTTTATATGGTCGGAGTTAGCAAAATAACTCAATCAAGTCGAAAATTACAAAGATTTGGCCAATCTGGAAACAGACAAAATCCTCTGGGTTTGAACTATTTTTGGCTGGTGGGGCTGGTTAATCGTATATGATCCATGCCTGACAACTCAGTTTTCATATCAGGGTTGTAAAAGTGTCAAGGGACTGAACACTTATTATAATATAATATGTGTAATAAAGTATAGGGCTTGAGTGATGATGTGCCAATGTTCAAAGCCTTTATTAAATGCTATTATAGCTGTGATGTTTTTATTGTACTTGACAGTATAGGTAGTCCATTGTGCTTTGGAAAACCTTTGCTTATAAGCCATATCTTGTACAGTGCCAAGGCTGCTATTGAAGGCCGGCATGCCAAATAGCAGTGGAGCAATTCCAACCTAATCGACCTTCTCAAAATTGCGCAAGATTATGTCTCTATGGCTCAACTAAAGATTTTATTTAAGCCTGGTAGGCTTATTGGAAAATACTCTCGCCTTGTATATCAGTACTCACGTCCTTATTCAAACGATCACTCTTTTCAAGATCACACAGTATGTGGCACTACGAATATGTCAGATATGTCATGATGTATCATACCCAAACGAGGCTCATTTAAGCAATTACAGTTGAAATTACTGCAATATAACTGACAATCAAGCAAATCGAGACAAGTACTACAAAAACCCGTTTTCAGTGTAACTGAAGATCATTGGTGTTGAAATATAGCTGTTGCCATATTGTTTGTTTAGGTAATTCCTGGTTCAAACTAATCCAATTCAGGTTATTGAATAGTGAATGCCAAATTGTGAGTATATAGATACATTGCACATGTCTCTTTTTCACAGCTGATATGCTACATGACAACATAAATGCATGCTCGACACGTACATAATAAAAACATCTGTCTATTCCCAGTGTGTTTTTCGGTAGAATCTGTTAGTGTTTTACGGCATCTCAAATGTCCACGTTGGTTTGTTCTACATAAAAGCAAACGTTACACCTAATTTATACGCATGGCATCAAACTATCCTAATAAATTAAGATTTTGTTCCACCTATTGTGATGTATAATTGTTTTTAGCTAAGGCCCTTCAATCTCTTTCCTTTTCTCTCCCTCCCTCTCCTTCATTATACCACCACCACCACCGCCAAGCCAAAGGGCACTAAAAGAATCAAGTAGATGGTTGTAGCTACAAATTCACCAGCCACACATTCTATCGCAGAACTCATTACTGATTTCTACAAGACTACGGGTAATGTCCCTCCACCACTGATTGGAGCCACGTCAACCCTGGTTCATCAGCACGTTTATGTATTTGGCGGTCGATTGCAATCCACTCGACAGATATCCAACCGAGTCTATATTCTATCGCTCAAGACAAAAGTTTGGAAGACTGTGCAACCACAAAACACACCACCTACTCCTCGCTATTTTCATTCTGCAGATTACCATGAACAAAAGAATCAAATTCTCATCTATGGTGGTATGGGCGTCAAGAAGACCTCAAGGGCAGCAGTAGCAGCGGGAGGAGGGGCAGAAGAGTTAGTAGCATTGGACGATTTAGTGTTTTTGAACATTCAAACCATGCGTTGGGAATATAACGCTTCTCCTAACACAGTGTCTATACCGAGCCCTCGGTATGCACATGTGTCTTCCCTGATCAGGAACAAACTCATCGTTATTGGCGGACAAGATGTCAATAACCAGTACTTGCAAGACATCCACATCTTTGACATCAAGAAGAGATCATGGTGTGCTCCACTCTCATCGAGGCAACATCAGTATGGCGCTTATCGTTCAGCTGCAGTCGCTGTAACACCAATTGAGCTCACTCCGCCTTTTGCGCCAACCTTAGATTTGCTCTCAGACGCCTTTGAAGAAACACAATCAGCAGCAGAAGAAGTAGCAGATATCAGCATACATGTGTATTCCAACTTTAGTGGATCCGAAGCGACCAGATATTTGCATACGTGGAAAATAAATAACCAATTAGAGTGTGTAGAAATGCAAGATCAATCCGAAAGCATCAGTGTCGGCACCGTCTCACCACCCGCATTGAGATTTCCAACTGCATTCATGTGCGGCCAACAGTTTATATTAGCTGGTCCTCATTTCACACCGACCAGCCAGCAGTTTCAAATATGGGCGCTTGACACTAATACGTTTGTATGGACAAAGATTGAAGCGGGCCATGCATTGTCGCGAGGATCATGGTTGAAGGGCATGTTGTGTCAAGATAGCAATCGATTCATCGTGTTTGGACATCCAGAGAGATCAATGCAGATGGACTACAAAGACCGCGTCAATTGCTTCGAGCATATGGCCTGCGTAGATATAGAGATCTTTGGCATTTATCGACCTCCTCGATCCACTTACAGCGGCTTTGGTCAAGGCCTTGGTTTAACACTGCTGAAGGATCCCGTATTGGCTGATCTCAATATTGTCACTATTGACCAACAACACATTGCCGTCAATTCTGCCGTGCTCGCTCAACGATGGCCCATCCTTCGCCCTCTACTCTCCTCTGTGCTTATGCCTCAAGCTGACAGTTCTTCACTCGTACTGGATTTCGAAAAACGAGAATTATATTTCCCAGATACCTATGTGGTGCTGATTGCTTTTTTACAGTTCATTTACACAGATCATCTTGTTACTGCACAGCAACATCAGCCTCATATCCTTGCCAGGTTGCTGTTTATTGCAGATCTATTTGAATTACCTCGCCTCAAGGCTCTCGCCACACATGCCCTACATCAGATGCTGAATATCCAAACCGCCACCATGATTTATGAATCAGCCTCTCTCTCCAACGCTGTTTCATTGCAAATCCGAGCCCTCAGAGTCATGATCAATGCAAAGAAGATGATGCAAAGACAGAAAATGCTGGAAATGAACAATCGCCAACAGCAACAACAGTTACCAAAGAAGCAGCCAGAGATACCACAGACTGAAAGACCCTTCTCACCGCCGCCTACACCTGCTTCTAGCAACTCTATCTTTTCATTGCCTCAACAACAGCAACAGCAATCAGCCAATTCGTCTCGATTCTTGCAGAAATACGATCTTAATCGCCAACAACGACAGCAGCAATCATTACCTAGTACGCCCATGAGCGCCATGTCATCATTCAGCAGTTCCTCTCAAACATCATCCCATCATCATAGATCACCTTCACAGCGATCCCTCTCCACAGAATCTCATTCCGCACCCGCCATACCAACCACCTCTACTTTCAGCAGCACGATTATACCTACGACCAACAAACAAGCCATCAAACTACCTAATTTCCGTATGCGACAAGCATCTTCTACATCGCAATCCAGTGATGGAGAATACTCGCCATTGTCTTCAGCGGCATCTTCACCTAAAATAACACCCAGTTCGTCATTTACAGTCAATCACAAATCGTCCAGCACTTCCAGATCAGCCACCTCGTTTTGGAGACAGACTACCTCATCTTCTGGAACGACTTCATTAAAGAAAAAATCAACAACACCTTCTAAATCTGAAAGTACAACTAGAATGCCTGCATTTAATTTTATTAAATAAAAAAAAAAAAAAGATCACCGGTAGAAACTGGATTTCTACATTCTATCTCTTCCATAAAACCTACAAAATTCATAAATATATATGCCAAATGATACGTGAGTGCGCTTAGAGTCCACTACCAAGATGCGCGATAATGTATGTTTATTAAAAAGAAGGTATAGATATTATTACTGCTGCTTTACGATCTTGATTTGAAAAGTGCACTGAGGAAGATTCGATGTCTCTGCGACAACAACAGTTGGCACACCTAAGCTTGCCAGTGCACCTCGAATAATACCACAAGGAAACCACACATACTAATCCCAACCAAAGGAGTCAGGCCATTTGTATCTCCTGGCACATCTATCTACTTACCGGCATTGCTTTCTTTGCTGAATCTGCTCCTCCCACATCTGTTGACATGCGCATAAACCACCGGAATCCATTATCTTGTAAAACATACACACCCTGGATTGCACGTAAGTCCATATTAAGCTCATCCATACTTGTCTACACTACACACTCACTCTGTGGTTGGTCTTTAGATTATCAATCTGTTTCTTGAACATGATGGTCCAAAGATCTTTACAAATAAATTTGACGACATCCAATGTATCCACAAAACGAGGTCTGTCTTTTGTAAACCGTTCTACTAGTCTTTGACCTACAGCATAGCCTAGTGTTTCCAGCTTGTAAAAGATCGCGTCGCTGTCTCCATCTGTCTCTGCTGTGGTTGTTCTACAAATAGTGTCCACCATTTCAATCAAAAAGAGGTCCATGCAAGATTCGCTGACAAGTCGGTTAGACGCATTCAATCCACCGTCCGTGCTGCTGCTGTGATTGCCACTGCTTGTATGTGTTGTATCGTTATTACTGCTGTAGCTTGTCATGACAAAAGTGTAGGATAACCAGAGGAAATGAAAAAGGAAGCCTAAATGGTGAAGAAACCCCAATCTCTGAATTTCAAACCCTCCCACAAGCATTTCATACGAAAGCAAAGCCCGCGCTATCTAGACAGCATCTCTTTTCTCTCTTGCCAAAATGCTATCACCTTCCAAGCATCAAGAAGAGTACGATAATCCTTTTGCCAATTCAGCATCTATAGATCCCTTTCAAGATGCTGCCTACATTGAGCCTGACTTGGACCTGACGGGACAGTCAACCGTAAATGCACAACCAGCACAGGCATCATCACCACAACCTGCTCCAATGGGTAATATAGGAAGCAGTGCATCTACGACCAGACAGCCTGAGCAACCATCAGACAACAATACAAGTGTGTATTCTGGCCAAGATACATTAGATGAACCAGTGACAGTGACCATTGTAAGAACAACATCCAACAGCCCATCATGTGAAAATATTATGCTAATCTTCAACAACTATCTGTAGTCTCGCGATTTAAAGAAGGTAGGAAACAAGCTGCTACAGGTATTGCATCCTAATGGAGACCGTGATGTGCTGAGGGACTGTAAGTCTACCAAACATGCCACAATGCACTACCTGACACTGACGCATGAAATAGGGGATCTTTGGGGCCCACTCTTGTTGTGTTTGACACTTGCCATGTAAGCTAAGCTGTTCTGCCACTCGCTTATACTATCCACTGACGTGCTAGATGATAGTCTGTTGAGTATAAGAGCTCCTGACAATCAAGCAGTATCCATCTTTACAAGCGTGTTTGTAATTGTTTGGTTAGGAGCAGCTGTGGTCACATTGAATGCGAAACTATTGGGAGGCGCTGTCAGCTTCTTTCAATCGGTGTGTGTGATGGGATACTGTCTATTTCCAATAGTCGTCAGTGCCATTGTAGCTACGTTTGTGCGATTGATTTGGGTGAGATTGCCTGTGAGTCTGGTGGCATTTGCTTGGTCAACATATGCCTCGATTGGCTTTATGTCAGAGTCTCAAATTCATTTACAAAATCGTCGTGCATTAGCTGTAAGTTTTATCAGATGGAGTGTAACATGTCAATTAATTCGTTCTGTAGGTTTTTCCTTTGTTCTTGTTCTATTTCGTCATTGCATGGTTGGTTTTACTCTCATAGATTAATAAAAAATCAGTGTACAAATGTGAGTTTATTAGTGTCTATATTAGATTTTACGAGTAGGCATCAGACTGGGTGGTAGCTTGGGAGGTAATTGAGCGCCCAATTGCACTGCCTTGATTAGATGCATAGCGACACCAAATTGATCCGCATCCAAATAGCCATCGTTATCCCAATCAGCCAATCGCCAAATATCAGCAAGCATATCATTAGGCAATCCAGTTTCCACGAGGATGGGCTTGACGTTAGCACCCGACACCATGCCATCTCTGGGGTGCAGGCTCTGGAAGGTTGGCATATAGGAGGATTTATCCAAGTTGCTGTATTCCCAGAAGGAGGGAGGCAATTGACCGTTGTGAACAACTTCAGGGTTGCCCTGTGCCATATCGAATGGATTCAGCTGCGATTTCTCCAGTTCAGGATTACCCGTAGGGAATTGCGACATCAATTTAGGCAGATCCACAGCGAGTGCTTCATCCACTCTCTCCAACAAATCCTCCTTGATGGACTTGAACTTGTCCATATCGTACAAAGCGAGATTTTGTCTGAATTTCTCTGGATTGGGGAAATCACCAGCTGGTAAGTGATACTTGTTTTGGATCTTGATAAACTCTTGATCCAAATGTTGCAGCAGCTTTTCTTGCTTTTTCTTTTTACCAAACATGGAGGGCATTTCCTTCTTGAGATGGCCAATGATGAGCGCGTGTACTCGAGCCAAACGAGCTCGCTTGACAATTTCATTGACTTTTCGAATTGCTGCATTTCTTCTCAGTTCCTTTAAATCCACCAAAAGATCCTTGGATTCGGCCTCAATCAATTCTCGACAGTCTTCAAAGCAGTTGGGAGGCTTCTCGGTCCAAAATGAGCTCAAATAGACTCGCATCACCTCGGGTGTTTGCACGACCTTGCCCAAAGACCACATCATGGCACCGTACACTCGCATCAACTGCTGCTGGCTTACCATGTCACTCTTATTTAACACGACTCGAATCTTTTCTTCCTGTCCTCTCAAACTGTGAATGGCCATCTTGAACTCGTTAGAGATATCCAGCTTGTAGGAATCAAACATCAGCAGGATCAGATCGGCACGTTGTGCAAACCATTCTGTCACTTGAGTAAAATCATAACCACGTTCAATACGCTGTTTATCGCCAGCTAAAATGCCGGGTGTATCAATGATGGTCATGTTCTCCAGCACAGGAGAGGGCGTTTGAGAGACCTGTTAATGATCTGTTAATACTGTCCATGCATTTCACAGTAGCAACCCACCTGGAATCTCGACAAGAAGGCCTGTCCAAAGTGGTTCAACCCACGGAATGGCAGCTCTTGGTTGACAGCAGCTGCATTACCTGGGATAACGCGATCCTCAGCACCATTCATGACAGCAAGAAAGCGGTCCGTAGTAGGTTCCACACCAATATGCTCACCAGGATATTTTTTATCCAACAAGTATCGAATGAATGTAGTTTTACCCTACGCACTCAATGTGTCAATCCATGCTGAGCTGATCCTATCAAGAAAACTTACAGTCGAGTATTGACCAAGCAGCAAGACCATGGGTTTTGCCTCGATGTCCGAATCAGTCAAGGGAGCAGAATGAAAACCTTGTATTACACGTTGATATATGTTTGTTTACAGTCTGCTTGTCATTTGCTTACCTTCGAAATTGTACGTCACCTCCAAAGGCTTGATTTTGGTCTTGTAGACTCGTTTGACACCTTCGATGATTTTGTTGTACTCCTCATCACCCCAGTTGGTAGAGGCATTAGGAGAACTTCTCGTCTGTTGTTGGCCTGTCTTTTCCTTTTTATTCTTAAAGATGCCCGACATGTCTGATGTAGATAGAAGGAAGAAGGAAGATAAAATAATACTTTCACCCGAAACAAGAAGATTTTCTTTTTGCTGTGCTGCTGCTTGATCATGAACTAACACATTCAAGAAGCTCCGAATCAAATGTAACTCATCGAAAGAAAGAGATCGCCCATTGAGTATTGGAATTGCAACTAATCTCGTAAAAAGTATCGACTGAACATGCTCGCGTGTTACTCTATTTGCCATTTAGTTTTTTGCAAAGTATTTCTTATGTAAATCATGATGGCGTTTCGAAGTGGCGTTCATTTGGTGTTTTGAGGCTATTGCTCTGAGCGTATATGCCGTCAAGAAGATTGTTCGTCCACAGTCTTTCATATTTACCACATCTACTCATATACCTCAATCATCTCTTAAACGAGTCGCTATATTTTGTCTGTTGTGTTATTTGGCCTTATAGTACAAATACTGCTATTTGGAATAACAGCATTTTGTAGCATTGAATGCTACCGGAAAGCTTCTCATAGAAATGCAAAAGGGTATCAGGTCTCGAATCATCAGCAAAATGATGATGACCGAGCGAGGGCTTCAAATTCCTTCAACTACTTGAAATTAAGTCGAGAATGAAATTACACATAAACATGAGCAGGTGATGTTTGCAATTCTTTACAGGTTTTTTTTCTGGGGGATGGCGGGTGTAACAAGAATGAAGAGATTTGCATATCATAGTAACCATAGTGTAGCAATGTGAGTTTCATAGCGTAAGAGTAGCAAACAACGATGTATTCGTAATCACGACAACCCTATTAACAAGGCGCATTCATCTAGTGATTCCCAAGATCAACCACAAGAGGGACAGACAAAGAACAAAAGAGTGTCTGAATCTCAAGTATAAAAGCTGAATGGAAAAACCGTATCCGCATTTCCAACCCGTCTTTTTCCTTTTTTCTCTTCCTTTTTGCTTTTCCTCAACAAAATGTCAGCAGCCGAATACAAAAAGAAGTTATACGATATCCAAAGAACAGGAGAAAATAAGAATTGCTTTGACTGTCGAGCACCCAATCCTCAGTGGGCCAGTATTTCCTATGGCATTTTCATCTGTTTGGATTGTTCAGGCATCCACCGCTCGTTTGGTGTTCATATTAGGTAATATGTGTGTGGCAACATACTATTCGAAAAAAAACTCAACACGTTTGCCTAGTTTTGTTCGTTCCATCACAATGGATAAGTGGTTTGACGATCAATTGAAAAAGATGGAGGTACTCTACAGTAGACCATGTGTAGGTGATGGAATTCTCTAATAACATGATGCAACATAGCTGGGAGGAAATGAAAAGGCAAGAATCTTCTTTGAATCTCAACCCGATTATTCATCTGATATGACCACACAAGAAAAGTATCATACGCAAGCTGCTGAATTGTATCGTGATAAGGTAAGGTTTAGAAGGGTCAAACGACTGTGTTGTTCAAACTAAGTGCCTATGGGCTATTAGCTATCAGCAGAGGCAGAGGGCCGTCCTTGGACACCTACACCATCGATCCGATCTGCAAAACCACCCACAGCAAGCAGACAAGGTGGTGGCACTCGCTCTCTGAGTAACCAACAACGCTCCAGCCTTTCCAGTACACAACGCTCAAATTCCTCCATCTCCATGTCGGGTGGATTTGGTAGCGATTCTTACAATAACAACAATCACAGTGGTACCTCATTTGGTAGCCATGGAGACGATGAAGGAGTGAGTAAAAAGGTGCGCAACGAACAATATTTCGCTCAACTGGGTAATGCAAACGAGAGCAGACCAGAGTAAGTTGCTGCTGATGAGATGAGGTGAGCTCTCCACTGATGATTAAATAGGCATTTGCCCCCAAATCAAGGAGGTAAATTCACAGGGTTTGGTAATCCTCAATGTGAGTAAAAGTCTTGATCTCATTTTTGTGCATTCAGCTTACATCTATGATGATCTAGTTGACGATGAATACGCTGCTAGAAGAAGCGGCAACAATGCACCTTCTGTGGACATTCATGAAATTATCAATGATCCTCGTGTCGCTATTGAAAAGGGCTGGTCTCTCTTGTCCTATGTTGGTAAAGCGGCTGTGGAGCTTGGAAAATATGCAAATGATACATATGTGAGACCTGCAGCAGCTCAATTAGCTGATCCTAATTTTAGAGGCCAAGTAAGGGATAATGTCAGCAGTTATGTGAGTTTATTTACGCAACCCAAGGTAAGCAGTAAGAGTGGGGATTTTGCTTGGTGATCTAGCATAACTAACAATCGGGTTTTGTGCAGCAAAACTCATCTTATGGCCAATCTAGTAACTCGTATCAAGGCTTTGGCAACGACTCGGACTCCTCAACACCTTCTCTACGCTATTCGGGTATGAATTCATCCCATACAACTGATATTCCCGATGACGATTTCTTCAATGCCACGATTCATAACTCACAGCCCACCGAAGAGAACATTAGTGGGAGACATACACCAACTTCTGCTGCCAATACGCCTCCAGCAAAAAACAGGTCCTCTACCCATTCAAGTTCAGTGCGCGCAAGAGCTAATTCATCAACCAAAAAGAAGGCAACAGCTGCTAATTCAGATGATGAATGGGGCGCCTGGTAAATAATACCGTCTTGGATAGACTTTAGAGCAGTGTATTTTTGTGGCCCATCTTCTTTTTCCATATACATCTTGTCTTATACATAAACACTTCATATTCTTCACATTTTAATATGCTGCAAGAGGTGGGTAATGAGTTTATTTAGAGTGGGGGATATGATGAGGATGATTTAAATAGACATGAATAATGATACAACCAAATAGCCATTGAGGCCTATTAATAGCAGTGAAATAAGAATAGCAAAAACATTGGCTATCTTGCCATTAGCATACGTCAATGGTTCAGGCCATTGATCCATTTCTTCTACCACGACAGCCGGTGTCTCTGCTGCTGATGTGCTTTGAGATCCTACATTGTTGGCAGCAGTGCTGGTGGTGTGATCAGATTTGATACAATAGCTCTTGACCGTGTCCATGTTCATCTTGCTGAACTGAGGGAAACGGAACCAGTCCGATTTTGAGCTGGAGAAACGGAAACGAGCAATAGTACGATCCACCAAGGACATCTTCTCTTGTTGAGTCACTATTGCTGGGTCAGGATCCATGGTTTTTGCTTGTACAACAAGCTCTAGTTTCATGGCTTGCTTTCTGGCAGTAAAATACACCAGAGGCACCACAGCAAAAGGGAGCTGAATACTCAATGCTACTTGACTACCGACAAGCATGCTACTGAGACCTTCACGGCCTGCAACACAAGCAGCCACCATGGCAGGAATAATGGCAATCAATCGAGTAACGATACGGCGAATCCACGGACGAGTAGTCATACCAAGGAAGCCGCTCATGACAACTATTCAGCCAGGGTTAGTTTGTGATGATACAGTCATTTCATGCTTTGCTTACCTTGACCTGCCAAAGTAGCAGTCAGTGTACTTGATTGACCAGCACATAACAAAGCCAATGCAAAAGTAACAGCAGCAGGAGGACCCAAGTATTGCATCAAGAGCGCATGTGCACTGAACAAATCCTGTACTTGTTGCTGTTGGTTATCTGGACCATAATAGAAATTAGCAGCGGCAACAATAAGGATAGCACAATTGACAAAGAAGGCAAATGTAAGGGCAACAATTAAATCCACAAATCCATAATGTAGATTGTGTTTCAAGGAAGTATCCAGGTACGATTTAAGGGTTTCGAAATCAATCCCGGTGCGAGATTTACATGATGCGTTGTCTTGTTGCTCTTCTGGCTCCAAACTGACAGTGACATGTGAAGGAGCAGTGGTAGTTCCCTTTTCACCCGATGTAACATTCAGCGTCTCCACGATGGGCTGCTTTGTATTGTCTTTGTCTCTGAGCGGATCCGTCTTGACAAGCCAGATGTCTCCATTTTTGACAACTTTGGGACGTTGCGTGCGCCATTCACGACAGCGAGCTTGAACAATGAAACTATGGAGATAGAGATTGTGAGGCATGACGGTAGCACCAATGATACCAATAGCGATATAGAGGATTTCGGGGTCGGCGAAGATTTCTTTGGTGGGTAGAAATCCTTTGAACACATCTACAGCGACAATATCCGAATAGGCCAGTTCAATGATGAAACAAATACCAACAGCAGCCACCAGCATCATGACAAACATTTCAAAGAAACGCACCATACGTACAGATGCAGAATCTGACGTTGCACTACTATCGGGGTCATCGGCTTCTTCAGTGTAAAACATCAAAATGATAAAGACGTCTACCGCTGTAATCGCTACACCTGCTGGTAAGGGTAGCTTTGGAAACAAGAGATTCAATGCAATGGCAGAACCAATGACTTCTGCAATATCGGTAGCAATGATGGCACATTCTGCTAACACGTACAAGAATAAATTGAGCCAACGAGGAAAGTATTTTCTAGATGCTGATGCCAAATCAAGTCCAGATATAGTGCCAAGTCGAATAGTGAGGTTTTGCAAAAAGACTGCAATCAAATTGGACATCAAGATGATGAATAAAAGTCGGTAACCGTAGGATGATCCACCTTCCATGTCAGTGGCCCAGTTGCCTGGATCTAAACTGAATTGACATGGAGCGTTTAAAAAATCAAATGCAATTGAATGTTCGCTTATATACTTACTATCCAACAGCAATCATGAATCCAGGGCCAATGAACCTTCCCAATGTCTTTAGATAGCTCTTTACTTTCTGTATTGGTTTTAGCATGTGTGTCTATATCAAAAAAAAGTAAAGGATAAAAGGGAGAGAAAGAGAGGAACCAAAATAGAATGTTGAGATGATTTCTTGTATTTCTGATACACACATCATAAAACCCATCCTTTGTAGAGTCACTTTGGTTCGCCGTTTGAAGCCTTAGGATAATAGCATAGTTGCAACTGGTAGTTGTGTAGGGTATATGGCTCTTGTAAAGGTTCATTTTAAGACACCCATTCATTAAATGTACATCACTTGATCAAACTTACAATAATGTGCATATTTAATTCACTTTAAATGCTGCTTGGGGTGATTTATTTTGCATGCATTTGATGATTGTGTGCATTCAACTGGGATTAACACTTGAATTGTTCTATACATTTTGAATAAGGTGATAGTTTTGCCAATAGCAGCCGGATTCGCATTTTAATAAGCAATAAGCAACGATCAAGTCTATCAAATATAAATATGCAAAAAAATAAATGTCCAGATAGTAATAGAGGGGTTTTTTTTAAAAATTGCAATCCTCTTCTTATTAGCTTCAGAACGTTGATTTCCATTAGGATACGAGGGTAATCATTGATTTAGCTACTGGCCAACTTTTCAATCTCAGTCAAATATTGCTGTTCTGATTTGTTAGCTTTCAAAATTTTTGAATCCTATTCGACCTATTTTGCAAGATTCGATTATGTAAATGGTAAGAATTATTCTATATCTCCTTAAGCTTTCTTGGAGTAATTTTCAAGGCGCATTCGACCGTTCTATTTATAAGAAGTATTTTGACTAAAAATATTCAGCAATGATTGAAAATATGAAATTAGATTTTTGGTCAAAACGTCGAGATTTTGTATATAAAGGCTCTACAAATAAAGCTTTAGGGGGTGCTGTGGATCGAGAGGAACGTTCTGATATAATATATGCCATAGTAAAAGTCTTCGTTATCAAGGTGAAAAATGCAATCGTTTGATTTTTGGTGAAAACCACGAGGGGTACCTCATGCTTTTTGGTCAATTTTTGGCCATGTTTTTTTGATCCCCAAAAAGTTGAGCAAAGGTGTCAGAAAGTAACTGCCAGATGAGAGCAACTGTTTGGTGCTATTCTGGCGGTTTTAAGCGGCTTCCAGCACAAGAAATTGTTGCTCAAATTCACCCATTTCTTGCTGTGCTTTGCATTCTGTCGAATGCCAAGAGGCAATTCAGGTATAATGTATGCCTTGATCACTTGTTGAGTAGTGAAATTTGAAGAAATCAATGTATTGGTATGCCAGAACCAAGATACTTCCATCAAGCATAAACCATCGCTAGACTGTGAATAACCTTTATGCAGAAAAATCAGCGGCTGGTTCTGTCAAGTAGCGCTTACGGTATCCAATACCCTCTTAGATGGATATGATACTAGCATTTAATACAACTATAGATACCGTAGATACTGTAGCAAAAGTCATATCTCTATCAAAGCTTTAAGATATTTTTGGCTATTTTTATATTAAACTACGGATTGAGCGAACGTAGGTCATTGTATAATTACATGTGTGTATATAGTCCCTCACACTACTAGTGCTTTTGCAACGACTAAATATTTTGCTCTAGAAACTTCTTGAAGTCTGGAATACCTTGTATCCATAGCAATCCAACAACTTGTATATTAGTACATAAACTCTCAAGCGCATTATCCAATAATATGTGTCTATCTCTAATAACATGAGGCATGAAGCTTGTGCAAGACTGCGTGTGTACAATGACTAAATAGCTATCTCTTCCGAGAGGAGAGTTGTATTGCCTACAATGATAGCGGTACTCTGTATGACATCAAACATAACAATGCTTCGAAATGGCCATAGTCAGACTTTCTCCATTCATCTTCAACCACAGCTTCACGATTCAAGAACATTTATATCAGTGGCACTTATGATATCAGTTGCTTCAAACGGCTTTCTGTTTATACATTGGTTTTAATAGAGAATGTAATAAAAGACGATGATATAGTAGGCAATGCAAAACTCTTTTTATTATTAATTTGCTTGTAACTTTATAGAAAACGATGGTAATGTATGAGAGTTTGTTTAGATTTGAATAGATGCTAGCTAACTTGAATATAATTTGATTTAACTTGTATAGGTAAGAGATAGTATTGATGTGTGTATTGCAAGGTTTCGTGTATAGAATGGAGACAGCAGATGTGGCAGTATGGCTTGACTTTGTATATACTAGGCAGCATGAGTCTTGACATTATAATAGATGGCAGGCAGCAGAGATACGAGTATGGCTTGACTTTGTATATATTAGGCAGCATGAGTCTTGACACTATAATAGATGGCAGGCAGCAGAGATACGAGCATGGCTTGGTCTTGTATAGATGTAGAGATGGCACCGTGTATTAAAGTGGTTTTGACATTGCAGGAAATAGATCTACAGTATATTGCGGGACATTGGATTATTACAAAGGATACTTACCCTGTAGCATACTTGATGGACGATGAAAAGAGCAGCTTGAAACACGAGGAGACCAAAAGATGAAGCCAGGCTTCCAGGGCAAACCATCCGCCACAACTTGCATATCCCTAGCAACAAGGATGGGATGACACCTCCCGGGAAACGCACCTAGCGCCTCGTCGCATCACCCTTACGAGCTACCGGGGCAACAGGTGCTGAGGCCACACGAGACAACCACCTTACGCGCATGACCCCTAGACCCCATCCAAGGCTTCAACCAAGTATGGAGTGTTTGCAAGTCAAAATATAGAGGACCTGAGCTCTATTAATAGAGAGATGGTGAGTCATGCTGCTTTATAAGCTAGAAGTGACGAGTACATACCTGCAGAGTTGATTGTATGTTGCTATTATCTAAAAATACGAGGAAAGTGCGACCATGTTTTGCATGGACCGCAACCTAAGAGAACCATGGAACTATGAGAGCATTGTGTAAGAAAAAGCCAATCATCAGTAGAGTGTTTGATTTACTTGACCATGTATAGAGCAGAAAGAGAGCCCAAGAATATTGCAGAGAGAATTCGCTTGCAGAGAGAGTTCGCTTGCAGAGAGAGTTCGCTTGCAGAGAGAGTGAGTTCGCTTGCAGAGAGAGTTCGCTTGCAGAGAGAGTGAGTTCGCTTGAAGAGAGAGTTCGCTTGCAGAGAGAGTTCGCTTGCAGAGAGATTTGTTAATAGAGAGTAGAGATGAGATGAAGAAGAAGAAGAAGAAGAAGGAAAAGCTGTTGAAACAAACATCTATTTATATCCTTCTCATCGACTTTCATGTGAGTCCAGTGTCCTTGCCACACTCAAATTCATTTCCTTAACTTTTCTCCACAATATGCTACTTTGAGCGCGTGAAAGTAGTACCATTTTGACGTTTGACATTTGCTCTATTTGATCGACTTCGTCCGACGCTTTCAACTGTTTTCTGTCTCGAGTTATATTCATTTTACTATTTCAAAAAGCCCTTTTTTTTCCACCTCCACATGAAACGAGTTCCCCCATCTCTTCCTAGATGTAATTAACAGACAACTTTTCACTGGCTCAACCTCATCAAAAAGTAAACAAAAAATGTCATTTGACACTGAAACAGATGCAGCTGGTTGCTTGATTAAGTAATCTTTTTTTTTTTTACCTCTCCTTAATTTCTCTCTCCAAGATCACACGGTTCTCGATCCATCTCTCTTGTTGTTTACATCAGCCATAAACTGTCCATCTAATCGGACAATACGAGTGTTAAGGTTGGCTTTCTTGTCGTTTACATCACATCGGAGCCAGCATAACTGATTCTGGACCAAGAAGCAAGTGTACACCTCGGAAAACAAGCGTGCCATATGAATATTACTGCGGCAATCTCCATGGAATGGAACATAATGGATCGTTTTCGAACCAGTGCAAATCATCTTGTTTCCAGTTATCATGATTGCTGTCAATGATGTCAATCAAAGTGTTTGCGCTACTAGATATCATCAATATGCCCACATTTACATAGTGAGTTGGTCATTCTTGTGTATCATTCCTGCAACCTGTTTTTAGTTCTTATGCCAAGAGCATGCATCTCATAAAGAGTCAACACGTTTCATATCATTTTTTTTAGGGATCGTCCTCTTTTAGAAGGTATTCGGATCATGCAAGACCAAAATAATTCATTTGCTAGGTAAAACTAAGCTTTAAAAAAAATCACATGTAAAGTAAACAAAAGGACATGAATTGAAGAGAGATAAGCAAGTAAATGGCCAATTTGTGGTTAAAGAGAGGATATTTTATTAGAAGGTATGTACATTATTAGAAAGCAAATCACTTGAGGAATCCAATGGTACTATTTTCAGGGTTCTAAGTAAAGTACATATCGCGAAATTCATCAAACAAGGCCGTGGGATTTCCAAAAGAAAGAGGTTTTTGAATTAAACTTCACCTGCAATATCATTTTTGTCTGTGTGCTATTCTGTTGCTTTGGATCATGTCACGCTCCTCCTATGTCACCAGCTTGTTCTTTTTGGGTCTCACGTTGGGTACGCTGTCCATTTGGGAAGGAGTCTCACTTTCTCGTAATCTTTCCTGTGAGTATCATTGCCGTTATATTATAGGGCTTTGAGCAATCAAGGAGTGTCTTTTTTTGCCAGCCAGAAGGAATTAAAATCTCGATCGACATTCTATCACAATTCGTTGATTTTTGACCCTTTTGCGACTCGATCGATTTATTTTACGAGATTCGACTATGAAAGTTGTAGTGATCATCCTTTACAGCCTTAAGCTATCTAGAAGTACTTTTCAAGGCGCATCCAATGATGCTAGTTATAATGGCTGTTTTTAGTGAACTTGTTGAGCAATTCATGAGATTATGAAATAACGTTTTTGGCGAAAATGTCGAGATTTTGTATATGAAGGTCCCACAAACATGGTTTCAGGGGCTGCCCTGAATCGAGAGAAACATTTTGATTCAAGATATACCATAGTAAAAGTCTTCGTTATCAAGGTGAAAAATGCGATCGTTTGATTTTTGGTGAAAACCACGAGGGGTACCTCATGCTTTTTGGTCAATTTTTGGCCATGTTTTTTTGATCCCCAAAAAGTTGAGCAAAGGTGTCAGCAAGTTAGTGATAGTTGAAAGCAACTGTTTGGTGCTACTCTCGAGGTCCAGAGAGGCTTCTAGGACGAGAAATCGCTGCTCAAATACATCCAAATTTCGCTGCGTTTTGCGTTATCTAGAGCTATAGGAGGCAATGCTAGTATGCTATCTATCTGAATATGACTTAATCCCATTGACACAGATGTGGAACACCATGGAAATCAGATCCACAGCTGTAGACCGTTTACGTGGGTTCCTTGCTTTATAATGGAGAGTTAGAAGGCGCATGTTGGTAGAATGAGAGGCTATATACAAGAGCACTGCGACAATGTGAAATGGACCAAATCTTTAGAATGATTCAGCAAGGAAATCACTTTGGTGAATACACATTCTCATGGAAATCTCTGCGATTGATCAGCTTTGAGCACAATTTGGGATAGCCGTTTAACCTTGGCTGATGCTATAATAGACGTTTTTTGGTAAAATCAATGTATGTGAGAAAGAAATAATCATTGGAAAGCTTCTTATTCACTTCACACAATGGATTCCTGCCTCAAATCCTTGTTGAGATTTATGTTTTCTGATAGATCCATCATGCGCATTGATGCCTGATATAATGGCGCTTCAAATTACAGCATTTGCTACTTTCCATTTAGAATTTTGATTAAACAAACAGGGGGTGAATTTAAATCAAACACTCTTTGGTTCCCATGCCATTTAGTGTCAATAGCCTCCATGTCCATAATCTCTACATACAGTTCAAGCAATGCAAGATGCACTATACTATTAAAAATGACTTGATTTGTCAAGGTCTGCTTGACTCACTTCATGGAAACACCTAGAACCGCTCTTTCAAATATCTCATGTAGAGTCACTGAACTAAGCTTGTCCGTTCCAATCCACCCCCCACCACCCAAGGAGCCCTGTTTCTGACAGATAAAGGAAAAAAGAAAAATCAAGAGTATCGATTTCTTTCTCTTTCTTTTCTATATAATTCCAAAAATCACAATCCAACATGTTTTCTGTCCCTGCACTCCGTAATGCTGCTGCCATGTCAGTCAGACGTACTACCACCGTCTCTTCCATGAAGGTCGCTACTGCTATTCCTGCTATGCGCCGTCGTTGTTATGCTACTGAGAATGGTAAGGATACTGCCAAGGAGGGAGAGGAGGCTGCCACTGGTAATGCAACTGAGGCACCCAAGGCCGAATTAACTGAGGATGTCAAGAAGATGTTGGCTGAAAAGGACAAGCAAATTTCTGAACTCAAGGTAAGAGGAAAAAAGAGAGAGAAACACAAAAGGGAGAGAGAAGAGTGGATGATTAACGCATATCACTCAAGGATGCTTACCTTCGTTGTCTCGCTGATCAAGAGAATGTGCGTGAACGCAGCCGCAAAGAGATTGAAACCACCAAGGAATACGCTATTCAAAAGTTTGCAAAGGATCTTTTAGATACTGTTGATATCTTGAACATGGCTTTAACCGCTGTTCCCAGCGAGTTGCGTGAAAAAAGCAGCAGTCTTCAATCTGAACTCGCCAAGGATGCTGAAAAGATTGTTGATCAATTGACCAACTTGTATACCGGTGTTTCCATGACAGAATCCGAGTTGATCAAGGCATTGAAGCGTCATGGTGTTGAACGTGAGAACCCCGAGGGAGAGGCCTTTGATCCCAACAGACACCAAGCTCTCTTCCAGGCTCCCATGCCCGACAAGGAAGCTGGTACCATTTTTGCTGTACAAAAGATGGGTTATACCCTTAAGGGCCGTGTTCTCCGTCCTGCTCAAGTTGGTGTGGTTTCCGATCCTCAATAAGCGTTGTATAGTAATTTAGAGAGATGTGTGTTCGTGTGAGGTGTTTGTTATATTAGACCAATTTCTTTTTTTTTTGTCTTTTAATAAAAATGTATTATAGTTTATTCTTCATCAAGAGGTATAAGATGCTGGTTTACATGAATATGGCCAAAGTAAATGTTCCCTCGTTGCGAATAACAACATGACTATGTACACAAGGTGTTTAATATTAAGTCGGCTTATGGGTATGGGTTGCTTACTTGTTTTCAAATTCAACATTGATGGTTGGACATTCGACTTTATCTTCCTGTGTGTAGTCGAGATGGCGGGCTGTATTGGCAATGGATGTGATGAAGGCAGCAGCATCTGGTTTAGCGATGCCTCTCACTAGAGCTTTTTAGCGTATGAATACGCAGACTAACCGAGACGGAACTCACCTCCTAAACAAAGACCCTTTTCATCTGCCACCAACACGCCTTTGACGCCTTCTTTATTGGCTCTACATAAGACATGGTTGAGTGGATATGTAGATGAGCATGCTATGATGGTATTTACAGATTATCGAGCGTGGATATTAATTCAGATTCCATAACGTGAATGAACAGAAACATTCACTATAGCCAAAGCTCGCCTTGAAAATAAAAAAAACAGGTGCATTTTCAACATGGGTGCACGTAGATCTGATCCGAGAATGAAAATATGGTATATTTATACTAGCCGATCTATCTCGCTACGCTCGATATCGGCGTTGCCCTGTGGGCTCTCGCTACGTTTTAAATCAGATATTATAACATTTTGGTATATCAATTAGATTTTATACAACCAATTATTAGTTAGTAAAAAAAAAAAAAAAGGTTATATCAGAGCCAGGAGGAGGAGAGTAGGTATCTACCCCAGCATCCTTTTTGCTTACACTGATATCAAACAAAGCCTATTATTGGGACAATGTGAAACAAAATTCAGGTTTTATGCAGCATTTGTACATCACAATCTCCATTTTCTGATAATAAAATTGGCATATCATTTGTTGCTGCTGATGCTCTTAATGAGATGGTGATATAAAGCTGACTATGTGTAAATACAGGACTTGTGTAAGATCTGCAGCAGCTTTTTTCAGATATTGTCATTGCAAAAGACATCTTTATGAGACGAAGCTTCCCAAAAAAAATTATTCGGGCTATTCAATTGCCCCTTCGATTCCGTGATCCCCATTTAATCAGCATCGCAATTATCATTGCCATCAAAAGAAAGACATTTAGGTCAGCCAGCAGCAATGCCGCCACCATCACCAAAATTGATTCAAACTCAGTATATTTTTTCTGTTCAAGATTGGACAGATTTTGTCTTTTTTCGACTTCTGCAATCTATTTTGTGATATTCGACTATAAACTGTGATGATCACCTTATGCCTCCTAATACATTCTTAAAGTACTTTTCAAGGCGCTTCCAATGGTGCTAACTGTAATAAGTGTTTTAAATGAAATTATTGAGCAATTCGATAAAATATAAAATGAGGTTTCTAGCAAAAATAGCCATATTTTGCATATGAAAACCTCATAAAAATGGTTTCAGAGGTTGCTTTGGATCGAGAGAAACATTTTGACTCAATATGTACCATAGTAAAAGTCTTCATTTTCAAGGTGAAAAATGCGATCGTTTGATTTTTGGTGAAAACCACGAGGGGTACCTCATGCTTTTTGGTCAATTTTTGGCCATGTTTTTTTGATCCCCAAAAAGTTGAGCAAAGGTATCAGGAAGTTACTACTACTCAAGTACAATTGCTTGGCGTTATTCCGATGGCTCAGAAAGATCTACATGTCAAGATATGAAGGCTTGAAAGCTGTCAAGTTCGATTATATATTGCTTTATAGAGTTTATTTACACGGCATAAATCACATCTTTGGTAGCTATAATTTACTGGAAAGGCAGTTCTGTAGCTTGAGCAATCTTTAATTCAAAGAGGAGGCATACTGATTTTGGTAAAGATGCTTCATGCAAATTTTGATGCACTATGTTGCTTGTAAGTTTATTAACAATGGAAATGAAAACCGAATTTACTGCTTGAATACTATGGTTTTGCACCTTCGCTTTGCTACGGTAAACCCCTCATTAAGATTAATATTACCAAATGGTGGGTTAGAGGCTTCGTTGCCATGGTTTTTCACCTTCACTTCGCTACGGTGAAACTGCCTCATAGGTCAATGTTACCAAATGTTGAATTAGATGCGTTATGTTTTTGGTGAATGGGCTCAACACTTCGTCCAAATCCCCTCCCCAATGCCGGCTTCATTCGCCTTGTACGGTACTCAATTCTTTAAATTTTTGAAAGGATATCATTAACTTGCCTACTTTTTTTGAATGTTTTTCAGTATATATAGTGAAGTGAAGATGTAGCAAGTGCTTATGAGACGTTGCAAAAGAGCAATATTATGGAATCTAGTGAGATGGCAGGGTCAATGCTTGTGTGTTGTCCTTCATATTTGGTCAGAGCAATGGTAAATACCTTGATTAGACCGCTTCACATGCCATAATCGTTACAATTCTTGTATACTATGATGATAAATACGGCATGGCACCATATGAAAGGTATGCGTAGTAAGATGGGCAGTTAGTTAATGATTACAATTAACAATGCAAGTGAATTAACCGTTCTGCGGCTCATGATCAAATGAAAATACGCGGGTTTCCATGACTATCTAAACATTTGAATGTCGTGCAAAATCCAGACACACCCATTTAAAACATCAATTTTTTGTGGCTGCACGAAACCTGCTCTTTTTATCTTTCATTTTCAACGCATTCATTTCTGCAACATGTCTACATCCTCACAGCATACGACCGACTTGCCAGCAGGCCCTGAAGAATTGAAGAGTATGCATACCATGTCTGCTGTTGACATAAAACTAACATCTTGTATAGCTCTATCCGATGAGCAGTTCATAGAGGCTTTAAAAAAGTACCATGTTGACAACATTCACGCACCAAGAATCGTCAAGGATATATTGCAACGAATGTATTCATTGTTGAAGAGTAGCAAAGAGCGCGAAGCAGTGAAATCAAAGGAAGCCAGTGAAAAGATATTGTCCGTCTACGATCATTATTCAATTCTCGAGGAGATGTACAAGACTGAGCACAATGCTGTTATCAAACTTACAGATGAGAAAGCAGAAATGAAAGCAGAATTTGAAAGATTATCGAGTGAAGCAGGACAACAATTGAATGAGGTCAAGAAGCAATTGGAAACGCAACGAGAGGAGGCGAACAAGCAAGCGACAAAGCAAGCGTTGGGCAGAAAGAGACTGGAAGACATTTTGGTGGCCAAGAACATTGAAATTGACTCTATTAGGAAAAAATTGCAAGAAATAGAGGCTCAAAATGCAAAACTTCAGACAGAAATTCACGCAAACAAAACGCTGATGAGCTACCACATTGCAGCAGTACAACCCAACCAGCATAATGCCGACGTCCAGCAACCTTTGCTGCGACAGCAAAACCAGCGTCCACAATAAGAATATCTCTCTATATCCCTCGTCATTACATGTATAAAGTCAAATCAATTATAGTAAAAAAGAATCATGTTTAAATTCATTGTAAATCTTAAAATTACATTTTGTTATATGTATAATGAAAAGGAGAGGAATATGTAAGTATCATATGCTGTATTAAGAGAGAGAGAGAGAGAGAGAGAGAGAGAGAGAGAGAGAGAGAGGGAAAAGGAGAGATAGGGAATGAGTCTACTTTTGAGTAGATGATCGTTTCTTCCAAAAGAACAAGAAACTCTTTCTATTGTTACTGTTACTGTCAGTGTTGGATAAATTGGTGGTGGCAAGTGTGGATGTAGAAGCAGCAGCATTCATAAAGCTCAGTCGCTTTACTGCAGATGTTGTGGATGGCAAGCTCATGTTGACTGAGGGCAACGGTTTGTTGGCGTTCTTTTGCTTTGGTATATTTACGCTTGCGGGTTGCAGTCTCTGTATAGCTCTCTTTTCACCATGTTCAGCTGCCTTGCGATACCATTCCATGGCAGTGTTCTCATCTTTGTCTGTACCAATACCCATTTCAGAAAAGTAACCTACGGCATACTCAGCTCTTGGTAATCCACTTTGAGCAGCACACATGGCCCATGCGTAGGCTTGCTCATCTGAAGGCGCCAGAATCTGTGGAACACCAACGAGATACCAAGCCGTTAAAGCAAAGCAAGACTCAGGATGCTGTTGTTCAGCAGCGATGCTATAATACTGTATAGAGAGAGCAGCATCTGGCGTGCACTCTAGCTTACCAAATTCGTAGCATTCACCGAGTCGATGTGCAGAAGGTGCATAGCCCAAAATAGCAGCCTCGTGGTAGAGACTGACGGCATACTTGAGATCAACAAAAATGACAGATTCAACGCCTTTTTCGTGTAAAAGAGCAAGTTCATGCAATGCATGAGGGTATTGTGTTGTTGCTGCTTCTGCTGATCGTTTGAGCCATTTATGACCATCTCGAACATTTCTTGATAGGCCGAGCTCTCCTTTCATTTCTGCCAACCCGAGACGATACATTGCTCCTGGATGATTTAGAGTTGCCGCTTTTCTGTGTGTGTGTGTATATATACAAGTGAATTTCATGTCTATGAGACAGGATAGAATTCCTTTCTTACCTATAGTATTGCACTGCTTTGCCCTTGTTCTTGGTAGTGCCTAGACCATCTTCATAACATTTTGCAGTTCTAAAAATAAAAAATAGAAAGCAGAGTGTAAATAAATATGTAACAGTGAAATGAAATGTCTATATGAAAGCTATAACAATGCATTATCTAGCAGCAAAGGTTGATCCCTCCTCATTCTCTGTCTCTCTCTCTCTCTCTCTCTTTTCCGCTAATCCCTTAGCATTTCTCCAATGCATAAATCACCTCCCTTCTATACCAGCGAAAAACACCCCCAAATCCCTTGAATTTTGTTTATTTACCTGTAGGCTGCATCTGGATGATGGTGTTTTGCTGATTGCACAAAAAGAGGAAACGATTTGTCAAAATCAGGTTTTCCAGTTTTATTCAATAGGCCGGCTGCATACATATTCGCAAGGTAGTATTGAGATTCACTGTGTCCACGCACTGCAACTTGCTTAAGTAGTTTTTCAGCTTCCATCAGATAAGCATGTTGCTGCTGTTGTTCATCGGGCTGTTGCTGTTGTTCATCGGGCTGTTGCTGCTGTTCAGCTTCCTTCTGTTGCAATCGCTTGGCTGCTTCTACGAGAAAAATGGCAAAGTCGCATTGAATCTCCATGTTGTTTGTCTTTTTAGCATTCTCTCTATACATGTTGATGGTTTTACTATAGGACAACAAACTCGCATTTTGGCCAGGTTTGAGATGGGAGTGATCCAGCAGTTGATCACTCGATACAGATTGGATGCTGCTTGATGAAAATGAATGATTACGTGCTGTTGCAGCAAAGGGCAATGGTGTTGAGGGTGGTGAAGTGGTTGCTGAAGAAGGCAATGAAGCATTGGATACGTTTGATTGGTTGATCATGGAGAGTGGGCTTGAGGAACGACGCTGTTGCTTTTCAATGGCCATTTTCTTTTTGACGTCCATCCAGTTTGTATTGGGATTCGATTTCAATGGTAGTTGCATGGCAGTTTTTTTGGTAGTGGTCATAGTGGTAGTAGTTGGATCAACTTTCACGTCTAACATCATTTTATCATTTTTCATCATATCCATGGTCTCTACGACGACAGGATGATGATGGTTTTGAATGTGTAACATGATTTAGCAGGAATAAAGGGTAAAGAGAGAAAGAAAAGAAAAGAAGCCAAAGAAAAAGCTAGTTTATATGTTTATTACAGTAGAGCCCATCTTGCTATTTTGCATTAAAAAGGTTTATAGCTATTTTACGGCTCACATGTCTTGCTAAAATGGGATGGTTCAAACGCCAAGGGGGGGGGGGAGGTGCGGGGGAAAGTAGACACAGCGAGGAGCATTACATGTATGTTTCCATCTATAACTTGTAGTGTAACAAACTATATGTAATGTGTATGTAGGCTACATACCAAGTTGTTTCTGCTGTTGTTGTTGTTGTATTGGATGCGTATATGACGTTTATATTATTATTCTATTATACAATTGACCTCGAGGACAGTGGTTATTATGATGATTGCTTAATTTTGGTTACTATAGTACTATGGGTTAAAGGAGGTCAGCTATTTTAATATACCAGCACATTACCACTTTACATTTTTACACTACTTACCGGGAGTTGCTTGGATTTTTCGGCTGATATCGAACGATGTTTCTATAGGATAAACACAAATAATCATGTATCATGTAAGCCTCAATGCCTAGATTTTATCCAGTATACACACACATTATCACCCCACTCACCTTGAATTGAAATCCAAGCCAAACCATAACGCACAGAACCAACAGCAGAGTCATGGCATGATTCGAATAGGTGATCGCTGTTGTCTTGGTAGCAGTGATGTTTGCAGTTATCGATGCTGAACCCTTGGACTGCACAATGCCGATCTCGCTATTTCTTAGATTATTGTCTAATCCGATAAGATCATTCTTTGCTGTAACTATTGATAGTGTTCCCCTGATTTGAGGTGGCTGTTGTTGTTCTTCCAATTGTTGACGAATATCTTGCAATGCTTTACGATTGAGCACGATATCACTATTTGGAATACTGTATTCTGGCCAATCGTATTCCCCATCTTGATCATCCTCCATCAGATACTCGTGCTCTTGTTCCAAATCGTCATAGAGATCCCATTTGATTGTTGTTGTTGACATGTTGGTTTAAAGGAGACGAGATGCAAAACAGAAAGAAGAGAAAGAGAGAGAAAGAGAGAATGAGATGCCAAAATAACTTGTTCAGAAACCATCGAATTCGCAACACAGGAGTAATACAAGTGTGAACATCAAACAACTTGAATTGCTAAAGCAAGTAGTTCAACACGTTTACAGGTTGAACAAGCCCAGCTGTCAGGAACCATTGAGAAATGGATCCCTTTCAAGCTGATGTAAAGCAAACATTGGCATTGCAACGCCATTTGGTACGAACACTGCGCTTTTATCTTGCTGTTGCGTATCATACGCTGTTATCATAACGCAGACACCCAGCATGACGGTGCTCATTCACTTTTAGCGCAGTTGCCAAATGTACAAGAATGAAACGAATGAGCCGAATGTGTCACAATACACAAAACCAATTAAGGGAGTTGTCAGAGTGGTACACACAACAATCAAGTATGCCATGATCCGTTGATAATTTACACATTTACCGTGGACACTGATCGAATCAGGATGGCAAGTTCAAGACATATTTCTTTTCGATTGGAATATACAAACATGTGTGTCTGCAGAGTAATTTCCTTGTTTGATAGACGTTTCATACAGTTACATTAAAACAAGTTCCTAAACCACGTTTTCATATTGATTACATACAGAGTTGATTCCATAGTATGTAGCATGTTGAAGGCCATTTTCAGCTACTGTGTATATTTAAGTTCCTAACCATGTTTTGATCTACGTGTAGCGTTTAAGGTATAACTATCTAGGCCACACATGAAAAGCATATTTTCACTACTGCTAGAAAGACAAGGCCGTTGCAGGGTGGTGTTTCATAAGCATCGTGGAGAACTTTGGTATCAAACACACACCTGGAGCATGATCGACGTGTGCCTCGACAGGCTTGAGGATCTGGAGGAGTAACCAGCAGTAGGGATGGACCAAAGAGGCTGCAACACTAGAGATAAACCATAGAGCACCACGAGTTGGAAGAGAAATAACATATAGTGGTATTCAACCTGTGGCTAGAACAAGCATGGGCACAAGATTATTTCGCTTTTTTCTCATCCATATACATCAGCGAAAACACCTTCAAAAGAGAAGAGTAAAATAATGGTATACTGAATCCATTAATGTAATGCAGTGAGAATTCTTCCACGAGTCCATACAGTAGTCAAATACTCTCAAATCAAATAAATGTCTTTTTCAATCCATGTCTTGATTTGTGCGAATCCGGTGAGCATTTGTCGAGATATGTCCAAAAAAGGGGATCATGCAAAATCATCGATTTTTGATCAAAATCTGCCTGTGATAGCAAGCAGAAAATCTGGTGACGATTTTTTGGTCAGGACAAGATTTTCAATATTTTATGATAGGGTTATGTCAGAGCTTCAAACAATAGCCCATTCTGTGGAATTTGAGGCTTGATAGACTAAAATTCACGGAAAAAAAAGAATAAAAAAACAGTAATGTCAACTTGATAAAGGTATATTTTATTATCAAACTGACAGGTGTAAAGTAAACTGAAGTCTCTCTACTGGCCAGGTAGATGATCCTTCTTATATACTATAACAATGGATAAAAGTTCTATTAATTAGATTGACAAATAAGTCAACTCAGATCAACTAATGTCTAATCATGCTAAAAGACAACTCCAGCAAGCTAATCATGATTTAGCTCTGTCTGGATGAATAATTAGACTCTCATCCGAAGTACCCTGATCTATCCTTTCTATAAGGATAATTAATATCGATCTAGTAGCATGTATCCGATAGGTACAGTCTTCTTAGTCTATATTAATAGTACATATCTGAGTGTATATCGCTAAGCATACATCTTTAGCATGTATCTGGATATATGGCATGTCTATAGCATATCGTATGCATGTCTTTAGCATGTCTCATATATAGTACAAGTCTGTAGTACATAACGTATCTGTAGCTAGTATCACGGATATAAGCATGTGTCTTATAGCGTGGATCATGAAGTGCACATCTGAAGCAACAAGCTCATATTGCATTAATCTTGGTGCCTATCCAGATATGGTAAACATCCGTAGTCAATGTCGGAATACAAGTATAAGTCTATAGCGCCATTCATGTCCGTGGTGCCATCTATAACCTATATCTTATATAGTATGAATCTTATAGTACTAGCGTATCTGAAGTCCATATCATCTTATAGTATAAATCGATATCGTACATCTAATCCAGTGTACATACAGTTTATATCTAAATCTGGTAACTGGATGAATTGTCGGAATGCAGATCAGAGTGGATGTATTCCACAACACCATTGTTTAAAATAGTAACACCCCACTTCCATTGTTGTAATTCCACTTGAATCTTGCATCGATTCGACATCAATTGGTTTGCATCTATCCTGAGTCTGTTGAGGATATAGATCATCTCTGAGAGGCAAATGTATTAGGCGTCGTATATTACATAAGAGGATCTGAGAATGAGCTGAGATGCATAGTAGAAGTGAGAGGTCTTTATTCAAGCAGCACGAAGGAACATGAGTGGTGCCATCAAATGGCTAATCTATATCCTGGTTCCTAGAGAGTGGTAGCCTATGGCCTTTCGTCCCTGGAAGTGGGTTTCAATTCCGACAAATGTTCTTCCGTCAAAGCTATTAGGAAGAACATTCTATCCTGGATCATCTTTGTTGTTTATCCTTGACTGGTGGTTCATGAGTTCTTATGCAGTACATCCTCGTTACTGGTTCAAGGCTTATACAATTATCCCGCATTCAAGATCAAGGTCCTATTGCTGCGGCACTGTCAAATAACTATAAATACCTTTGATATCTACACTAGTTTTGATCCCTATTCAATCTTGGAATAACATAATAAATATATTCAGTTCTAATTGTATTTACTCTGTCTATATTTCGTTATTCTAAACAGAGTCAAAGTTCAGAGTCAAATCCACATTTCAAAATAGTAATACTTGGCTATTAGCGCGCAATCTCATTTAGATCCCTGACTAATTCATCGATTCAACAATATCGGCTCCAAATATTGATTAGATTTTTGGCTAAACTTGACAAGAAGCACCACGATTAAACGAATATGTAACAACAACAAAATAGAAGCGACACCAATTGAGTAAGCACCAACATTGATTAGCAATACACCAAATAGAGACCACATCGACTAGAATAACAGTATCAACATACCATCAAGAGATAACATAATACAGTTTTACAACAATTATATGAGTGTGTCAAAGCACCAGAATACCACACCCATGAGGAGAAACCCTTCAAGTAAGACATAGTAGATAATAAGTTAGAGAATTATACCTTGAATCCACCACCTGGCGCCTTTCCCATATACGGTATAATGCCTTTTTAGGAAATCGAGATAGAAGAGCCAAGTAACCAAGAGAAAGATACACACGTATCAATATGTCAGGGTTGAAGGGTATTCTGACAGTGATTTAGATCTGCAGAATATCATTGACAGACTAAACACAAACAAGAATAAGAAGCGCAGGTTTAAACCTAGAGCGCCAGCTAACAGGAACATCAAGCAGCGATTAACCTGGATAGCACACAAAATTACACAAGCTATATTGGATAAAACCAATATCCAAATCTAATATTAATAAAGCACCTTTTTATCCATTCAACTAAAAGGGCTATAGCATCTTCCTGCACACTCTCTATATCTACTTCCATTTATATCTCGATCAGATCTCAGATTGCATATACTACCTCTACGTATTAGCATCTGACAAATATGTCGTGCCTAAATTTAGGTTTAAGCCAGATTTGAAGAAAGCAACTAAAAGGCGCCAGCGTATACTCGAAGGTTCTGGAAACTGATAGCAAGCATTGATCTGATTATCAGTTGCTATATCAAGCACTATATCTACTCGAAAGTTCCATTGATTAAGTAATTATCGATCGTAGAAATAGTATAAATATAAGTTGTAAATGCATTCAATAAACAGCATCTTCGAACATAATCTCAATCTATTAGTTACACTCTAAGTTATTTGTTAACTCCTACCATTGGATTATCTATCAAGACGACATGTATTAGGAAGCGTAGGGTGATCATCACAACTTATATAGTCGAATATCAATAAATGGATTAAAGAAGTCGACAGGAGACAAAATTTGGCCAATCTTGAACAGAAGAAAAACAAACTGAGCTTGAATTATTTTTGCTGGTGGTGTTGCTGATGATAACAATGATGGTTGCGATGCTGATCAAATGGGGATCATGGAGTTGAAAGGACAATTGCTTAGCGTCATAATCATCATTGTTATCATCAGAAAAGCATTTGGGTTATCTAGCAGCAGCGCCGCCCCTCAAAACGTGTCCAAATTTCTATTCAAAGGACTCCCAAATGAAGCCTATAATTCTACGCCACTCGGAAATTTTGCAGTGTAGTGCTGTTAGTAACATCATAATAATGTTTCAGAATGTGACTCTGAAACGCGTTGTATTTTTATGCATAATGACACTGGTCTTTTGGTTTTTCTCCACCTTTCTGTCTGCTTTTTTGGTCGTCTCTTTCTATTTGGTCTTGGTCTCTTTCTATTTGGTCTTGGCCTCTTTCTATCTGGTCCTTTGGCGGTATCAAGTGGTGCCTTTATATCCTTGGCCGGCTTGCCACTGGTCTTGGCTCTGAAAAGATGCTGCTTTTTACGAAGAGATTGGGTTGCTTTGCCTTCTCATACAGATCTATCTTGGCAATCATTCGATGATGGAGTATTAGCCTGAACTCTCCCCAAACCGGATTTAGCCACAAATGCGTCCATTTATATACTACGGAATACATGCCATCTCCTAGTAACTTTCGTGTTGCTATGTACGCTATCCGTATTGGTTCTTTACGAGAATAGGGTAGTTGGTAGGGTGACGGCCTACCAAGCTGTTGATCTCGCGTATACATGTTACATCATGTGCTCTTTTGCATGTGGTCTATATCATGTAATTGAAGAGTAGGTAGTTGGTGGGGTAACGGCTCACCAAGCTGATAATCTTCGTGTGCTATCTGCCCAAAGTAAGGAAAAGTTCCTCTTGTTTTGGCTGCCGCAAGAGACGACTATACGCTATGCGTGAGGATAAGGGTAGTGAAGGGTCCTAAAAAAAACTCCTGTGTATGAAAGCAATCAAATCTAGGGAATGCAATCCTCAAGGGAACTGTTCTGTATGGCTGCTTTGATATTCTTTCTGGAGGTGAAATCGAGTCAAAGCGGCCATATGCAGTCATATACAAACTGGTACGTATCTTTTATGAATGCAAAAGGTTCCTTTTACTAATATTGTTTCTCTGCTTAAAACTGCTTTACGCCCTAAATTTATTGATGGGCGTGGGTGATTAGGGGGGCATCGTTTGTGTGCGCCGCGGTCAACCCTCCTTTCACTCACTCGGTTGTAAATAGTCGGGCTATCGATACCTACTCTGGCCTGGCGACCCTCTCTGGTGAACTGCTATCACTGCTATTGGAGTGATAGTAGTTTCTCTCCTTTGGTCTTGGTTTATCTTCTTGTTTTTTATAATAAAAATAAAGCCATATTCTTCTTTATTTTTCAAAGCAACCTTTATACTCCAAAATCGTATAACAGGCTCAAATGAAAATAGCGTCGTCGTGGCCAACCAGATGCATAATATCAAAAAGTCTTTGTTCGCATTTACAAGCATGATCATGAGATTCTGACTGAAGATGAAGGATGATAGACCTGAAATTTTATCAACAAGGATGTCCGTATTCGATTGAACCCTCAAATGAGATTGGAGCTAATTGTTCGCGAAAATACGCGCACTCAAAACCTGCCAACTGTCAACGAGATTGCAGCCATCATTCCTAGTGAATATCATGATGATACAGGTTATAAAGATGCCAGAAATCATTCAAACTCCGTTCGTTTTTCTTCTGTTCAAGATTGGCCAAATTTTGTCTCCTGTCGACTTCTTTAATCCATTTATTGATATTCGATTATATAAGTTGTGATGATCACCCTACGCTTCCTAATACATGTCGTCTTGATAGATAGATCCAATGGTAGGAGTTAACAAATAACTTAGAGTGTAACTAATAGACTGAGATTATGTTCGAAGATGCTGTTTATTGAATGCATTTACAACTTATATTTATACTATTTCTACTATCGATAATTACTTAATCAATGAAACTTTCGAGCAGATATAGTACTTGATATAGCAACTGATAATCAGATCAATGCCTGCTATCAGTTTTCAGAACCTTCTTCGAGTATACGCTGGCGCCTTTTAGTCGCTTTCTTCAAATCTGGCTTAAACCTAAATTTAGGCACGACATTTTGATACGTGTGTATCTTTCTCTTGGTTACTTGGCTCTATCTCTATTTCCTAAAAAGGCATTATACCGTATATGGGAAAGGCGCCAGGTGGTGGATTCAAGGTATAATTCTCTAACTTATCCACTATGTCTTACATGAAGGGTTACTCCTCGTTGGTGCGGTGTTCTGGTGCATTGACACACTCATATAATTGTTGTAAAACTGTATGTTATCTCTTGATGGTGCGTTGATACTGTGGAATTTGAGGCTTGATAGACTAAAGTTCACGGGAAAAAAAAGAATAAAAAAAACAGTAATGTCAACTTGATAAAGGTATATTTTATTATCAAACTGACAGGTGTAGAGTAAACTGAAGTCTCTCTACTGGCCAGGTAGATTATCCTTCTTATATACTATAACAATGGATAAAAGTTCTATTAATTAGATTAACAAATAAGTCAACTCAGATCAACTAATGTTTAATCATGCTAAAAGACAACTCCAGCAAGCTAATCATGATTTAGCGTTTGCCTGGATGAATAATTAGACTCTCATCCGAAGTACCCTGATCTATCCTTTCTATAAGGATAATTAATATCGATCTAGTAGCATGTATCCGATAGGTACAGTCTTCTTAGTCTATATTAATAGTACATATCTGAGTGTATATCGCTAAGCATACATCTTTAGCATGTATCTGGATATATGGCATGTCTATAGCATATCGTATGCATGTCTTTAGCATGTCTCATATATAGTACAAGTCTGTAGTACATAACGTATCTGTAGCTAGTATCACGGATATAAGCATGTGTCTTATAGCGTGGATCATGAAGTGCACATCTGAAGCAACAAGCTCATATTGCATTAATCTTGGTGCCTATCCAGATATGGTAAACATCCGTAGTCAATGTCGGAATACAAGTATAAGTCTATAGCGCCATCCATGTCCGTGGTGCCATCTTTAGCCTATATCTTATATAATATGAATCTTATAGTACTAGCGTATCTGAAGTCCATATCTTCTTATAGTATAAATCGATATCGTACATCTAATCCAGTAAACATACAGTTTATATCTAAATCTAATAACTAGATAAACTGTCGGAATGCAGATCATAGTGAATGTATTCCACAGCTCTCATCTGGCAGTTACTTATTGCCACTATTGCTCAACTTTTTGGAGAACAAAAAAAAATGGACAAAATTTGACCAAAAAGCATGAGGTATCCCTCATGGTTTTTACCGATGAAATGTGAATGTAAGCAACAAAACATCCGAAACCAACTGGAAAGAGTACATCACAACAGTGGAAATATCAAGTTGAAATGTTTTGCGGATAGAAGAAATATTGAGGCTAATCTCGATCAACAGCCTTTCGTGGCTATGCTCAAGTATCAAGACCACCCGATACTTCAAATGGCAAACAAAGACTAGAGACTAATTATGCTTGACATATACAACCTGCATCATGTTGGACGAAAGTTCAACCATAACATCAACAAAGCTCAATGGAGACATTTCTATCGCCAAAACATGCACTACCCGACAAGAAATGTCCGATACAGGATGAACCACAAGCAATGCCCTAGTAAAGCAGCTCTTTTTGCTTGACGTCTAAGGAACATTGAAGAGGACAAATATACTTTTTGCAACGATACTGAAGATGTCAAACATCTCATGCTTAGCTGTCCTCACAAAAACGACACTTGGTCCAACATTTTCGAACAATTCCTGGGATACCCCAAAATTGCCATCCCAAAACAAATATACCAATTCAAAGTCAATTTGAACCTGGGGCAGTACTTTATCTACAAGCTAGACATCAAAATAACAATCTTCGACCTGTTTGCTGCTACCATTCGTATGTTATAAAGAACTCACAATCCAAAAACATTCAAAAGAGTGCCATTTGATACGAACATACTACATTCAAATAGTAATTTAAAAAGTTTTGTCGGCAGCATCTATTCAAAATTAACTATTTTCTAAAATTTCCCTTTTCTCAACAACCATGCTATCTAAGCAAATTTCAATTATTAATTGGACAAATGTAAACCTGATGCTCATTTGGAGGATAAATTAGCCTGACGCATTTACTCTTTTATCTGAAACTCTGTTATCAAAACCATAAACACTACTATCAATTCGCATGTTACTCTAGCTGCTCATCCCAAAGTTGAATTTGCCTTTTCTCCTTTTTTGTGGTAATTATGGAGTGTAACTCTTCAAAAATTTTAAAACTGAACAAAAAGTGGAGAAGCTGGGCGTCGATCCCAGTGCCTCTCGCATGCTAAGCGAGCGCTCTACCATTTGAGCTACATCCCCATCTCACATGAAAATGGAACCATTCAATTGATTATATAAATTACTGCTCCTTGTATGCGTTTTTTCTTTATTTAGAAAGTGATTGTATAAGATCTTCCCCTTTTTGGCAAATCAAATTATTTTCTGACTATAATGAGCGTTCGCTGAGCGATCTTCTTCATTCTTTGCATAGATAAAAATACTGAATAACCGTTGCTTTTCAGTATGTCGTGACACCGGTAGTTTCTCACAATATTCTTTCTTGCGGACTATTGTATGCGATTTTTCAGCCAACAAGTCTCAGGAGTAGCAGAATGTTCAGAGCTGACATGATGAGCACTAAAAGTGCATCAAAAAGATTGCAGGAGCAAAAGTCACATAAATAACCAGGAGGGAGAAGAATAGGTGGCATCCACAAACAATCTTTAATTACTTCCATTCACCTGTACATAATAATATCATGGCATTATTTGTTCCTGTTATCATTGGCCTCCCCATTGGATATTTCACTTGGGCTAAAGTATTTGATACCGTCGACAACAGTGTATATCAGATCGCTTCGAAAAAGCAATCTACAATCTCTTCATCACATTCAGGTACTTTAAAATCCGTGTCATGCAATAAAATCAACTTACAAACTTACACTAGATGGTAGCATCGCAGACAGTGCAGCACTGGCAAAGCCTCCAAACTCCAAATTAGCAGCAGGATTGGGTGCTTTGGTCTCTGTGGGCTTACTGAGTAAAGTGACATTTACACCCCAAACAAGACATAGGTTATTTTTTGCTCAAGCACCACCAAACAGCAACATTCGTATTGTGACATTAAAGCTAGGAATAGAGCTATTGGTGAGATCAGGTGTTGTATTTTATGGTGGAGCGTCTGGTGGAGCAATAGCAGGTCGATTAGCAGCTTCATCCTCTTAGAACCGATCTCTTTATTTATTCACCATCTTTGCAACATACCATTCATTCAATGATGTAATTCTGTAACAATAAAAACCAACCAGTGTGAAGCTTAGGCAAACTATTGAAACGAAAAGTAGAATCATTCATCCTGCTGCATACAGTCAAATCGGTTAAGAGCATAAAGTGTGTCGATATTCATCGCTTATATCTTTAGTTTATCTCAGATAGGACTGAGCCATACGTATTTGCTGAAAGTGTTCAAAAGTATGGCTAGTACCATGAACGTACAATTTGTTATTGAAACAAGTAAATCGATCTATATTTATTGTACAGGATGCATTTTTGAGGTGGAAAAGAGCAAAGCGCAAACAGACTGTATTAAAAGGGAGGAATGCCTAAAGAAAACTATGTGCAAGGATATATGTATATGTGTGGAAAGTGCGTAATGTTACAATGTGAATAAAAAGGGGGATATGGTGTATAATGATAATAATAATGGTAGCAGAAAAATTAAGCAGCAGGAGCAGCAAAACCAGATACCCAACCAAGAGGATGTGAATCAGGGCTGTTAGACCAACAGCCTGTGGCATTATCGACTCTTTGAATGATTTCAGCAGCAGATGCATTTTCAAGGCAGTAGCGTAATAGTAGTTGACGCAGACGCTGATACGAATTTCTACAGCCAGCCTAAACAGATTCATGTTAACAAAAGGTAATGATATAAAGGCGACATTATGAAACTTACGGTTGCAGCACGCTCAAACCATTTTAATGCTTCTTCCAGGTTTACAGGAGTACCTAAGCCTTTTTCATAGCACAATGCCAGGTGATACTGTGCAGCCACCTGATCTTGTTGAGCACTGAGACGGAAGTAATGTACTGCCATCTCGAGGTTTTGACGACATCCGATACCAGCCTGAAGATGAACACCAAGTTTATCTTGTGCACGAGCATGATTTTGTTGAGCTGCCTTACGATACCAGTAAATAGCTTTCTGTGGGTTTTCGGGGACTCCAATGCCGCTTGCATAACAGAAGCCGAGATTGCATTGAGCCCAAGGATTGTTTTGTTTAGCAGCCTTCATGTACCAGTAGCAAGCAAACTTGGGGTCCTTCTTGACACCTAGACCTTCTTCGTAACAGAAACCAAGAGAATTTTGAGCCAAAGGATTGCCTTGCAATGCAGAGAGACGAAACCATTTGCAAGCTTCTTCTTCATTCTTCTCGACGCCCATACCATTACGGAAACAGAATCCCAAAGAGAGTTGAGCAGGTGCATGGTTGTGTTCAGCACTACGAAAATACCAATAACAGCTTTCTCTCAAGTTGACCTCCACACCAAGACCATTTTGGAAACAGTATCCCAAGGAATGATATGCAAAAATGTTACCCTGATTAGCTGATTTCTTGTACCAAGCGACTGCCATCTGCAAGTTTCTAGTGACACCAATGCCATTCTGGTAGCAGAAGCCAAGGTTGTGTTGCGCACGAGCATGTCCCTGACGAGCAGCCTGTCCATACCAGTAAGCACCCTTGACAGTGTCCTTTTCAGCACCAATACCATTTTGATGACAGTAACCAAGATTGCATTGAGCCCATGGATAGCCTTGTTCGGCAGATCGACGATACCAGTCAGCAGCGATCGTTTTATCTTGAGGAACACCAATCCCATCTTCATAGCAATACCCCAGAGAGTTTTGAGCAAATGCATTTCCTTGCTCAGCGGCTAATCTATAGTACTTGACAGCTTCAACATGGTCTTTGGCCACTCCAATGCCGTCCTCATAACAGTAGCCAATATTGTAAATAGCCACCGTCTCACCCTGAGCAGCAGCCAAGCGATAATACTCCATTGCAGTTTGTTCGGACTTCTCTACACCAAAGCCTTCGCCATAGCAATAGCCCAAGATCCCTTGACCACGGCAGTTTCCTTGATCTGCACTCTTCTTGTACCAGAGAAAGGCTTTGTGTTCATCCTTTGGAACGGCGATTCCGTCATGATAGCAGACGCCCAAACAATATTGACTTGCAGAGCAGTGATCTAATTCAGCTGCACGACGTATCCACGCGATGGCGTCAGGACCTCTACCCTGTATCTTTGCTTCCCAATATTCTGCTTCCACGCGGTTGATTTGTACACCAGGACGACCGTACTTTCTAAGAAATGCTAAGCGAGCCATGCCGAGTAATGTTGCTTGATCCAGTTCAAGTTCATCGATGCTGTGTGTAGCAATGCTCTCAGTCAAGGCGGTTTTGACAGACAAGATATAATAGCGTTCTGCAAGCTGAAAATCCAGCGAAATGCCGAGCCCGAATTCGTAACAAAAGCCCAACACTGCTTGAGCTCCAGAGTGATTGTTGTTGGCAGCTTCTTTCAAACAGGAAACGGCGTAGCTTTCATCTTTAGATTTGCCATTGCGGCCATATAAATGTTGCTGTGCTAGTTGGAATAGTTCTTCAGAGGTAGGTCGTTGCTGTTGTCTATGTGACATGATGGAATTACTGCGCTGAATAGCAGAAGGATGAACTTTATGCAAGGTGGATCTAGTCGAGTTGAACGATGAAATGGAGGGCCGTCTTCCCAATTTCTTATTTCGCGGGTGATGCGTCAAATATTTTCTATTGAAGTTTGAGAATATGCGTCGTGAAGCAATGACAAGATGTGAAAGGGAGGCTGTAGCAGGCATTATTGATGTAAAAATAGTAATAAAAAAAAAAAAGAGAGAGATGAAGGAGAAGAGGGAAAAGGGAGCAGAAAAGTCCCAGGTATTTATACAAGAAAACAAACAATACGCTTGTCCAGTTGGAAGAACTTGACTGATTCCAGCAGCAACGATCGCTGATGAGTTTCCCCTTATTTCTTGATAGTGTTTGTTTGTATATATCGTAGTTTTCCAAAAAGCATGGCTGTGTCCCTCGTGAAATTGAGTCTCCTCCCCTATTTTACATAGAGTTATCATGTGGGAACACACGGTGCTTCTCGTGCAATCCACCACGGAGTGAGGTATTCCGAATAAACTCAATTTCGTTGTGGTTTTATTCGCTCAATGTGTGTAACTGGATGATTTTATATTGACATTGTGTTGTTGATGAATTTGTTTGTGTTTCTCTCTTGTTCTAAATGAGTGAGCTCCTTCACGGGAATGATTGGCCCATGACCTTATATGAAAGGGAACTGGATCTAATAAACCACTTGTTTGCCCTTTCAGTTGTATCCGTTTGCCCATAAAAGGGGATTCGGCCACTCCGATTGTATTTCATGGCATACACTCATATCAAGATCATGGCATCCAAAAATCATATAGCGTACAAAAATGACCGTGCGCATTAACAAGTATTAGACGTTATAGCTTACTCGTATAACTTCGGGAGACATGTCTCCATATCCGTCCAACGTTCCACTAAATTAATTATATTACTTGCTATTGTAAATTGTTAGCTTTATTGCTTGGAAACAGCTATTTTTAGTTAGCCATGGAACTCTAATGTAATGATACTAAAGCTTTGCTGTCATTGATTACATATTGCATATCGTCATGGGCGTACATTGACGAGGGCCATTTACTGGTTGGTTGGTTGGGGAAAGAGATCAGACATTTAAACAACGGTTGACATGATGTTCATGAAATGACGTTTCCTAGTATGAATTTGTAGGTTGCTTCGCTGATTAATGCAGGAGACAAAATGAGTAAAATATCTGCATTTTGTCACAACTGAGAGGAAAGGTATGACAAACAAGTGTTGTCCTGAAAACCTGTTCTGGAGTACAACATTTGCTTTTGATCAAATCGAACAAAAAAACTAGCAGCAATAGCAGCAGCAATATTTCTTTTTGTTTATCGATATTGTACATGGAGTAGCATATTATTGTAGGACACATGTTACACTGTGTGAATATGCAGCAGTTAAACGCCATGTTGTATTATAGAATACCATAATATAAAAGCAGACGAATGTCAGCATATGTTGTGATTAAATGATGGATGTCATGCTTGATCAGGTTGTGATGAAAAAGTGCATTACATGACCCCAATAAACTACGACGATTTGAATTATTCACCAAGAATTGATTCTGCGTTACAGATTTTGTGATTTTAGATATATTCGAAAAAGAATGAAAGGGGTCACCGAGTTATTAGATGATAAGTTGTTTGTTGGTTAAATGAGGTGAACGGAAATGTTGATCCCGAGTATAAGTTATAATGTAAATCCCATTGAACTCATGAACAAAAGGTAACAAAGAAGCAATTTACATATACAAAAGAGACCCGTATGGTCTTGTTTTGGTAGAAATAGCACATTGTGATAGTAGTAAATTACCATGCCAATCTTTCAGATCAAAAAAGGGATTTTTGACACATTGCGGAGTACTGCAATTATAGTCGGAGTGGTGTCCGAGATCGAAATTAATAGTTCAGGTTCCTGAAATGTTGTATTTGTTATTCTTTTCTCTCTTTTATAATTACATTTGAGATTTCTCTCGAAAAGGACCCTTTACTTGTGGTGGTTGGGGGGGGGGGAGGTACATAAATCAGAAGCTTTCTGAAAAAGAGCCCTTGCATATCCTTTGTAGTCTCAAGTGATGTAGGGTTCATAGTTACACATATGCACATTTGTCAATAAGCTTTTATTTATTGGCACATGTATTAAACAAGCAATAATTTCTTGCTACAGTGTTGATGGAGACGTTGGATCCTTTTGGCCAGTTGTAATTTCTATATTTGCTGTTGTCAATATGGAGTTTGCGCTCTCCAAAACGCATGCCAGTCTGTGTATTGTCTATCATAGAACTGTAGCCTGCGATGACAGAATATGGTTCTTATTCAATCATATTGACCTCTATTTCTTGATAAAGCGATATCTAAAACTTTTATTTATATACATATTTTACAAGACATCTACAAGCTCATGCTTCTCTTTGGCTAAAGCAACAAGTGCTTCGTATTCACCTGAATTTTCACACATCTTGTTGAATATGGAATCAGGCGTATTCAAGAGTTCTAAAGGACTTGCAAACTCTGCAATCTCACCTTGATCCAGCACCAAAATTTTGTCATACTCTATCACAGTGCGAAGACGATGTGCAATACACAAGATGGTGCAGTCAGCAAATTCAGTGGCAATCGTCTTTTGAATTGCTTCATCCGTTTCAAAATCAACACTAGCAGTGGCTTCATCCATCAATACAATACGGTTTCTCTTCAGCAAAGCACGAGCGAGACAGATCAATTGTCTCTGGCCTTGAGAAAAGTTTTGGCCTCCTTCACTGACAGGCGATTCTAAATCGGTGAACACGTTGGATGTCAATAGGAGATCCTCTCTAGAATGACTATCGCCTTGTTCTGGTACATCCACATCGTCATCTGAGGGCAACAGTTCCACACGTTTCAATGCTGCCATGATACTTTCCTCGTCAAACTCCTGGAAGGGATCTAGATTGGACCGAAGTGTACCTGAAAATAAGACTGGATCTTGTGGGATGATGGTGAGGTTGCTGCGAAGATCTTGTGTTCCAATTTGACAGATATCGATGCCATCAATCAGAATATTGCCCTCTGTAGGCTCCACGAATCGGAAGAAAGAGAGCGCAAGTGTCGATTTACCACTGCCTGTTCGACCCACCACGCCCACTTTTTCTCTGGCATCCACAGTAAACGTGAGGCCCTTTAAGACAGGATCCAAATCAGGGGCATAACGCACTTCAAGGTCCTTGACATTGATTTTGCCTTCCACTGGCCACTAGGTTGGACATAATGATCAGCTACCTATTGCGTATATTATGCTGTTACTTACGTGAGGAGGCGTCCTCAACGCTGTGATTGCAGGCGATTCTTGCTCAATTTCCATGAATTCAACTACCCTTTCTACAGCATTAAAGCTCATTTCGAGTCGAGTGTATCGTTTGATGGCCATTGTCATCTATGCAATGATTTTAGGGCACTACTCGTGCTTGTTGGATTCAGTTATTACCTGAGAAGTATAGGACAAGACAAAACTCAAGCAGAAGCCTGCCAGCGAAGCATCCATGTAACTGAGACTAAGCAGAATGAATATACCCGTGCAGAAGTTGACAGCAGCACCTAGGAAAGAGAATCGAACACCCACCCATCGATTGGCAATCTATACGCCTGTTAGTAAACACCTGACTGCCAGCACTCTAAGCTTGTATAATGCTTACCCAAACATAGTAAAAGGGTCTTGCGTTCTCATCCACTCGACGCAGCATTTCATTCATGAATTGACGCGTAACACCGTACGCACGAATCGTTGCTACACCCACCAAAGTCTCACCAAAATGTGTGAATAAAGGAGATCGAGTAACAGAATCCATACGACGCAGTTCTCTGGACGCAGCACTGAACCGTTTTCCTATCACCACATTCAAAAAGGTGACCATGGCCATGGGGATTACAAACGCAGGAAGTACTGTACACACGGTCATGATGGCAGAGATAATGATCAGCCATTGAATCAAAAAGTACATCAAGTCATTGGGAACACCGGAATCAATATATTCGAAATCCTTTGAGAATCTGTTGAGAATACGGCCTACAGGTGTTGTATCAAAAAACCGCATAGGTGCACGCAACACACGTTGCAAGAGCTGTTGATAGAGCTTCTTGCTCGCTCTGAGTGTACCGTAGTAGAGAGAGGCAAATCGACCTGCGCCCACAACAATGTTTGTCATGGTGATCAGGATATAGATGGTCAGGTACATATCCAGTTGATCGCTTCCTTCCGTAGTGGAAAACAAGCCAAAGCTTCTGCTGTGAGCAGCAGGCCTGAATGTGGCCACATCGCCATCTACGACTGATTTAGGTGATGTTACTTGTTGTTGCATAAAATAGTAGTGCGCTTTCTCCATGATGCTCATAGTAGTGTTGAGAATGCTATTAGTAGGCTCATTCGATGCCACCCATTTCTTAATCCACCAGCTTTCTGCTACATCCAAAGCACGAGAACCAAAGATGAATGCAAATACAATTACCCAATAAACAGAGCCGCCTAAGGCATTGAAATACAGCTTGTACAGTCTACTGTTGATGTGGCCGACATTGCGAGCTATACACACACGGTTTGGTCAGTGATTAGCTACTAGCATCTTATTTTAACAACACTTACTCTCTTCTTTAATCAGCTGTTTGGGCGCTGCGTTGTGATCTGCTATGGGTATCTGGGAATCAGCAGGCTTCATCAGTTCAGGGTCAAGCTGTTGGACTTCTTCTTCAATGGTGTCGGGCTCCTCGTCGCCTGTAGGTGCTACGACATCGTCTAAAATACTCTCCAGAGTGCCTTGTGTTTCCAATTCCTGAGGAGATCCACATAGGTTGATGCGACCGTGTTCGAGGTGAACTACATACGATGCTTTTTGAATACAGAGTCCGACATGATGTGTGATGAGAATACGAGTACGACCCTCCATTAGTGGGCCTACGAGGCATTTATCGTGCAAATGTCTAGCAGTGTGAGCTACGCAACTTATCAGTCATCAGAGCTCGTTTCTAGCATACAAATACTCTTACCATCCACAGCACTCAACACATCATCCATCAGCACATTTCTAGCTCTGGAATACACAGCTCTGGCAAGCGCAACACGAGCTCTCTGCCCGCCTGACAGTGTAATACCCTTTTCACCTACTTCAGTTGCATCACCGTCATCCAAGTTATTCATGTCCTTATCCAGAGCACAAGCGTACATGGTTTCCTTGTATCGTTTTTCTATATAAGGTAGGCCAAACAAGATGTTATCACGAATGGATGCATTTCTCAACCAAGCTGTCTGAGAGACATAAGCAACAGCATGGTCCAAGATCCAGTCCTTGCGTGTGATGTTAGCTGGTATTTCCACGTCTGCCTCCAATGTGTCTGATACTGCTGTGCGAGGACAGAAGCTTTCTCCTTCCAACAAGACAGTTTCACCAAGTAAACTCAGCATCATCAGCGTCTTGCCGGATCCCGTAGCGCCACAAATGATGCTGAATTTGCCGTTGGGAAAATGAGCATCCAGGTTGTGCAGAACGAATGTATCTGCTTCTTCATAAGTGGAGGGTGCTGGTGTGGTGGATTGGAACGTATACGTGGATGTGGATCGAGGTATCTGCAGACTGTTGTTGGCGCTGCTGTTGACAGCTGTGGTGTTATTCGCGTCGTCCTCCTCATCGTCCTCCTCATTCTCATCATCACTTAAAACGTCTACCCATGATACAGTGGCATTGCGAAAGCCAATTCTCACTCGGCAGTTGGGATCTAGGTTGGTGGTTGGGGGCGAAATTTCTTCCTCGTCCAAGTAGGATTCGATACGACGCACACTATTGTCTTTGAATAAGTATAGGCAAGCATCTCTTGTTTCACAGTGACCGTTTACCTAATCAGTGCTTGCAGTGTATCAACAAATGTTTCTGGTAAACTGTTCAATGCAGATCTCAATTCGGTAAACACAGTAATGGCTGTGAATGCAATGGGTGCTGTCAGTTCTTGTCCTTGAATTTTGGTGAATGTAAAAAAAGTGACAATAGTGACCAACAAGGGCGTCCTATACCACAACGCACATCAGTCTAAACCTGCAGTGTTCTCCAGTAAACAACAAGAACCTACCCTTGCCACAAGAAATTAAACAGTACTTCGCTGAGAAATGTGGTGCGCAAATGCTTGATTTCCTCATCTCTTGCTTCCAACACTCGCTTTTCCCAATTGGACTCCCAGGCGAAAAACTTGATCTGTCGAATGCCTTGCAGTACTTCATTCATCAATGACACACGCTTATCACGAGCCTCCATGAGCTTTTCTTGTGTTCTTGCAAACATGAGGGAGTTGTAGTGATTGAGCGGCAATGTAACGATCATGACAGACAAGCCCAGCAAGCACGATGATCCAAGCAAAGAGTATAAGAAGGAGATGCCAACAAAGAGCTCAATGGGAGACTCGATAATGACAAACCAGGAAGTGGTAAAGTCAGATATACGTTGTGAATCTGTGCTCATCAAATTGACAATGGTACCAATAGTATTGATTTGTCTCTCCTCTGCTGCCGTGTTGTTCTTGTTGGCTGCTTCAGCTGCTGCTGCTGCTGCTGTTTTGGGCACTTCATCCTCCTCCTCTTCCTTGGCATCGCGATGCATATCTGCAGTTCCCATACGGCGAAGTGTTTTACGATAGAGCTCGATATTGAGCATGGACTTTACCTTGACACGCAATGAAGAAGAGCCTAAACGAACAGTGAGTCTAGTGAAGTGCCTTAGCAATCAATAGCTACTTACCCCAATAATACAGTTGGCCCACGACGATACTAAGAATCATCAGAGACAAGGAAAGCCCAGAGACAATCATCACGCCCTTGATTAGGTAAAATTCGTCCTGTTCACCAGCATCAATCTCTTGTATCAGATTCAGCAGCTTATTGAGAAAGTACGCAGGACCGTAGTATAAAGCAGCTGAAATAGCAGTGGTGATGGCCTGCAATATAAGGGCAGGCAAATTGGCATGAATCAAGCGGTGGATCAAGGATCGGTCTCTTTCTGCTCCAAATATATAGTAGAGGTTATAGCCGCGATACGTTGGTGGTAAGCTTGGGAGATGAATATCCTTTGCATTATTGTAGACGCCCAACACAATCGGTGTTCCCCAGTTAAAGTACAAGAAGCTAAAGATAGAAGCGACTGTGATACCAGCCACGGGTGCAGGCTTTTTGTCTTTGTCATGGCCTTCCATGTCTAAAAAGGGAGGACCTTGCTCTATTGATCCAGTGGTATAAAATAAGTCGAGCGAAAACAAGATGTCAAGGACCAGTGGTAATCCTTGAGCCAATGTCAGTTGACGATGGTGTACTCGGAATGCATCCCATAGACAGTAGAGTGATACAAATAATGATGTCATGTAATAGACAAACAGATGAATATTAAGCATAAAGCCCCATGTGTTTGGCAGTTGGTAGCGTCGAGATACAATCGTCAGCGCTAATACATATAACCAGGCTATACATATCATGGCGATGCAGATAATATTATAAATGTCTGCTTTTTCATGTGAAGGGAATTGTGAGGCGGCGTCGTAGAGATCATATAACCTCAGCGCGGTCATAGCCATGGTGCCAAATAAGATGCGAGTGAGCCGAGTATTGTCTGCAAAGGGTACGGTGTAGTCGCGAACATGGTCGTACTTGAGTGGTTTGGTAGCGCCGGTGCTGCTGGAAGAGGGCTGTTCTTCTGTTAGTCGAATACTGCCACTGGTTGCTGTGTCAGAAGCGTAAAAGCGACGTTGCACCGATAGCACGATTGAACTAAGACATGCTGTGCCGACAAGACCCGCTGCTGACCAAATGGACGCAGACAGTTCATGCTCCATGGTGGTATTGTTAATGCCGTGTAAAAAAGGATAGGATGAAAGAGAAGAAAGAGAGGGAAATATTAAATTTGAAAGGTTTAAATTACACAGAAAATGTTTCGGGTAAAATATGCCTCACAGAAGTGGTAGTGGAAGGTATGCTTTTTGATGGAACACGCATGACGATTGCATTAACATACAGACATTGATTTAGATCATGTTTGTTCTGTTCAGAAGGTGATGCCTATGACATTAAAGTTCATACTCTCTCATTGGCAAGATGAATCAGTAAACCAGCAATCACTGCGGTTACAATCCCAGTAGGAATATGATACTTTGATGCAGAGAGAGTTGCCTATTTCCCGAAGATTTAGCAGCCATCGTCATCTTGTTTGAAATCAACATCATTGACTGATAATGCAGCTTATATAAAGCGATAGCACGTATGTACATGAATACATCTTGTCTCTGCTCAAATGGGGGCATCGCTTAAATGCTCCAACATAAACTGCGTTGCTCATGAACGTCAAAATCATGCAAATACCCAAGCACAAACAAACAAGCAGAATTTCAGTTGCATGTACAGTAGTGCAGGCATAATCCAGAAAATAGGTAACACAAAGTTGGGCTATCGCTCGGATTGTGTCATGCAATCTACAGATGTCAAATGATTCCATCCACAGAGCGCTGATGGCTCAAATGCTCGAGATATTCAGCATTTAGTGGCAAGACAGAGCTTGTAATACAGTTGACAGCCAGGCCATGTAGATTTGCAGCATAAGATATATACAACAATACAAAAGTAGCCATAGAAGCTTATACTCATCCCACTGATATACCACGAATCTCAGTTTTCTATCTTTCACTATTATTAAGAGTCATCATAAACGACCTGTAAACACGAATCTGACGTTTCGGCGATGCTCTACGTCTGTATCGATGGAACCAATTCGTATACGGGCAGACAGCATGCACGTATTGCCTCCTACTACTCAAATCTATGCAAATCACAGCAAAATTTGGGTGCATTTGAGCAGCAATTTCTCTCGTTAGAAGCCGTTTTACACCGCCAGAATAACATCAAACAATTGCTTTCATCCAGCAGCAACTGTCTGACACCCTTGCTCAACTTTTCGGACCAGAAAAAAAACATGGCCAAAAATCGACCAAAAAACATGAGGGATACCTCATGGTTTTCATCAAAAATCAAACGATCGCATTTTTCACCTTGAAAATGAAAACTTTTACTAAGGTATATATCAGATCAAAATGTTTATCTTGAGTCAAAACAGCCTCTGAAACCACTTTTATGAGGATTTCATATGCAAAATATGGCTATTTTCGCTAAAAACCTCATTTTAAATTTTATTAAATTGCTCAATAACCTCAGTTGAAACACATATTACAATTAGCATCATTGGAAGCGCCTCGAAAAGTACTTCAAGAATGTATTAGGAAGCGTAGGGTGATTATCACAGTTTATATAGTCGAATACAACAAAACAAAGTAAAGAAGTCGAAAAAAGACAAAATCTGTCCAATCTTGAGCAGAAAAAATAATCTGAGTTTCAATTGATTTTAGCAGCGGGTGGCCCAAATGCCTTTCTGATATTGACAATGATGGTAATAACAATGATGGTTGCAATGCTGATCAAATGGGGATTATGAAGTTGAAATTACAATTGCTTAGCCCGAATAATTGCTTTTTCTTGGTAGTTTTTCCTTATAAAGATGTCTTTTGCAATGGCAATATCTCAAAAAAGTCGCTGTAGGTCTTACGCAAGTCCTGTATTTACTTATGGCCAGCTTTATGCTGCCATTTCAAGAGCAGCATCAGCGAATGGATAACTCGCTCTCCTGATTCTGATATAACCCCCCTTTTTTTTGGTATTTAAAAGCGTCTTTTATTGAGAATAAGGAAAACGACAGTACGGGACCATGAGGTTGCTTACATGTCGTCTAAGAAAGAAGAAATCAATTTGGAGTGATCGGCGAGAAAAGAGGAGAAAACTATCTGAGTATGCCATGATTTACCATCAAGAGAACAGCTCCAATGATGCTGCCATAGAGAAGAGAAAGCAGCTCCAAGAAGTTTCAAGATGGAAATATCCAGAGGATTTTTTTCCTGGTCGTGAAGGGTAGAGAGACCAATCCAGATGGCACTGTCCGTAGGGAACAGATCGGAAAGACTGAGGTGGGAGATGACCTCAAACCAGAAGAGGGATTTCATGTCACAGCCAACGACCAGATGGTATTCATCTTCAGGTGTTTCAGTACACAACTTACAGAGTGGGGAGGGATGCCTGGCACGGTTGATGATATGTAGGCGAGCCTGCACAGAGAGATGGTCATGGATCAAACGCCACCAGGGTGTGAATGCCTTGGCAGGAAGATAGAGGGACCAAAAATCACGCCAGAGGTGAAGGGGGGAATCAAAAGATGAGGTGGGCGATACCGAGGAGGGTGGGCTGGGCCACGAAGCAAATCAAATGATGGGTGCCAATAACGGCGTAATGCACCGAGCTTGATCTGGGCCATTGTAGCTTTTGTTCTAGGGCCGGTGATGATATACCAATGCGAAAAGCTAGCAGTGGGTGGAGAGGGGGTAGACTGGCTCTCCAACATGGCGGTGCGTTCTTGGTCAGCGAAGGCCATAACCGATCTAAGAGGAGCAGGAATGATCCACGCAGAAGGGCCTTCAAAAGGGCACAGAGCATTGAACAGATGTTGCAAGGAGATAGCATCAAGAGGACGTACACAGACCAAGGTATTAGTGTCTGGAAGCACACTCAAGAGGTTGGCAATCAACGCATGTGATGGGAGTGTGTCACAAGCCCTAGACAAGGTCTCTGTTGGTGAAAGGGAGCAGACACTTGACCAAGGTAGATCGAGGAACCACCAAGACGGCCACTGAGTATAGGGAGTCAGAGTGGGCAACCGAGAGATCAAACGAGCGAGATGTGCTAGATGAGGGCATTTTCGCAAACAAGGCGTGTAAGTACGAGGATACATCAGCAAAGGAAGAGCAGTAGCGTGACCCGAGTATACATGAAAGGTATACAGCAGCCAAGGAGAGAGAAAATCAGTCTGAGCACGAGGAAGAAGTAGACGTTTGACATATATGAGATGCAGAGCGAGATGCTGATTCTCAATGTCGACTAGTCCTAGACCACCATGTTTGCGAGGAAGGCAAAGGGAATCCCATGACACCACCGGCCAAAATATTAATCCAATTTTTTTTTTTTTTTTTTTTTTGTATTTAAATGTGTTTTTTATTTATATTATAGACAGTAAGGTGCCATAATATTAATCCAAAATGTTCCTCTCGACCCAAAGCAGCCCCTGAAACTTTATTTACAAGAATTTTATATGGAAAATCTCGACTTTTTTTTTTTTTTGCCAAAAACCTCATTTCATATTTTCTAAATTTGCGCAATGATTTTATTCAAAACAACTATTAAAGTCGGCTCCACTGGATGCGCCTCGAAAAGTACTTTAGAAAAGCATTAGGAAGTATTTTTTTTGTAGGGGAGACGAGCTCCAGGTTTTATTTAAAAAATCTAGCAAAATAGATCAACTCGAATCCAAAATCTCAAAAATCAACAAACCAGAACAGAATGTCGAGCGGCAATTAAATTGAACTCTTGCTGGTAAATGCCTTTCCCACGAATGCAACGGATGTTTTTGAAGGCCATAAGAGGGGAATTTGCGAATTAAAAAAGTACCATTGCTTGAACTAACTCTCCTTTACTGCCATCACTACTTGCTTGTCTATTTGGTGAATATATTCGTTATAAAATGCCTATTTGAATGCGAATCCTAATACGAAATGCAAAATCCATCCTACTGGAACGTATAACTCACTTTTGAGTGCATTTGCGGATCAGGGCTATCACAGCAAAACGTGTGCTACAAGTTTTCCCTTGTTGTTTTGAATCACGCTCCAAATGAATTGCTATGATTGCCTTCCCCACAAACCTGCAACTGCAGATCTGCCAACTGAAGCTACAAAAACCTCGTAATCGCCTCATACAGAACACCCTCGTACAATCGATACCATCAATGCTCAGCTGAAACTTCAGATATACATCAAGGTCTATATTACTCGCTTGGCAACTATTTGGCAAATGAACTATTCTTTCACACAATGAATAAATCAATCGCTCTGCGCGCATCTTATCACAATCGATAACGTTCCCGTCTCATGATGTATGCAATGGCTAATTACTCTTTATTACCACAATAGATCGTATTTACGGTCATGGTCAACATCCCCTCATCCTCCCAATAGCGCCAATGTAGACTAGTCTCTAAGGCTGGGAATGATCCTAGCTTAAGCAGCATGCTTAGTCAAGAGATTTTGTTTCATGCCATGATAGATCAAAGTAATGCAAAACTAAAGAGACGCGACTTTTACAGCGTCACGTATGGATTTTGTATACCTTTCTATCCAAAACAAAGAAGAAAAAAACTTTGTTTTACACACTCTTTCAACAATTCATCAAGATGGGTATTAAAGGATTGACGAATCTCATTTCAGAGCATGCACCTTCTGCCATCAAAAGTCATGAAATCAAGAGCTATTTTGGTCGCAAGGTTGCCATTGATGCCTCGATGAGTATTTATCAATTCATGATTGCTGTGCGCCAACAAGATGGTCAATTGCTTCAGAACGAAGATGGTGAGACAACGAGCCATTTGATGGGTATGTTTTATCGCACTGTGCGTATGGTGGATCATGGTATCAAACCAGTCTATGTATTCGATGGCAAACCTCCTACCCTTAAATCAGGCGAGGTAAAGTACATGTTGCATCACTCAATCAGAAGCATATGGATCTAAACACACACACACACACACACACACACACACACACACACACACACGCATGCATCTCTAGCTGGCCAAGAGAAAGGCTCGTAAAGAGGAAGCTCAAATAAAGATGGACGAAGCAACTGAATTGGGTAATCAAGAAGACATCAATCGATTCTCAAAGCGTACAGTCAAAGTGACAACCCAGCACAACGATGAATGCAAAGAGTTATTGAGAGTGATGGGTATTCCTTATGTAGATGCACCTTGTGAAGCTGAAGCACAATGCGCTGAATTGGCAAAGAGCGGAAAGGTGTTTGCTGCTGCCTCTGAAGATATGGATACATTGACCTTTGGCACTCCCGTATTGCTCCGTCATTTGACCTTTTCCGAAGCAAGAAAGATGCCTATCGATGAAGTGAATCTGGAAAAAGCATTGGAAGGATTGGAATTGACAATGCCTGAGGTAAGCTTTATTTTGTGGTTTCAAAAAGAAAGGGTGTAGTGGCTCACATGCGCTACTAGTTCATTGACCTCTGTATCTTGATGGGATGTGATTATACAGAAACTATCAAAGGTGTCGGACCCAAAAACGCATACAACTTGATTAAGCAACACAAGACGATTGATGAAGCCATCAAGCACTTGACGCCCAGACTACAAGACAATATACCTGCTGAATGGAATTATGCTGATGCTCGCAGACTGTTTGTCGAGTCAGAAGTAACACCTGGAAAGGACATTGAGGTGAGTGATAGTATGACAGATGAGAACAATTAGCTGATCCGACATGCAATAGCTTACTTGGAACACACCCGATGTAGAGGCTGTGGTGGACTTGATGGTCAAGAGAAAGGGGTTTGCGTAAGTGTAGTCCACTGGTAGTTATGCTTACAATGTTCCTGACGTGGACTATAGCGAGGATCGTATCAGAAATGGTTGCGCAAAATTGGAAAAGAACCTGAAGCAAGCAACTCAAACTAGAGTACAGGATTTCTTCAAGGTCTTGCCTTCATCAGGCACACCCAAAGCAACACCCAAGGTACGCGCAATTGAATCACACATATATTATGCTCTAACGTGATATTAGGATGACAAAAAGAGAGGCGCCAAAGACACTGGTAAGAAGGCACCAGCCAAGAGAGGCAGAAGAAAGTAAATATTTATATTGAAATAAACAATTTATTGCATGATATTCTTAAAGAACAATTTCGTCGTCTTGATCACAATCATACAAGTTGCGGATATGCTTATTTGACTTGCCCTTGGATAGCATGGATTGTGCGTTCTTGAGGATATAGGCTAATGACTTTTCAGTCTCATCTACTTTCTTGAGGTCCTTTAATTCCCTTGATTCAATGATGCTTGGGAATGCTTGCATTAAACCAGACTTGGCAGATGGACCGTAGATGGCATGCTTGAACCAAGGCCTGTCCAACAGCAGGCCCTGGTTCTCGACAAAGACTCGCTCAAACTTGACAAGACGATTATTGGCACTCTTGACCTTCTTGAGCCATTTCTTGTGGCTATTACCGTGCTTGTTGGCGACATTTACAAAGTCGTTCAAGTCTTGTACCTTGTTGTTGAACTTGATGGAGGTCTTGTAAAGTGAATCCAGAGCAGACGAAAGTTTAGGCAAGTCATTTTCTGATGTTTTGTTAGTATTATGGTTGTTATTGCCATGGTGTTTGTTCTTTTTTGTTGCTGTTGTTGTTTCCTCATCACATGTAAGCTCGTCCAAATACTGTTTCATAGCCAATGCATAGTCCATAGGATACAATGGCAAAACAATATCACTCGATAGGCGCAGTGCCAGCAAACCCCATAGCCTGACCATTGTTTGGTGGTATTCATAGGTGGGGTCTCCCATCTGCTCCATCCAGGAGATGTCATCCAAGGTGCTGTGAAGCAATGTGTTGTCTCCATCAAAGGACATGGATAAGCTAGAGATACCGGCATGCTCGAAAAAGGCAACAGTATCCAAACCAGGCGCTTTTCCGACTGGCGAGATTAAGCTATGCTCATCGTATTGATCCTTCTCCTTCTTTTGACGATAGACCCAGGATTCGTACACAGATTTGCTGGTACGGGGATCAATGACCATGGAAGCAACGTCCACCAAGAGGCGATTCAACATGGGGGAAGCTTGAGCGTTGAAATGGGGACCCGTAACAGCATGATCGACGTCCAAATACGCGACGGCATTCTTGTTCAGCCAAGCCAAATGGTCTTCAACATACTCAGTGGCACCAATATTTCCAAATTCATTGGCATCCCAAGAGGCTAAAATGATGGTGCGACGTGGTTTCCAACCTTGTTCAAGCAAAACACCAAACACTCTTGCAAGTTCAAGCTATCAAACAGGTGTTTAGTTACACATTGTTTTCCTGTTTCAATCTGTATTTGCATGTATTTACCATAACCGCTGAACCAGATGATGGGTCTGAAGCACCTTGGTCCCAGGCATCGCGATGGTTACCAATGATGATGGCCTTTTCGTCTTCTTCATAGCCTGGAATGCGTGCCATGACGTTCCAAATTGGCTTCATCTTCAGCTCATTGTAGTTGACCAGATTGCATTGCGCTAAACTAGGTCCAGAAAAGTAGTCCATCTCCTGGATGCCACCTACCCAAGTAGGATCTGCAAATCCCAAACCCTGAGTAGCACGAAGCAGAGGCAAAGCATCAGCCCAAGAAATGGGTAGAGATGGAATGCGAGGTACATTCGTAAAGGTCTCATTGCGAGTAGCATTCACAGTAGCAGCATAGCCAGGGGTAGAGGGATCTCCAGGATGGACAAAGCCATATTGAACACTTGCCCTACGAACACCGGTGGGACCAAGATCTTTGTTGTCTGCAGGGTCCGTATAAACAAGAGCACCAACACATCCAAACGTTTCAGCATGTTGTACCTTGATGCTACCAGGAACACCACCATCGCGCATCAGAGCAATGGTGCCTTTGAGCTCAATCTTTTTCTGAGCAAGCAGCATGAAATCTTCCAAACGACCGTAATTGGCATAGACTACACTGCCAGTGACATTACCATCAGCAGAGTAGGCTATCACAGAGAGATTGGCCATTAAATACAATCAAGGCGACGTATTAACTTACCGTGGAAAGTAGGCGTGCTGTCTTTTGACTCCTGCAGGTCTGCCAAAAAGAGTAGATCAGGACTTCCAGTAACTATGCCTAGTTTGCGTTCAGTAGGATAGTTCATGAAGGGATAGTAGGTTTCAATAGTAGCATTATTGAGGCCAAACTTGGCGAACTGATCGCGGGTCCATTTAGCAAGTTCATGGTCATTGTGAGAGCCAGCGAGATGGGCATGGGACGCATAATGGTGCAACATGTCACGAATGGATTGGGAAGATGGGATTTCCTTGATCAGATCAGCATAAGTTGGCAGTAGCACTTCAAAGAGGTCTAACTCACAAAAAATTTAGCGAAAACAAACGTGCAACTGACTGATCAACTATTACCTGCTTCAAACATAGCAGTAGACGAGGGTGAGGAAGCTGCCATGTAAGAGCGAGCACCAAATAGCACCAACAGTATGAAAACAATAGTGGCCAAAAAGAAATGAACCGTGCCAGGCTTTCGACGAGCTCTAAATGCTCTTTGCTTTTCATGAAAGGCGACTAGTTTATCAGATCCCAGCATATCCGTTACCCAGGATATGTGTCCTGTATAGCTCTTATCAGGTACCGTTTCATGACCATTGTCATTGTGGATCAGAATGGGCTCAATTGACGAATAAGATCTTTTGCTTGACCTTTGATTCAGGTCCAAACTCTGGGAGATTTGCTCCATTTGTATGATAGAAATGAGAGAAAAGAGTGTTTTAACTATTCTTCAATATTAAATTCTGCATCTTATATAGATACTTGGTGTTGTTTATGAAACTAACATGGATAGTTCCATTTCGCTTTTCCATGAAATACAAATAAAGCCGTTATGGAAGGTAGCCTGATGTAAATATATACACTGTTTCAATGCAAGTTTAGTCGTTGCAGAGATGTTTGTTTAAGCTTTGACATGCCGTGTAATTCTGTTTTGTAGTTCTCTCATTTCGGATCGTACAGTGTTGTGGTGTCACATGTCGACTTTTGCTGTGGAAATCCGTAAGCAAATGGCTTGTAAATATTAACTTTAGTATGGATGGCCTAGGTTTTTGGTCTACATAGAGTTTTACGCAGTAGTAGAAGTAATACGTGACTATAAAGCATTGTTATTGTTTCTTTATATACAGCAATAAAAGATGATGCGTTCTCAAGTAATTTACTACGGGACGATGCATTCTAGTTATGGTGCAGTGAGAACTGGTATAGCTTCGAGATGGGCGTTGTTGGCAGGCACTTTTCTTCTTTTGAGGAGACTACGATAAGTTTGCGCAGTTGATAAACTAGCCTGTGCTCCATTTTTCCTCGTAAAAATCAACTGTATGATTGTCAGAAAGGTCAATATTGATCAAATCACTCAAGCTGCCGATTACTTGAAAGTTGAGCAGCTTGATAAGCGGGTTATGGCACGCCACAAGATCAACGTCGGCCTCACATTTGGTTGGGCTACTAAAATTAATATTTCGTGTTAGTATAGCATGTACTTCTATATTTGATACACTTACTTTAGGCCAAAGCTCTTTGCGATTTCCATCAAAGCTTAATGCAAGCTTGCTCCTTTGTTGCCAATACTTTTGATAGTTGATCAAATGTAGAGTTTCTATTAGCTCTTTTTCTACAAGGTGATGAAATTAAATAAAGCTGCATGTGGTTTTCTAATTATGCTGGCTCACCTTCAGTCTTTACTGATTGCTTTCAATAATATCCATTTTCTGCAGGTTGATTACTTTGGCTTGCGATAGTAATTGCTTTGATGTAATCATAGATTGAAACCAAGGTAAAGTGCCATCTCCAATGCTAACTTGGCCTTTTCAGAAAATAATGGCCAGCCAAATATTGATCGTTCATACAACGTATTTCAGTTTTGTGGGGGGAGGGGGGGGGGGCGCTATTTATCACCTCATACCAGGCTCTGGATTTTTGGATTTTGAGATTAGGACTCTGCCTTTGATCTCTTGCTCAGCTTGGATTGAGTATTGATCCATTCAGCAATAATAGCTATATTTGCACTTTTTTTTCTTTAGCCATCAAGAATGAAGGTTATTTTCCTAAATGCGCTAGGTTTTTATCATGCACAGCAGCGTCTAAGAATCGTCGCACACTCTGTTCAAGATATTCCATTCGAATTAGCCACTCCAAAAGAGCATCTACCCTTCTATATAGTTGAAAATAATGCATGATACTCTGGATGTTAAGTGTAATTCCCAGAGAGTTTGGCAGATATCTGTGCTAGGGTTGTAATAGAGAAAGATTCAGACAAACGCTTTATTTCCATCATTAAAACGAATGGTGAACCAATGATTCAGCTGTGATAAGCAATGAAAATCTGTCCATGCTATTGCTCATGCTACCGAGAAAGCAGCTCTAGCGCTACTACGCACTAATCCAAATGCTTGGTACGGGTCAATCAAAAGCCTTTGAATGTTTCATCTTCTCCTCTACCACCAGCTCTTGGTGGCTCTATGAGCTAATGCCTGAGCACTGCTGTTTCTTGTTGATCTCTCATCACAAGTGCTTAGTAGGCCTCCGCCTGTCTGATGCTGATATATAAATACTCCACTTTTCGCGCAAAAGGTATCATGTGCAATGTGTATTACTTTAATTGGAGCAATGCCATTCATTGCATGCTCAAATTTGATGAAAAGAGCGAAATATACAAGCTCAATCCTGGCTACAGAAAGCCTCAAAAGAAGAAGTGGATTGTGGATCAAGTTGCCGCTGTTACACATGCTGTTTCCTTTGCCTCATTTTCGTCTAAAACTTGTAAAGTTTAGTGCCATGTTTCATTACAGATGACGTGCGAGTCGAGCATTAAAATTGACCGACAACGACACCCATTATAAAATAGTTTGCCAGCACACTCCTTTTCATTTTGTCTCTATTGCTACTACTTTTCTCAATCAGAACACATAACAAAATGAACAGAGGCACCATTGTATTGTAAGTTGATTATTCATGTGATTGAAACTCCACCAAATTTGCTGATTGATGTACAAATTTCGCGAAGGGATATTGATGAGGCTGAATACCTCTTGGATCAATTAGGAGCACCCGATAAGGACGAGGACAAGTTGGTCACCAAGTTGCGAAACAGATTGAGCCTATTCTTGAAAGAAATTCGTGATGGTGCTGAAGGTACGTGTGAGCGAGGATGAAGCCACATTATAGAGACGAAATGTGAAATGCTCAACTGCAAGTTGCCTAGGTGCTGGCAAGAGAGATTAAACAGCAAGGGAAACTGTGTGATAGATTGGCCTAGATTTCTGGATAAAAATAAACTTTTTTTATGTCACATCTATCCATTATATTGTTGTGCCTTTTTTCTCGCTGTGCTTTTTTCCCTTTCTTCTCTTTCTTTTTCTCTGTATTGCCATGATATATTGAAATCCAACATCCATAAAAGAGAGAGCCAGCAAATGTCAGAATTAAGCCAGTTTTTATTATCCTCTGATATTCATTTTTATCGAGATTATGCAATCCCATTGATCAAGCAAAACCCCCAACTGTTTGACCTGGATGAATTTGACTCCATTCTACACGAAAACGAATCAGTGCCAGCCGAGAGGACACTTCAAGAAGCCTATCATGATTTCGAATTGGATAAAAAAGCCCAGTATGAAATGCATCCACGATTTGGCCGTTATGTAAGCAGGACATCTCAAGGTCTCTGAATTCCAAACCATACTCAACACTCTATGCTTAGGTTTGGGACATTGCTGACCAATGGTATCAGAAATGGAACGTTGTGTTTTCGGTAGAGCATATGTGGAACTGGATAAAGCACGGGGTCACACGATCGTCGGCGCAAGAGTTAATCACACAGGACCATACCTTTGACGCCACTCATATTCAGGCATGGCTACAGCGTATCATTATGAGGTACAGTGTGCATCCAGATCACCAAAGCCTGCTGCAGGATATTTGTCGATATATTGGAGATTGGCATCAGACAAACCGCACCTTGACATTGCAAGGCAGATTTCGGCTCAACACCATTCCGTTATTTCCACCCAATTGGTTTGCCAACAAATCAAGACAAAATCGTATGAACTGTGAAGGGTTAGCGCCCTCATATCTTGCAACATTTGTGCCGCCTTACCGATTGGGACATCAAATACCAGAGAGATGGGATCAAGTCTTTTTAAAGGGCTTAACTGTTGATCCAAACCATAAGGTGTGTGTGTATCTCGTTATGATCCGAACACCAGTTATTAATCAATTTCATGCATATAGTTCAATCTGGATCCAATATTGATTGCATCTGCTATGCCTATTTTGGGCCTGACTGTCCATTTCGATCCAGATTCTGGCTGTAGCAAGTTGATGTTGGTCATGACCAAGGCGAAATACGGCAACTTGGAAGATCACATTGAAAAGGAGACACCTACCAACTACCACAAAGTGTGCCAATTAGCTCTCAGCATCACCAAGGACATCAAGGATTTGCACTGGAATTATGTGCATGGCAACATTCATCCACGCAATATATTGTTGAACAATGCAGATTACGTCGGTGAATTGGTAGACATCACATTTATGCGTCGCATTGACGACCCGTACACATTCAACAAGACTTCATGGGCTGGACGTTGGCCTTATGTTGCACCAGAAGTCGTATCCACGGGGTTAAGCACGTCAGCTGATATATATGCGCTGGGCATCATCTTGTGGCAGTTGATTTCTCGCGTTACGTTTCCAGGAGATGCACTCGTCGATCCACATATTTATCGTATTGAACCTATACCAGGCGTTGTCAAGGAATGGGAAGACGTCTACATAGATTGCCTTCATATTGACCCTACCAAAAGACCCAATGCCTATACAGTATATCGAAGACTGAATGATCTTTGTGCCAAATTACGATTAGATCAAAGACCCTTCCCAGATGAAACACTCAACTACATTCACTCAAGAAAGCAAGAGATTCAGCAGTTTCTGACAAGTTCTAGAAAATCATCGCCCTTGTTACAGTCCTGTGCATCTATGGACGATGATGATGCTACTTCGACCTCATCCACGACGTCTTCCTTGTGTCAAGTAGGTAACCTGGTCTTAACGGCGTCTGTTACACGGCCATCTCACCAGAGATTGAAAAATTATCCTACTTTAATCCAGAGTTTTCCCAATTATTTGTAAAAAATGCCACACACACACACACACACACACACACACAACACACAACTACATTTGCATTATATATTCTCTTTTTCTCTCTTTCATCATAGTCGCTATATCATTCTCTCCTTTGACAAAAAAAAAAAAAAAAAGCCATTACTCGATAATAATAATAATTTTTTTCATTTGCGTAACAATTTCCAATGTTGAATCAAGATAAATCAAAACCAGCATCCGCAGTAATGGCGTACAGTAGTTTCCTATGAGGGAGCCATTGAGAGTTGGTTAGTCATCAAGGGCAGCCAATGTAATGCCTCGCAAACTTACTCTCTCAGTATCTGATATGTTGGGTAATTTGGCAGCTTCAACAGATTGACACATGTGGAACTTGTGGGCAGTCTCTCTTGATCCACACCTGCATTACGCAAACAAAACTGAGGAACCAGCTCCCTGAACCCCAACAAGGGAGGTCTAGAACATGAAGTTACAAACTTGACGAATTTCATGCGCAGAGTGTTATCAAACGATTCTAGAGCCTTCCAAAAGTTCTTGACAGTGGCATCATGCTCCATGAACCCGGCAAGTACCGTGTGTGATCTCAAGTCATTGAGATCGATAGGCACTGAGGCACCACCCAACACAATCTGTAGTTCTTGCTGATTGAACATGCGCAGCCACTTGATATCTACAATGGTGGATAAACCCTTGAAGAAGGCCCTACATTGCTTGGCTATTTGTACATTGAGTCGATAGTTGGCAATGCTGTAAATGTATTGAATTCGGTTCTGATTGGTGACAGGAATGTTGCTACCACCGGGTATAAGATCTACATTAACAGATCTGCCATTCTCCATATGCGTGCTAGTGAAATCCAAAGACAAATCTTCCACATTACCATCGTAATTCTTGACAGCGAGTAGACCCTTGTATAACTCGGGATCCAGCGAAGATAAATCATCCACTGCAACAAACGTTTACATTAGCAAAGAGTTATCAGATAGATTATTAGCAACACTTACGATAGTTAACTTTTCCAAGACATTTTTTCAAAAAGAATTCAGCAAATGCAACATCCAAAAGAATGCCTTCGTACACAGCTTTACCAATGATCAAGCCAAGGAATTTAAAGTATTCCAATTGTTGAGCTACAAGGAGGTAAGACACATGAGCATGATGTTCTTACACACAACGCCGAAACTCTATACTTACGTTCAGTGGCATAGAAACTAGGATTGGGATACAAGAGTTGCTCAGGAGTAGCTGTAAACAAGCCGTAATTGACATTGAACGCCTCTTTGCTGAGACCTGTCAAGAACTCCTTAAACACACCACCTCCATCGATACCAGCTTCTTCCAAGCCAAACTCATCCACAAACGAGATGGCCACCTTATTCTTGAGCTCCACACCCAATGAAGCCAATTGATCGAAGCCATCTTCAAACATGTGATCTCTTCGCACAGTAGCGGCTGCTTTGGGCCTACTGTAAAACTCATCCACGTTGTTTCGCTTCTTGTCGTTGTTTACAAACATACGGAATATCTCTACACGCTGCTCAAAAGGAATCACAAAGGGTATGTTGTTGAGTAATCCCAAGCGGGGACTGATGACAGCTAGTCTGCCCTTGGACAACATGCGCAAAGGCCGTAATGGCATGTTCTTTTCTTGCTGTTGTTCACTCTCTAAATTGAATTCTTCAGCAACTGCTTCTGTTGAAAAGTTGTCCGTATCTAGATCAGGAATAAGCCAATGACCTTGAGGGCAAAAGTTGCGACGAGAGCTGTAGAGTGTGTCAGTTAATGGTTGCCATGGTAACATACTCAATAAAGACACTTACTCTCTCATATGGATTTGCTGTAATAAATGAGTGACGCTGGAACGAAGTTGATTTAATTGAATGCCTGTTAATCCAATGTGCTGTGTCAAATCCAAGCTGTTGGCCCTCCAGAACATGATAAACGATATGTTCTTCAATTGACGGCCTAGATCAATCACTTGACTCAATTCCAATGGATTTGAGTGCGTTGCTTTCTTATCCAGAAATTCATCATCGCCTAATGTCAGCAGGGATCGAGCATACACCTCGCACAACAAGAACAACACCGACCAATTCTCCACGCAAGTCTTCTTACTGTCACTTATGTATTTAACAGCGTCTACCAAATGTGCCATCATGTTGCCATCGTCGTTGAAAAATGCTGCTTCTGTGGAGGTAGACCATGACTGCCACAATATCTGTAACAGATTGTGTGTGTTGCTTGATTTGTAGAGTAATGTATGTAGAATAGCGTCCTTTTTCATGGGCCATCGCAGCATCAGTGTGTTGAAAAAGCTAGACACAGACTGAATGGCATCGCTGTTTGTGCCGATTTGCATGAATTGATACAACAGGTGATTGACTCGCTCGGAATCGTATAGTGTTTCAAGACGAGATCGAACCAAGGGCGATGCATTGGTTGTGGTGGCAGCCGTAGAGGCGGTGGCTTCCTTCATGACAATATCTCTATCCTCATCTTCCTCTTCTTCGTCTGACGATTCTATGTCTAATAAAATTGTCAGTAGCTTCTGATAAACAAAGCTATAGCTAATCACTTACCCATTTCAATGGCATCTGCCTTTTCTTGCTCCGAAGGATCTGTCAAGTACGATACTGGCAAACGAGCAAGCAACAATTGAATGGCCTTTGCATAATGTGTCTATATTGAATGTCAATACCTCTTTGAACTTAACTACAAGTCCATCATGGCACCTACCAGAATACCATCTAAATGCTTTCCTGAGTCAGCATCACCCAATACAGTCAAGTTCATCAATATACCAGCTACTGCTGTATCATCTAATGCAGTCGTGGTGGGCTCTAGGAGCAGCTCCGTCACAGTCTCTAATATATCCTTCAAGGGCAACTTTAATGCCAATGTCGTCAATGCGTTTGCAGACACATGATCCATAAAAAATGGCTCGATCATTAATTCAGTCGTCAGCATTCGCAACAATTGAGGTCGAGTCATGTACGGTGTGTTGGGTCTACACTGATACTTCTCGATAAGCGGTGATGTAGCATAGTAGTATGGTTCGTAGAATGTGGCTAACTGTATCAAGATGGATTCCATGTAGGATATAAGGTTGCTGTTTTTTGTATTTTTCATGCTCTTGAGCAGTGTTGTATTGTACAAGCAGAAGGTCATGATGCGAGTGCGGTGGTCTTGGTTTTTGTAGGTGCCTGGGTCAAACAAGGAAGCCAGCAGTTGATAGGCACTCGCAGAGCTAGAGCTCACTGGTCAGTATCCCATCTCTACAGCAAGTGATACATGTCATCTTACCCTCCGTCTATGCTCGGTAACAGCACTCGCTTGATCAACAAACTGCACAGCCATAGCCATGAATCCTGCACTTCCCTATCTGATATGCAAAACATACTGCGTATGATGGGAGTAACTTGTGCTAGATATTGGCTGAGATGGTGATTATCTGCCTCGTTGCCAGGCTGATAGAACCAAATCAATTGACGAGTCAATGTCATCCATGTCTGCTCATCTGTGTTGCTGTTTGTGGATGGCAAGAGTTGATGGAAATCATGTCGCAATGCTTGCTTGATCAATGTAGCCTGTTGACGGCCTCTAAGGAAGGACTACAAAGCACACTTCGTCAGCCTGTTGCCCACCTCTCTTTCTCTCTTTCTCGCTCGCTAAAGACTCACCTGAATTTGCTGTGCACTCTTCAATTTAAGACGTTCCTGTTCTCTTGCTTTACGTTCGCTTTGAGCTTTGGCCAGCAATGATCTCTTGTCGTCGATCTTTTTGACGCCGCCCAAGTTGATGTTGCGTTTGGGTCGAAAGTTGCCTTCGAAGCTAAAGTTCATGCTGTGATGTTGTTGGAAAGGATAAAAAGAAAAAGAGGTTAAAAAAGGTTCTCTGCGCGAAACTAAAATATAAGCATAATGATGATAGTGTGCACAGTCTCTGTTTCCGACGCCTAGAAGAAAAGCAAGCGGATGAGTAATCCATCCACATAACACACTTTTTTTTCCTAATTTTTACTACAATGAGACCCACACGAAAAGCTGCTGCCAAAGCTGCTGCTGCTGTTGCAAGACCATTATCACCTTCACCCATCTCTTCTGAAGAGGAATTGGAGCAAGATGAAATGCAAGATTACCCTTCTGATTTGGATGAAATGCTGGCAGGTGAGAATGAAGTATTTAGCAGCGAAGAAGACCTGGATGAGCCAGATAGAAGCAATCAATTTGATCAAGACATGGACTCTCTATCTGAACAAGAAGAGGATTTGGATGACGATGTAGACATGCAAGACGATACAATAGATCAAGACGAAGAAGAAGAAGAAGAGGACGAGGAAGACGAAGAGGAGGATCAAGACGAAGGTGAGGACGATGAAGACGAGCAGATGCCAGTACGCAAAGCGCCTCCTCAAGCAACATCACGTAGCAATAACAACAGCAACAAGCGAAAGAAGTCAGGTAAAGCATGAGGATACACGTTCAATTTGAGTCAAGCTGACACGTTGTGCTAGCTATTCCCGAGAGCGAGGAAGACGAGGAAGCCATCTTTTCAGACGACGATGGCACAGAAATCTTACGCAACAAGCCCATGACAAAACGACAGCGAGCCAAGGTCAACCAAGAGGTCCCAGAAGAGTATTTGGAGCTGCCCATGGACACAGGCAAAAAGAAGCACCTGACACAAGAAGAAGAGCAGTTGAAGCGATCAGAAGTAGCCAGAAGAAGAAAGAACCAAAGCATTCAACGAGCAGAGAAAGACAAAGCAGACACCATCAATCGATTGCTCAAGAAGCAAGCTTCCAAGAGCAAGCGTATTATTGATGATGCGGAAGATAAAGAAACACCTCATGAGAAACTGATGCGTTTGGAGGATCCTAATCGTATCAGGTATACAAACACGGTAGAGGGAAGTCGATTAAATATACCCAGTGTGTTTACAGTGGAGCAAATATTTGGCAGGTAAGGCGAGGCGTTCGTGTTCTTGTACCTGTGATGTATCTAACATGCGACTCCTTAGCAATGCAACACCAGCATCGTCGCCACCCAACCTTGCACCAAAGATATGTCAAGTGGATGGGTGCTCTAAAAACCGCAAATACACAGCCAAGAAGAGCGGAAAGTTTGTTTGCTCGCTTGAGCATTACAAGATAGTCGAGGCAAATTAAAGAAATAATGTACATATACAAATTCAAATAATGGAGGTGTTTGAGGGCTGCTGGATATGATGGTTTGCTACAGATGCACACAGTGGCACCACCAAATTACGCAGTCTGTGCCCAGTTGTCTCACTCGGCCCTTTATGCTAGCACCCCGTCTCTAGTCATACATAATTGCAGTATTGAAACATGGCACAAATGAATGCAATTTTGACTCGAAATTATGAGCATGATGTGATTTGTCATGCATGGTGAAGTTGAGCTTTCTATTTCGCATGAGGGGCGCCGTATCATTCATGGCATCAATATGACTAATGCAGAGCCTGGCAGGCGGCGCGATTTGCAAAGGCTATATTGTCTCTGACAGATCTTTTATAAAACATATACTATTCGAGTCAACCAGGAAATGCCCTGTCAAGAAACAGCAAACAAAGAAGCAGAACGATTAGTTTAATTGCACTTTATCTAAACTCAAAGGCAAATGTAGGAGTGAGGCGTACGATAAAAGATGCATATCATAGGTACACCATTTGCCAATATGAAAAAGGCGATGCCATGTTTGTAAATTGGTTTTTACTAAATCCAGATGTGTTCATTATATTAAACAACTAATTCGTCCCACTTTACCTTGTAATACTTGAATTGTTTTTTACATGTCTAGATGAATCAGTTGAGTCGACATAAACATCAAGGAACCAATGAGCTCATTGACATCATGTCTTATTATACTTGAGCAAGTTGCCTCGAATTGGCTTCATGGGACGGAGCTTACACTATGGGACTAATGCATCAGCCTTCATGAAAGCGACATCAGAGAAAATTTAGAAAGCAAAGTGCATTTGGTCCTTCTGCTTGATCATTCCTCTTGAGCATTGCTCGGGAACGGATATAATCTCAAAGACAATCTTGACAGATTAACGCATAACAATCATGGCAGTGACAACTTTGGTTGGTATGCATGCCTGTTGAGTTTGCTGCTAATGTTGCTAGTTTACATATAGGCAAGCATGGTTTTGAGGCCAAGGGATTTTAGATACCCATAGATCCTCAGTCAAAAGCACGCGGGTGGAGCTCTGTAGTAAGCCCATCCGATAGCTCCAAAGCCCCATTCTTGAAACTGCTGCCAAGAGAGTTCTGACCAAATGAACATTTAGTCATGACCCCTGCAACTGTTACGAAATCTAGCAAGTGCAAGCGATTTATACACGGAGACATGTCTACACAAGTACAGTAGCATACAACAAGCATTCGAATGTTCAACCGCCAAAGGAAAGTTTTCACACTGCCATCTTATCAACAACGCCACCTGAGCCATTTGATGGCATAAAGTATGTAAGAGTATTCATGAAAGAACACCTCAAAACACATACAGATAAGTTGGAAAGCATACTACCATGATAAAGGGCTTGTCAACGATTGCTTCACCAAACATAAGACTGAAAACCTCTGAAGAATACATTCAATGAAGCACTTGAAGCTAGTAACTGCTATCATGAAAGAAATTTGCCTCACAACACAATGATTGCAGCAATAAAATGTGAAAAATGATCTAGTTAGTCTTGCAATCATCCAAATGTGTGACAAGAGAGCAAATTCTGTAAGATTCAGTTATAAATACATTCCACGTGTAAACGAACAAATCTCTTTTGTATTGCATTGCATTGCAAATGTGCTGGGAGCATCAATTTATAGGAGAGATGCAATAGGAAAGTTGGACAAGGTCCTTCATATATTGATTATTTAACGCACATTGTACCTATGCCCTGATAGTATATAGCAAGTGCGTAGGAGAAAGAAAACACCTAATAAAAAGGTTAAACTTGTGCTACTCCAAATAAATCACTTTAGTAACCTTGCTCTTGTTTCCTTTCTCCCTTCCACTGTTGCCCTTTCTTTATTACACATTCAAACCATGTTTAAAAGCAAAAAAAAGAGACTTCAACAAAAGCAAGAAGCAGAAGCAGCCGCTGCTGCTGCTGCCATTGCCAAAACTGAAGCCGAAACTAGTAAATATAAGCTGCTAGACGACATTCATTTGACTCATGACTTTCGTTCCTCAGTCATTTTACCACAACTCAACAAGGACATCGACCCACAAAAGCTTGTACGTCAACAGGAGCACCTCGCTTCATTGAGAGACATCCCTGAAACACTTTCGCCTCCACTCTCACCGCCACCGACTTGCACGTCTCGCTCATCCAGCAACGGCGGCTTACATGAAAACGACGGGTCGAAACAATACCAAGATTTGGCTGCTTGGAGACACCAGCGAAGCCAGAATAGATACTCCAATGGCTTGTTTGGTGGAAAACAAAGAGGGAGACCCAAGCCCTCTGCCAGCAGATGGCTTCATGATATCACAGACCAAGATGTGCAAGAAGAGACCATCCATGTAACTACCTAGATTTCTCTTAATTGAAATCTGATTTAATATTAATTGCTTATATGAAACCAGGAGAATCCAGAAACCGACATTACACCTCCTCCAGTGTCTACTGCTCCTAGCAATGAGGATGATATAGTTCCAAGCATTCAATTTACTCGAGAAGCGCTGGCCTTGGACCAAGATGATGAAGATGACGAGGATGACGAGTATCTGGATGACCAAGATGAGTTACAGCACGAGGAATACGAGCCTGAATCAGACACAGAAGAGAACTTTTTCTTTCAAGATTTCTCTGGAAACAGCAAACCTAAAAAGCGCACTACCAACAATTTGAATGGGCGTCGTCGTAGATCACAAAAAGTGATGAGCAAATTTGATCTTTCCTCATTTGCAAGAGATTTACATGATCACCGTCTTTCTGTCATCCAGCCTCGGGAAAGTCGGATAATCATGACAGAAGATGATGAATTGGAGCTCGAAAAACTGCTGGAACGTCAAAGACAGCGCATGTCCATGATGACCATGAGCGGTAGCACAGACTCATTCAAGGTGATACCACCGCTGCCATCGTTGGATTTAATAAAGCCTCACACGACCACCGTGTTACCCTCTCCATCTTTACCTACACCAGTACAACAGGCTGTAACCAAGGAAAAAGAAATCACAGAAGATTTGGAGGTGCCCACCATGAACAGTGATCATGGCAGCAGCACCACAAATAGCTTCAGCAGCGTCAATGGCAGTAGTCCAGCAAATAGCAGCAGAGGTAGCTATCCATCTCACATGGAACACGATGACGAGGATAGCAACAAAATTGCCATTGAATCAGAACAAGGTACCAATGAATTGAATTGCACGTTTTTTTTTTGTGTATGATGGCTAAACTGCTTTATAGAAGATGATGAGGGTATTACTGTTACCACTGATGTGCCACAAGAATTAACAACAACGCCCAAAACTCCTATTCCAGTCAGTTTAACACCTGTGGCATCCAGCAGTAGTTCCAGCATTCGTCATCAACAAAGCCAATTCAAACTGGATCAACTGAAAAGATCCGTATCTACCACAAGCATCAAATCCAACAAGAGCAGCTCTCAGTTCAGGCCTGCACCTACGCCACTCGCTCGCATTCGTGATGAGAATGAGCCTGCTGAGTCTCGCTTGCACAAGCAACAGGCTAGAAAATCAATGAGCATGGATGATATGCAATCCAAGCTGGACATCAATGAGTCGTCAGTAACTTCGTCCGCATTGGACTGGATCAATGAAGACAGCAGACCCAGCAGTAGAATCAAGGAGTTCCTGCCCATTCAAAACCAAGCAGATGCACCGCTATTATACCAACAGGCAAAACCAAGCAAGTCCAGAGGCCTCTTTGGCAGTTTGCGTCAAGTGAGTAGAAGTAAAACACACCATCATTCTGGTAATGCTGGTGGTGTCAGCTCCTTGAAGGGCCTTGTTCGCAACTTTAGCACTAGTCATCAGACTAGGCCAAACAACCTATCTGACAGCAACTCTTGCACCACGTCAGATACCACAGGCATGTCAAGAGCCGCCATGGCAGTGATCCAGCACAATGTTGCCAAGCATGAACAAAAGAAAGCATCGCCTGTCATTCCTGATGAAAAGAAGCAAGATGAACTATCGCAACCGACGCAACAAAAGGCAAGACAAAGAGCCAAATCAGATGCCAACAACAGTTCAGGCAGTCGACTTATTGCGCAGTTGCTGTCCAGAGCGTCGTCCTCAAACAAGAGCAGACGCAATAATTCCACAAAGATTGTCAATATGGAAGAAGACTCTGCTGCTAAACAGAGAGCCCAAGTTGTTAGAAAAACCATCATCTACGTCCAACCTGATTCATTACACAACTTACTCAAGAATGGTGGTGATGGAAGCAGTATCAAAGTGCCTCCTGTACCACGCCCTACCAAACCACAAGAGCTTGATGTCGAGACAAGAAACACCATGCTGTCAGATGGCTCCCTCTCACCTGATGATGATACCATTAGATCCAAAGAGTATTTCACAGCCACCAAGGTGAGCAGACAAACCTCAGTGCGAAAAAGAGTGGTGGAAACACAAGAAGAGAACACGACAGATACCACGACATCCTCCTCCCCTTTAAAACAATCCACTGCTCATACCAATGATCACACAAGTGCTGGAGGTATGCTTTCAAGAAGCGGATCAAGAAGAAGATGGCAGCTCCAGAGCATGGATGAAGAGGACATACTCTCTTCCAGCCACCATAACGAACAAAAGACAGATAACTACATGGAAGGTGTTGAATTACGAGAAATGAGCGATGGTTCTGTTGTCTGGGGCGTAGTGAAGAAGCAAGGCAACCGTAAGAGCTTTTACGCTCCCAACAAACAAAATCAGTTGGAGTTGGTGGAAGATGGAGAAGACAATGACGACGAAGAAATTGCGCATGGAGAAGATTACTTTAGAAACAAGTTCATGAAGGAGAGCATTAGCAGCACGGCGCCATTGACTCACTTACAGCAGCAGCAGCAGCAGCAGCAGGCACTGCCACCACCTATTCCAAGACGTTCTCCCAGACGACAGATCCCGGCTGATCCTGTCCTGCATACCAACAACAATACTAAAACCGATATCTTTTACTCTGATCAAGTAACACTGCCCAGCTTACTGAGAATGATGCAAGAGCAACAAGACCAACATGAATATCCTGGTGATATAAGTGAAGAAGACGAGCAAGATGACATGCAGCAATACCTGTTCAATGAAAGAGCCATGTCCTCTGTGGATGATCAATTAGATGAAATGATGAGAATCCTGACAGCAAAATAACTCTTCTAAATACCTTATTCTTGTCTAATACCTATATACTTTTATCTTTCTTTAGCTGTCATCTTTAATACATTTACTTTAACTTAGATACTACCATATCATCATAACATAATAAATTTTAGTCCCTAGATACTTTTACAACCCTAATATGGAAACTGAGTTACCAGGCATGGCTCATATACAATTAGGGATTTTATATTAAATCACTATCAATCAACATACAAGTTTCTTCCAACATTTTAGCTGTTATTATTAATTTTTCAATGCTATCCAAAGGTCTGAGGCAGCGTAAGCTACCTGAACATAGGTTGGCTTCCACCAAAGCGAAGCGTAGGTTAGAAAACTAACTAAAGAGTTGAAATGTTCATCATAACATGATAAATTTATCGTCCCTTGACACTTTCAAAGCCTCAAAAAGTAAAGAAGTTGACCTAGCAAGTGTTTTAATAGACTGACATTATTAAATATGAAATGCAAGAAGGATAGAATGGCTAACGATAGCGCTATGTAGTCTGCCACCTACTTTCCATACGCTTCAAAAGCATCTATTACTGTATTCCCTTTATGATTTAAAAGGCATTGAGTTTGCCAGCCTGCCCCACCAGCAAAAAATTAATTTCAGCTCAGACTCTTCGTCTACTCCAGATTGGACAAACTTTAATCATCTTCGACTTGATCGATCTATTTTGCCGGATTCGACTATATAAAGCATGATGATCATCCCGTACTTCTTTAAGCGAGTCCCTGGTGGTAGGGCGAAGTGGTAGAACTCCCGTATGCCAACGGGAGGATCCCCGGTTCAAATCCTGGTGAACGCAAGTTGTTTGATTTTTTTGACGTAGTACTGATGTCCTCGTTTGGTGTTTTGTGCTCTTATCCATTATCTATATTTTGACGATTTCCGCAAGACTGTATTGGCTCTAGGTGTCGCACCTTATTAGTAGTAGATTTCTTTCCCAACTTAATTCAAAAAATATCTTATTCCCCTTCTTTGCAGACATTGGGTCCACCAACAGTCTTTTCTATCCCTCAGCATGACATTTAAAGGACTTTAAATAAAACCTGGAGCTCGACTCCCCTACAAAAAAAAAAAAAAAAGTACTTCTTTAAGCGACAGTCTTTTCCTTCCCTCAGTATGACATTTTAAGGACTTTAAATAAAGCCTGGAGCTCGACTCCCCTACAAAAAAAAGCACTTCTTTAAGCTTCCTTGGAGCGCTTTTCAAGACGCTTCCAGTGGTACCAAGTAAGATAAATGTTCTGAATAAACTTGTTGAGCAATTTATGAAAATATGAAAAGAGGTTTCTGGCCAAAATGTCGAAACTTTGCATATTAAGGCCCCAGAAAAATGGTTTCAGTGCTTGCGTTAGATCGATAGAAACATTTTGATTCAAGATATACTATCGTAAAAGTCTCAATTATCAAGTTCAAAAACGCGATCGTTTGATTTTCGATGAAAACCACGAGGGGTACCTCATGCTTTTTGGTCGGTTTTTAGCCTTGTTTTTTGGCCCCCAAAAAGTTGAGCAAAAATGTCAGCAGGTAACTCCCGGGCGAGAGCAATTGTTTGGTGCTATTCTGATGGTCTAAAACGGCCTTGAACGCGAGAAAACACAGTTCAAAAGCACCTAGATTATGCTGTATCAGGGACACTAAGGACTAAAAAGGGAAAATACCAGTATGCTACTTGCCTGTATATGAAGTAACTACGTGGATATGGATGTAGAGCATCACATAAGAATCAAATCCATAGATAATATAAAGGGTTTTCATATGTAAGTGGCAGACCAAAATGAAAGCAGCAGTATTTTGATAAGATACGCAAAGGCAAACGATAGCGCGAGCTGCTGCTGCGCAGATTTGTTCTCACCGAAGAGAAGTGAAGGTAGAGAGCCATTCAAAGCATGAACACACTCGTATAGTATAGTAATTTTTTAGCATTGGTGATTATGCTTCAGAATTGCTTTATTAAACCGGTATAGGGCTTTTATTGGCTCAACAGATTGTTTTAACGTTAACACTATACCATACTATAAGGTGCAAAGGCAAAGAATAGACGAACTCGCTGCTCTATACCTGCAGAACTGTTGTGTCTTTTTGAGCGCGTCGTTTGTACATCCCATGTATAAGAGTCAAATACTCTATTTATACATTAGCATTCTATTATTAAATAAACCTCAGTTTAACACCTACTTCTTTCCTCTATGTTACATTGATTGAGAAGCTCAAAATATAACATATCTGTGCTTATTATTTAAAGTCATTATCAATCAAACAATTGATGGAGAACACCACAATCCGTGGGTTATGGCCAGCTTGCGACAAGAGGCTTTTGCTCAAGAAGCACCTCAACATCAACTTTCTTCTCAGGAACAAATCCAGCAGTTTCAAAGCTTTATGAATGAAGCCGCAATGGAACGAGAGGCGACGCAACAAGCCTTCTCAGCCTTTCAACGTGAATCACAGCAAAAGTTTGAAATGATGACACAACAATTTAAGAAAGGTCGTGCTCAATACGCTCATCTAGATCATGAGTTGAAACAAGCTCTTATCAACCTTCCTAAACTGGCTTATCCGGACAGCGACTTACTTTACCACTTACATTGTGATGCTTCTAATGTGGCTCTCGGTTCTGTGCTGATCCAGAATGGCCGCCCAGTTGGGTTTGCAAGCTGTACCCTCTCTCCTGCTGAAAAGAATTACAGCACGACTGAAAGAGAATGCTTGAATGTCGCTTGACCGCTACGCTATTTTCACTGCTACGTACATGGTGCTACTCTGATCATTTACACCGATGACGCTGCAATGAAAGCTTTACTAGTCTCCAGAGATCCCAAGGGGAGGATCGCGCGATGAATCATTGAAATATGGACGTATGAACTTGATATACAACACCAAAAGGGAAAGGACAACCAAGATGCTGACGCCCTCAGCCGGATTGAAGTTTAGCATCCCATTACCCAAATCAACCATCAGGCTGCAACGACCATAGATGAACTCAAGAAAGCCCAACAAAACGACCCAGAGATCGCACGCATTTTAATTGTACATAAGATCACATACCCTTACATGATTAAAGAAGGTATCGTCTGCTATATCAAGTATGATCCACCGGCCATTGTTATTCCAAAATTATGGCAACAGTAATTCTTATAAAAAAGACACCAACATCCGACAAATGGACATTTGGGAAGAGAGAAAGCGCTGGCTAGAGCGAAAGAAAATGATTACTGATTCACAATCACTCAGGATGTGAAAACGTTTATACAAAGGTGTAGGAGTTGCCAGATGTACAAGTCTCTGACTCACAAAATACAACATTTGAAAAGCATCAAGGTCGGTGAACCCGGTGAAAAATGGGCTACTGACATTGCCTTTCTTTCCGTCACGAACCGTGGAAACAGCTACCTACTAGTCTGCATGCTCTATTTGACCAAGTGGATGGTTACCGGGGCTCTCGCCTTCAAACTATTTAAACCCGATTACACTCTAATTTGTTAATGTTGATTCTTGCATCGCAAGATTTGTAGGCATCATGAATCTCTGTTCGCTTGATTCTGATACAAAATTTTGTTGTTGTTTGATCGCTCAATCGTGCTGACACCGACTGAACCTGCCTCTTATATCATATCAACCATTTTTCCTTAATTATTATAATTGTCCAACGTTGTTGTCACTACGGCCCAACTGATGTTCTCACAGAACATGAATGTGCTCTTTTGGGAACATCGATGTTCTCATGAGCACATTGATGTTCTCATTTGAGAAGGTGTAGTTTTCCACATGAATAAAATGGTTTGAATAGCTAAACTATAATATTGTAGGCAATAGAAAGACTTTTATTATCTGTAAGATTCATAAAATTACTAAACGTATTATAAATTGCACGAGAAAATGGCAATTTAAAGTTACCTAATAACTACTTATTAAAGTAAAAGAATATATTTCGATAAGATATTCGGGTAGTTTAGTGGGAAGAACGTCAGACCCACAACCTGTCGGTTGTGTGTTCGGCCCCGGTAGGAGCATTCTTTTTTTTCAAATTTCTGAAAATCGATGTGCTCATATAAGAATATGAATGTGCTCACATGGGAACATTTCGGATGTTCTCATAAGAACATCGGCCGACTTATAATAGATCTTTAGGAACGCCGATGTTCCCATATGAGAGCATTTTTCACCTTTCGGGAACATCGATGTGCTCATTTGGGAACATCAAATAGATTCTCATATGAGCACATCGATGTTTTCATGAGAACATCAGTTGGGCCGTAGTGTGTGAATAGACTTTAAGTTTAGTTTTATGGTTAATAAACATAATACCTCTGCTGTGAACGACCATCAAGAGGGGTCTGCTGAGATAAGTATTTTGGTCAATCTGAGCAAATCGTTAGATTCAAATTTGCATAGTATCACTGACGCTCAAGTTTTAAAATCACTGTATTCGAGCATCTCAAAGAGATCTGATTGCCAGAAGAATTAGAATATATAAAAGTGTCAATAACTTGGAGGTTGAGCCCCGTACAATGCAGAACATCAGGGACATTAGACAGAACTGTAATTTACTTACTTCTTTGGCAGCACAGCATACTACGCCTTATTTTTAGGTCGAATCTTGTTCAAAGCTAGCCATTTTCAAGCACGAATAACTCATGCTACAAAGCGTTCTGGACTTTTGGAATAACGCCAAACGTCTCTTCTTGGCTACGTTTTACTTACTGATGCTTTATCTCAACTTTTTTTGAGTCTTTGCAAATTCATGAAAATTGTCGTTTTTACATGAGTACTAGCAAGGGAAAATTCTTGAAAATCGCACGATCGCATTTTTCACCCGAAAAATGAAGACTTTTCCTATGATACATATCAAACCAAATTGATTATAAAGATGTAATATAACACTGAAAACTACTTTTTTGAGAGTTTCATATGCTAAATTTTGACGTTTCTGCAGAAAACCTATTTTCAAATATTTCAAGATTTCTCTTTATTTTTAGTCTGAAAGCTGGATGTAACCAGCATCATTCGATGCGCCTTCATTGACTCTTTATAGATGCACTAGAAAGTAAGGTATAGCAACGACAATTTTCATAGTCAAATTTAGCAAAAACGTTTAAAGAATGTGAGATCAAGTCAAATTTAAACACGAAAATACCCACTGCACAATTTCAAATTAAAGTGCAGCAGTTAGGGCTGCCATGGCAGAAGACTGAGACTAAACCTACTGGACGTGACGTCGGTTAGGGCGCCCTCTCATTTTTCCATACCCCCTTTTTTTTACTCTTTTTGCAAAACGCGTTTAGTATCAAACCATATTGGTTTTGGAACACTTTTGATTAAAAATAACACTCTATCATCTGATAGCACGGTCTTGCACTGTCAAACGTACTTGATACTGCTTTTTTGAGGTGGAATATAGTAGGTATCATTCGATAACGAGTACAGAAAGATGTAGAACAAGCACTAATTGAATATGTTTATTAGGTTTCGATAGTTTTTTGCCTGTTCGACGTGGGCGCTGCTGCCATTACTTCTTTGCTATCTCTGCTGTCTGATTCTTTGGTTTACCCTGTCTAGTAATTGCTTCTTTGGTCTCTATCTCTGGCGGTTGCTTCTTTAATCTTTGTCTGGTCTCTGGTGTCGCTCGTTCTTCGGTTTTTCTACGCTGTTGTTGCTGCTGCTAGTATTGCTACTGGTGTTGCTACTGGTGTTGCTTCTGGTGTTGCTTCTGGTGTTGCTTCTGGTCTTACTGATGGTGTTGCTGCTGCTGGTGTTACTGCTGCTGCTGCTAATATGGTCTTCCCTGGCCTACTGTGTTTGGTGCATGCTCACTGTCTGGTCTACTTTTGGTGATTGCGTATCCTCTGGTCTATCTGTGGCTGTGGTATGTGGTAAGTATCTTCTTTCTTCTGGTCGCAATGATATAAAACTTCTTTGGACGCTTATATTATTGCTTCCTTTCTCGTGGTAATGGATTCATGATGTTTGCCTTGTTGCGCTTTTTTCTTCTTTTTCTTTTGTTGGTAGTGTTTCCTCTGTAGCTTTACATGAAACAATATTAGTCATTGTGTTGTATCGCAAACTTATAATACCACTGTTGCTTTTGCAGTTGTGCGTATTTGTGTCATGTTGCTTTACATCCGACTATTACTATTACCATGCACCGCGTTGCTCATGCATGCATTTTTCTTGCAACAGCAACGAGCTTTTTTAAACATCTTTGATGTTGTGTTTGTTATTCTTTTCTTTGACTCGCTTCGTGTGAGTGTCTCTTTTTTGCCGACATACTACTATATTCTTATAATATTATGTTCTTTTCTTCTTTCTTTTTCTTTTATTATGTTTCGTTTGAAGCATACCTTTTTTACGTTGTGTGGATGTGCCTATCCCTGAAGCTCAACAAGACTTTATCCGAGGCTAGGAGGTAGATAGGCCGCCTCCACTTGGTTATCACTACTTACTTTAGTGATGATTGAGGGTCTCAATGCCTGAATTTAAAGCTAGGTGGTGTAAGTAAGGCATGCTCTAGCACCTGAGGGAAATTTGATGATAGTAACAGCTATATTGCTATATAGCGGAGCTTAAAATTTTGCTTCACATCAAAACAGGGGGAAACCCTCGCAAAAAAATTTTTAGATTAGCGGAGTTTTCAAGCGATTTGATTGGCTGAGGGGTTGAAAGAGAAAAGGTCTACAACTAGTTGATTTTCTGTTGATCTGCTATTTAGCATTATTTTGTCTTTTGTAATAATAAAAACGTAATCAAATGGAAACAATTTAAATCCTTCTTTGTTCAAGAATATTATAAGGTGTGATCATTGAATTTACCATCCGTTAAATAATTTTCTGTGAGTGATGTTCTTTTAAATATACTGTATTTTGTAGCAAAAATCATATAATAGGTATTACAATAGCGCGGTACATTCGGTAGTACATGTGGAATTTGAGGCTTGATAGACTAAAATTCACGGAAAAAAAGAATAAAAAAACAGTAATGTCAACTTGATAAAGGTATGTTTTATTATCAAACTGACAGGTGTAAAGTAAACTGAAGTCTCTCTACTGGCCAGGTAGGTGATCCTTCTTATATACTATAACAATGAATAAAAGTTCTATTAATTAGATTAACAAATAAGTCAACTCAGATCAACTAATGTCTAATCATGCTAAAAGACAACTCCAGCAAGCTAATAATCATGATTTAGCTTTGCCTGGATGAATAATTAGACTCTCGTCCAAAGTGCCCTGATCTATCCTTTCTATAAGGATAATTAATATCGATCTAGTAGCATGTATCCGATAGGTACAGTCTTCTTAGTCTATATTAATAGTACATATCTGGGTGTATATCGCTAAGCATACATCTTTAGCATGTATCTGGATATATGGCATGTCTATAGCATGTCTCATATATAGTACAAGTTTGTAGTACATAAAGTATCTGTAGCTAGTATCACGGATATAAGCATGTGTCTTATTACGTGGATCATAAAATGCACATCTGAAGCAACAAGCTCATATTGCATTAATCTTGGTGCTTATCCAGATATGGCAAACATCCATAGTCAATGTCGGAATACAAGTATAAGTCTATAGCGCCATCCATGTTCCTGGTGCTATTTATAGCCTATATCTTATATAGTATGAATCTTATAATACTAGCGTATCTGAAGTCCATATCTTCTTATAGTATAAATCGATATCGTACATCTAATCCAGTGTACATACAGTTTATATCTAAATCTGGTAACTGGATGAACTGTCGGAATGCAGATCATAGTGAATGTATTCCCCAGATATAATATACGAGACAGGTTCAGTCGGTGTCAGCACGATTGAGCGATCAAACAACGAATTCTTGTATCAGAATCGAACGAACAGAGATTCATGATACCTACAAATCCTGCGATGCAAGAATCGACATCAGCAAACTGTAGTGAACCCGGGTTTAATGGATTCACGGTGCTACACGGCCGAAATGTCAGCTTCAGCCAAATTATCCAAAATTAATCGCTCAAGCACTATTTTTTTTGGCTATAGTAGTGGCGTATATATGTTATCTGTTGTGCGCCGACATTAAGTAACACACTCTCTGTATTTATTTTATAGACTTGAGCACCGTATGGACTCTTCAGTGCTGTTATTGAAGAAAGGCGTGTTTTTGTTGCCATGGTAAACTCCAAATTTGAGAGTTAAGCCCCGGTTTTTTGAAGGAAAGCATCGCAGTAGGCACTTAAACGAGATCTCATCTTGTAGAGCCAACACAAGGTGCAAGATTTAGTTAGTAATAGAAAAGAAGCCTGGTTAAATTGGCAGTTGTTGTACTAATAATAATGTCCAAACACTGTTTTCTTTGTTTATATTTATTCTATTATGGATTACTTTTACAATTTGCTCGGTCGCTTTTTTATTATTTGACAACCAATTGAGCGATTGAAGATCTGTTCATATGATGTTTAGCAACCCCTCAATGTAGGCATAAAATATCTCTGATATGAAGTCTCTAGCATCAACATGGGGCGTGAAAAAGCAATCTCCCCTTTCTGATGGCATGCGCTACACAGCTTAAACCTTTTGTCAAAGCACAATAAAGCATATCAACAAGCGGTTTTAAATATAACGTTTTCCAACATGGCATCAAGTGCAGAGCTACATGTGTGAATCAAGACAGATATTATGTCAAATGCATTATTATTTGTCGCCGCCGCACACTCATCGTAGTTACTTGCACGGCCATCAACAAGATGTCACCCCGCCATTCACATGCTATCCATGCTAGATTGGCTCGTATATTTGAAGAGTGCAATCATTGGACTTGGATAAGCCATCCACCTCCATCGCAACCATCACTCCTGCTGCCACCACCGCCATTGTCGCTGACGCTGGCGTTGGTGCTCTCTTCTGACCCTTTCCTTTTGAAGCCAATATCCTTTTTGTTGAAGTAAAGTGTACTAAATTCTTTACCAATATTTCTCGTTAGATTTCATAAATAATCTAAGCTTTCTTGCTTCAACTAGTCTCGTTCTACCAACCAGGAGTCTTCCTGTTATACTGAAACACGTATATCCACGAAGACAAAAGATACCAGTAAGTCAGTGTTAGATAATGGCTAAATTTTACACACACCTGAGTAGCAAGAGGTAATGCGTGTATGCCGTCTACCCATATCCAAGATCTTTCTATTCATACAGACATGGAGCACCGCAAGAGCATCAGATCCGCAGCTACATGTTATTCAAGGACAACTTCTGATAATAATGAAAGCTCAAAAATAAAATGCTAGAAGGATAGGGTTGTAAACGAACATTCGCTCCCTCGCTTCACATTCTATTGCTGCGAGAGCAATTGATTGATCAAGCTATTGGTGCTGCTATTCAGAGCTTGTTCGAAGAAGGACTACGTGTTTTGAATTACTGAATGGAAGAGAAAGGTAAATGCTCAGCAGCAATGAGAATCTTCATTTCAAGGAGCTCATTGTGTCTGATAAGGAGTAAATGTAATTGTAGCTATATACTATACGATTGCATCATTTAGCTAGGCGTATTTTGCCAGTTGGTTCTTGTTGTTAATGTTCAATGTAGGATTACTGTTCTTTGTGGATGGAGGTAACCTGTTGTACAACGCTTGATAGATTTCAAGTCTTTGTCGTGGCAAGCAGCAAAGCAATGCTGCTGCAATATGATTTTTGGCGTATGAAATAATCTAGATGGCCATAATGAAGTGATGGCTTGGTAAACTGGATTTAGGCTATGTTATTTTAAAATTTTTTACTTCAACGCTTCAAACAACAACTTAATGGAGCCAATTATGCCTTCACTGCGTAAAACTAAATGCTCAGTGATATGAAATAGTCGTTGAGGATGTGTTTTATTTGATGTAAAGTCGATGCTTTAATGATTCAACCCTCGGCACAGCAGGATAGTCTTTAGAATGACATGCAATGAGGGATTCTCAAAATTAAGGTACTCCTTTGGGTTGGTTCAGTTTGATCTGGTCAGCCACTGTGAGGCATGCAAATTGGATCTGACCCTGCAACATGTTTAAAGTAAATCAGATGATGCACTTTTCAAAAAGATGTCAAATTTCACACCTAATGGAGCCTAGTGTTTTTATTCTCATAGCGATTCGCTTGGGCCTCTCTTTGTTTTCGAGATCCCTTTCTTTATTGTAGCATCTAGAATAAGAATCCCAAGGCCCCGAGCTTTTTCTTAGGATCCAAGAATGAATGGTAAAAAAAAGCTTCCATCTGTTCTATTTCTAAAGCACGGTTGCTTCTCAAATGCACAACATGCAGTATAATGAATATGCAGATGGCTTCTCGCATCCCAGACAACTATACAAAAGTATTTGACATTTTATATATATACAACACAGCCTAAATTTCCCACAATGTATGTATAGATGTAACACTCAGACAGTCAGAAAAAATAGGTTTTCACATGAGTTCCATGGAAATGGTATGATCGAACATTTTAGCGTATTACGAGTCTTCCCGAAATACTTAATTTATTGTACTGAGAGCTCTCTTGTGCAACCTACTTACCCCGCAATATATAAATCAATTCATGTAGCTGTTGTGGCAATCTGTGATAGTGAAGGCTGATCTCTGTCTGATGCGAGCCAGGTGTATAGGGAATAATCCCCCTCCCATAAAGAGATGAGTAGATCTATGTTAGCTTCACTCCAGCAAGCAAATGCCAAACTAAAGGAGGTTCTTCCCAGCGAACCCTCATCCACTAAGAATAGCTTCCCCCACCAGTTAAACAAGAGAACATGTTTTGTTGATGAACAACATGAGTTTTTATTTCAAGTCAGCTCATTTTTTTCAGGTTTCTCATTTCTTGTAATCATTACAAGCTGCTCGTCCTTTCTTTCTCTTCTTTTTCTCTTCTCATTTCTTTTAATTTATCTTTTCAACAAAAATGTCCAACTCTAGTAAGTGCCATCGCGGTAATAAGCCTTGATCTCGTCGCTGAATGTGCTGTTTTGAATGATAGATCTTCGTATTGCATGTGTGGTAAGTGCGCTAGTCAGAGGATACAGGTGTGAGAGATAGCAACTATATCTAATGATACATGCTCATTAGATGGTAGGCCTGCCTGCTAGAGGAAAGACCTATATTTCCCAGAAAGGTGAGTCTGGTGATGTGAATGCGAAATGGCACGTATTGATGGGCTTGAGTACTAGTTTGCAGATACCTTACTTGGCTCGGTATCAATACCAAGGTGTTCAACGTTGGCAATTATCGTCGCAAACTGTACGGCGCCAAGCAAGAGCACTCATTCTTTGATCCTGAAAATCCCATTGGTATTCAGCAGAGAAAGGAATCCGCTAAAGCAGCATTGGAAGACATGATCCGTTGGTTCAACGAGGATCAAGGCATTGTCGCTCTTTACGATGCCACCAACAGCACACAGCAAAGAAGACAGTGGCTGCATGAGGCACTCACTCAGGAGCATATCCAGGTGTTTTTCATCGAAAGCATTTGTCAAGATGAATCCATCATTTTGGATAACATCAGAGAAGTGAAACTCACTTCACCAGATTATGCCAACACCGATCCAGAGCTAGCAGTCAGTGATTTCAAGGCCAGAATTGATCATTACAAAGATCAGTACGAGACCATCACCGAGAATGACTATACATACATTAAGTTAATTAATGTCGGCAGCCAGGTTATCATCAACATGATCCGTGGGTACTTGGAGTCTCGTATTGTGTACTATTTGATGAACCTTCATACGGCACCACGAAAGATTTACATGAGCAGACACGGCGAGTCCATGTTCAACCTCGAGGGAAAGATTGGCGGTGATTCTGCTCTGTCACCACGAGGCATGCTGTACGCAAACAAGCTGCCTGAACTGATCAAGCAAAACTTGGGCGATAAGGATCTGATTGTTTGGACATCTACCATGAAGCGAACTATCCAGACAAGCTCACTGTTGGACTATCCCAAAATGCACAGAAAGGCATTAGATGAACTGGATGCTGGTATGTGCGATGGCATGACCTACGAGGAGATTGAAGAGAAATATCCTGAAGATTATGCAAACCGTGACGAGGACAAGTTCAACTACAGATACAGAGGTGGCGAGGTAGGTTGAGTCACCCAGAAAGATGCCATGGTAACTGACAGACGGTGTAGTCATATAGAGACGTGGTGTTGAGACTGGAACCAGTGATCATGGATCTTGAGCGTCAAGGCAACATCCTTATCATTGGACATCAGGCAGTGCTGAGATGTATTTATGCGTACTTTTTGAACTACAGACAGGAAGATCTGCCTTACATCAAGATTCCATTACACACCGTCATTGAATTAACACCAAAGGCCTATGGATGTGATGAAAAGAGATACAAGGTTGACATTGAAGCTGTGGATACACATCGTCCCAAACCCAAGGCAGGAGCAGCACCAGCTCTGAAAAAGAAGCCTTCTAAACTGGATGTCAACGGCAATGCAACTACAAATGGCACACCGTCTTTGGGAGCGAGTGGTGAGATTGTGCATGACATTGGAAGTCCCATCTTGCCTATCAGCCCGCAACTTTGGCCCTCCACAAGCGCAAATACAGCATCTCAACATACCAAAACCCCTTCGCAATTGCATTTAGAATAACTTCCTAGTGTGAGAACCTTCAAGCACACACACACACACACGCACACACCATTTCCATCATTTCCGGCTCTATTCTTTTTCCCCTGTTTGTACCAGATGAGCATACATCAACAATAAATTATTTCTCCTTTCTTTTTCTTTTTCTTTATCTTTCTCTGTTGTCAATGTCCAACAGAAAGCGCTCAAGAGTAAGCTTAGCAGTAAGTCGAGTTATGTGTATGGATCAAGGACGACTTATAACATTTGACATAGTGTGTCCAATGTAAAAGAAGTAAAGTTAAATGCGATTTTACTCATCCTCAGTGCAGTCGATGTGCTGCTTCTGACTCGCCTTGTGTCTATACTGATGTGCCGCCTCGAGTCGATAATCAAGCCTTTGATCAGCTCGGAAATCATGTGGCGGAATTGCACAAAAGAATGAAGGTGATGCAGTCTGAGCTCAACAGAATGCTATCCTTTTCAAACCTTGGTCACATCAACCACAGCAGCGTAGTAGCAACGACTTGGACACTAAGACTGACACCATCTGGCATACGCATCAACACCAACATCACCAACATCCATGATTTGTACCGAGTACTGCTGCAAGGCATCGCTCAACTTGAAATCAACAGCAGGACATGGATAAATGTACCTAGCTTTGTGAGCAGAAGCCACAGCAATGCGGATGCGCTGTCTGTTGTATCGAGAGATCCATGTCTCATCAAACAAGAAGTACCTATTGAGAACCTGCAGCCGCTTATACACTCTTGTTATCAGCCTTGTTTTCTTCCTTATCAAATTGTCGATCAGCATGAGTTCTTACAAACGTATCATGACCCTCAAAGACCACAAGAGTTATTGCTTGTCCACTCGATCCACGCTTGGGTAGCAAAGCATACCAGCATCTACCATCGCACTCTTTCCAACAGTATTAGCGTAGACACAGCGGGCGAAGGCTACTTTTTAGAGGCAAGGCAATTACTAAGGAAGTGCTTCACGATAAGCAACGCCACTACCATTCATGCACTTCTCAACCTCTACATGTATCAACTGAGTTGTGAACGCACTACGCTGGCGTATCTGTATATTGGGCTAGCTATCCGTATGGCCGAGGATTTGGGGCTTCATAAGAGAGACCATACATCTCTAAACCTGAAACAAAAAGAGATAAACAAACGGCTGTGGTGGTCTGTGTATTGGCTGGACCTTTGTGCTGCCTTGGAGTCCAATCGTCCTACGATGGTAGATGATGGGGATTGCGATATGGAGTATCCCACTCGACTTGCAGATGAAGACGATGAAACAGGATACCGTATTGCTTTCAGTGTGGCGTCTATCCAGTTGATGAAGATAAGAAAAGTCATTGCCAAGCATTTGCCGTCAGAAGGAAAATCAGGGTCTTGTCTGTTGGACGCTGTAGCACATCTTGAGGCTCGCTTGACACAGTGGTTAGAGGAATTACCTAGTTACTTTTCATTTTCAGCGACACACAAGAGGGGCACCACTTTCTGTGATGAGGCTTGTTTGGTACTGAACATCCAATATCACACTACTTGGATCATGCTTCACAAACTCTTCTTGAAAGAACAAGACATTGCAGATTCACCTGTCGCGTTATTGTCGCTGGATGTTTGTATTCGGTCAGCTAATCTAATCACGCAGCTGTTACAGATATATGCCAAACAGCCACATTGGTGTCATTTCTATTATTGTTTGGACGGCGTTGCTGAAAGTGTGTATATTCATCAACAGAGTGTATCCTGTAACACGATAGACATGACGGCCAAACAAACGGCTCTTGACCATCTAGCGACCACAATGCAAATCCTGTATGCGTCACCGTTGAATTATATCCAAAGGGTGAAGGATATCATACATCAGGTCAGACACCTTCTTATAGAGCAGCGAGGCCAGGAGCTGCCCTTATTGCCGCAAGCTCATCCACCACCAGACATTTGCCAAACATTGACAGCAGCAGCGGCAGCAACAACCGATAGGATTCTCTTGAGACATCCAAATGTCAATATCATGGACTTTATACAACCAACTTTCAGTAATGAAGAGTTGAATCAAATGTTATCAATTTATAATGATGAAAAGTGATAAAAAAAAAGTTTCATAATGACAATCCAAGTAAAGAAAGTGTGGGGGGAATGCTATGGTGTATGTGTGTGTGTGTGTGTGTGTGTGTATGTATAGAACGTTTAAATGTGTATATGTATATAAATGATTGGCATGGCATGGCAATGTGTTGGTATTGTGGTTGGAATGGCAAAACTATAATAGGAGAGATACATGTCGTAAAACATCCATATCTTCATATACAATCTGTTGATTTCCTTGATCATGCTGAAACGATACTATGGCAGATCGACCGCCATTTTGTATATTCAGTTGTAAATGAGCATCTTTTGTCAAAGACGAACAAATCATGAAAAACGGCAATTCAATCTTTTGGCTGGTAGTAGATGGTGGTTGTGATTGATTTCTACTTACAAGGTTGCGAATGTGTACATGCTATGATATCAAAAGTGAATAAGGTGAGAGCTGCATAGCGCACAAGAATCAGCTTACTTTTTCCAGTTTACTGTTGATGGTACCACGGAGCACTTGAAGGGACTCCAGCAACTGATGTTGGCGAAGTTCCTCTGCCTTGATTTGGCTCAACAGATCTGCATTGTCCTGCCCATCTTTTTCTGTAGGCTGTTTATAACATTCAGGAATACCAAGCCATTTGATTACTTTTTTGTCTTTGGTAATAATGTTCATTGCCATCAACACATTGAGAGCGTCATACACACGACGGCGAATATTCTTTTGGTCATACGTCTGTTTCTATACAGAATGCATTAGCATTGGATTGGATCAACACATCAAAAAGACTTACTGGCTGGCCATCTACAAGCGCATTTTGTTGCTGGATATCGAATGCCAGTTCATCTGCCACCTCATTGTAGGTTGTAACGCCTTTTTTAGCAACTTTGTCACACACTTGTTTGCTGAAATGGCGTAAACCTTTGGTTGCACGTGTAGATTCATTGGCGAATGTGTTGTAGGAGGAAGCAGTAGGAGACTTGGAAGATTGACAGGCCTGTTTGATGCAATCTGCGTTCTCTGATGTGCGCTGCTTCTTGTGTGGGTTGCTACTACTACTCATGGTGTCATCGATGGTCGCAGCAGTAGATGGTCTTCCTCTTTTTAACGAGTAATTGTCAAAGAAATGAGATTGATAATTGCATTTGCTTTCTTCTTCGTCCAACTGCTTTAATTCAGGATCAGAATTCAGCAGTGAAGCAATTGAACCCTTTCTGCGGACAGAAGAGTTCAATACATCGTCTTCATCAGAGGATGAAGATGGAGATGACGAATAGCAGCAGCTAGTACCCGACGAGGGTGGCGGTGAGGGGCTCGATAAAGGCGTATTCATAAAGTTCTGGATGGGTGGCAGATAGCATTCATCTTGTTGTTGCTGGTATAATAATGGCCTCAATTCATCTTGCTGTCTACTGTTACGATGGTAGCTTGTGGAACCCATGTCGGAAACCCACCCGCCGGCGCTGCGGTTGTTGGAGCAGTGCTGCTTGAATGGTAAAGGTGGTGGTATGATGGGACAGGCAGGAGGGACTCGGCCCAACATAAAAGCTGGCATCTTGATGATAGACTGACGATTTGAAATGGGCGGTGATGGTAAGGACGATATCATCACTGCATTATTATTGTTGTTATTGTTGTTGGATACTGATGAAGTCATATCTTGTTATATATATATATATATATATATATACTAAGAAGCATTTAGATGAGAAAAGATTTTTTTTCTTGCATTTTAGTCATATACTCTACATTTAATGAAAGAGATGGAAAAGGCTGGAAACGATGGTCTTATAGTTCTTTGGTTTGTATTGTAGGAAGGAAAGTAAAGGGTTCAAAACTGGACTCGTTGAGAGTGAAAAGTGAGTGTAAGAGAGATTTGGAAGTAGTTTTGTAGACAAAAGCAGAAGGATTGTTGGATGAAAAGAGAGTGAGAGAAAAGAGAGAAAGGGAGAAAAGAGAGTGAGAGGATGTTATGATCATAATATTAAGGTTGTTGCATGCAATCAGTGAGTAAACAGTAAACAATACAAGGTGTTCATCATCCATTATGGGAGAAGAGAGGTGCACTGCAAAGTAGCACACTGTGATTCCGGGAGCAAGGCCTTACTAAATTCATCAATCAACAATGATACTTGTTATTGAATTAATTTGATGAAACATGATCTTGTTCTTTTTTCGTCTTGGCTGTCTATAGAGATTACACACACACACACATATATATATATATATATACAGAGAGTAGGATAAACCTGATTGCAAGTTGTAGCTTCTTCCTTGTATGAATCTACATACCCGGAAAGGTTCCGTTTATCATAAAGATGTTTAGTTTGAGAATAGGTTGTTATAGCTGTACACATTGCTGACATGTCTCTCTCGGAGTGGCCATGCTACATCTTGTATGCTCGAGCCAAAGGATCAAAATCTATGAGTGTGTTGTTCCGTTAATGGGCTTATAAAGTCAAACCAGAGGTCCCCTTCTTTTCTCTCTTGTAGAGCAGTTACACAAAACATCAACTCAACATCAATTTCTAAACTATAGATATCAATAACAGCATCGGCCCGATGTTTTCTTTTGGTAGTTTTAAAAGGGTTCAATTTCTGCATAAGAGCAATTAATCGATGAGTAATAATACATACCAACGGAAAGCGCCATCATCTTTTTAGAGTTGAGCTGTTGTAGAACATGCGGGTTTGTTTCAAGATCAAGATGGGTTTCCATCTAGAAAATCACAACAAACGAATTCCCCATGTATCCCCCGAGTCTAAACACTGTGGCACGAATCTTGGACGAGATAAAGACAAGTGCACTCTTAAATCGACAGTGGCTAGAAGCAGCTTATTTATGGTGGATATATAGACCCAACATTGGGTTCCTAGAGCCGTACTAATCGTGCAGCTTGCAGACATCTACTCACAGTAGCGCAACCCCCCCCCTCCTTGATCTCACTGATAAATGGGGACCTGCTTGTTTAGTTTTATTAATCGCATTATATGCTTCTCTGTTTTGTTGTCATTCATCATAGATTTAATGAAAATTTAGACTCTTGAGCGGGATGCACGCATGGGATGATCAAAACCTTAAAAAAAAGAGATCCCATCTTTTGATTGCGTTATGATACATACCCCCCTTTAGCGATGGCATTACGTAGTCTCTGTGCTAATGGAGGGAGTCCATAGGCAAACACAGACACTCCATGAGGAGACAAGAACTTTTCTTTACTACACATGTAATGCCATGTACAGAGGAAATACAAATAAACATGATCATGTGCTTTGTCATTAAAGTCTCGCTTCACCTTAAAAGGTAAAAAACGAGCATCGCACAATACTAAAAGTTAAAGCTATTATTGTCTAAAAAAGTTGTTTATTAACAAGATTTGAATGATTTTACAAAGAGAGAACGAAGAATATACAAAGAAAATGAAGAATATGGTATGTGAGATAATTATTTAGAAGAGGCATGAATCAATTGAGTAACACCATCAACAACTTTGGGTGGGAAATCACGGCTGCGCATTTGCTGGACCACTTGCACTGCCTTGGTCTTTTCACCATTCTCCACATAAGCCTTGGCCATAGCTTCGTAGGTGCTTGGTTCTCTCACCAAGCTGCCAGAATCACTCATGTTGTTAAACACCTGTTCAGCCTTGTCTAGTTGACCTTGAGCACCATAACCGGCAATAAATAAGTTTTCAATATAAGCAGATGACTTGGTGCCTTGCTTGAGCATGTCCTTGTAGATCTCTTGAGCACTGTTCATGTCATTGTTGTCAATGTAAGTGTTCATCATGGCTTGATACACAGTCTCATCAGCCTTGATACCAGCCTTTTGCATCTCCTTGTACACGGCAACAGCAGATTGAACATCACGATGGAGACAACCATATGAACGGATCAATGTAGCATAGTGACCAGCACTGGGACGATAACCATGGCGCTTGTTCATCTCAGTCAGCAATTTGTGAGCAGTCAGCATATCATAAGCAGGAATGTTGGCATAGGCTTCCATCAGCAGCTTGTAGGTGTGCAAAGAGGGCTTCAAGTTAAACTGCTTGGAAAGGTTGTAGTACTCGAGCGCCTTTTCACGGTTGGGCTTTTGTTGTACGTAGAATTGAATCATGCTGTTGTAAGCACCAATGCGAGGTTGATACTTCGGAGAAGAGATCATTTCTTGAAAGTATTGAGCAGCACGGCTTTCAGAGCTGCAACGGATACAAGCAGAGATAACAGAGGCATAGGTGATGGAGTTGGGAATGACACCGAGTTGCTTCATTTCGTTGAACAGACGTAACACAGGCTCAATCTTGCGGCATTTGGCCAACTTGGAAAGAATGACATTGTACAAGTAGACGGTAGGACGAACATTGTGCTTTCGAGACTCCTCGTAGATGGCAAGAGCATCTGTAGACTCATCCGTAGTGGAGTTGGCATTGCAGGCCAAGAGAGAACCATAGGCATCACCATCAGGGTACAGGTCGTGCTCACGAAGCTTGTCATAAAAGACCTTGGCAGAGTTGAGATCACCATGTCGAGCATGAGCCACCAGCATGGAGTTGTAGATGGCATGGTAACCACGTTGCTTACGAGTGCCCTCCAGGAGATGCATGGAATCAATCACTGTATTGTAGATATTCTCAGCAGCATCCAAACGACCTAACTTGGAAGAGAGTTGGATCATGTCACGCACAGCTTCAGGGGTAGGCACCTTTCCTTGCTTGATGATCTTGTTGTTGAGGACATCAATAGCTTCTTCAAACTTACCGCCGAGGGCAGCATCCAGAGCAGCAGCAGAGAGCAAATCAGATTCAACAGTGATGATGGCAGGAGGCTTGGTAGCAGCTTCAGAGGCCTTGGCATTGGCAGCACGATGAGTGACCACATCTTCGGCCTTGGGAGCAGCCATCTTGGGGTCCTTGATTTGGTCTTCAATAGCAGACATGTAAGGGGCAAACTCTTCCTTCCAGCGAGCCTCGTATTCAGTTGCTTCGTACTTCTTCATGCGAGTCAAGACACGAACATACAAACTGGCAGAGGGAGACATGTTCAGAGCATGCATGTCCTTGAGCAGCTCAAAAGCCAATTTGCAAAAAGCCTCAGGTGTGTTCTCCTTGCGGAAAGCAATATCGTACAAGATAAAGAACGAGCGCTCATTCATATCCTTGGACACTCTCTGCCAGACATCAGGATTGGACTTGGCTTCCTGATACATGTTGACCACAGCCTCACACACAGCAGGCGTAGGGTGAATATAATAGTGGTTGATGACTTGCAGAATGGACAGAGCGTTACCCAGATCCTTGCACTTGAGAGTCAAATCCAAAGCTAAATCAGACACAGGCGAACTAGCATCCAAAAAGTTGCTCTTGGTGTACAATCCAATCAAAGACTTGAGAGAGGTAACAGCATCATCCATTCTACCATTGTTGACAAAGCTCAATACAACACCCTTACACAGGTTGGAATCCAACTCCAGTCCACGAGACGTCATGGCCTTGACGACATCCAAAGCTTGATCGGGCATGTGGTTGTTGGTGCAAGCAAACGCGTAATCAGCTAAATGGCCGTACTGTTTCGAGATATCGTGGTTCAACAGGTTGTGATACACCTTGGTGGCCTTTTCGAAATCCTTGAGATGACTGTACGCCGACAAAATCATACCATAAGTGCTGGCATCAGGGTTGGGGAGCTTGGTGTCAGCCTCCAACTTGGCAAGCACAGAATCCACAGTGTCCATATTTCCATCAAAACAAGCTCTACGCACAATCTTGTTGAAGGGCAAAATGGTAATCTTTACATGGTCTTGCACCATGACGTTCTCAATAATATCCAAAGCACCAGGAATATCGCCCGCATTGACATGAGCATAGACAAACGCATTATATACATAAGTGGCGTCATGGCTAGGAAGGTGTTTCTTGAGTGTCTTGTATTCGTTAAAGCATTCGCGAACAGCCACCAAATCACCAGCAGTGCCAAACATGGACATCAACGTGGCAAAAGTCATACCATTGGGATTAGCATTGTGAGCACTTTCAAGGTGTTCGTAAATATAGAGACCATCTTGCGTGTTGCCCTTGTAAGATAGCCCACGAAGCAGGGTGTTGTACAATTCAGTGTCAAAGTCTTGTGTTGATTTCTCAGTTACTGCCTTGTTGAACAATGCCAACGCCTTTTCCATGTTCTTTTCATTCTCCAAATCACCCAAATTGTGGACAGTGTTTCCAGTGCGAGCAATCTGTCTCTTGAGCATGCTGACCGTCTTTTGCACTTCAGAATCTCTGTTGCAAAGGGATCGAATAAGAAGAGCGTATGTTTGAGAGGAAGGACGCACGCCGGTAGAAATCATATCATGGTAGGCGTTCATCATGGGAGTGAGAGGTTGGTTGATTTTGCGTAACTTGCCGTATGCTTGAATGACAGCTTCATAGGTTTGTGTAGACAAGGGTGGTGCTGATTCACCAGCTGCTGATTTGCCCTGAACAAACGCATCTACCACTGCTCTCGAGTTCTTTTGCTTGGCTGCTTGAAGGATGCGAACATCAAAGTGAGCAGGCTCTGATGCTGCTGCTGCTGCTGCTGCTGCTGTATCATAAGCTGAAAACTTCTTGCCATGATGCTTTACCGTCGTCCAGTTTGGCTTGTTCAAATGAGCAAGGGTGGCTGCTGAATCCCTGCTGCTGCTGCTGCTGCTGCTGCCATCCAGATCTTGCTTTTGATTGAATTGTGTCTGGCTTCTGGTGGTGTAGGATAGCTTACCAGCTGATACTTGGCGAGTAGGTAGATTGGCAAGGAAAGCGGTTGATTTGGGTGCAACAAGTTGCTTTGTGAGTACACCCTGTCTGGCAACAGAGTTTAAGATGGTCGATGTTCCTTTTACACCATACATTTTCTTATTATTTCAGTTAATACAAAAGATTTATATCAAGAAAATATAAAAGCTTTTATGTGAGTGTGTGTGTAAAAAGAGAAAAGAGAGGGAAAGAGGGGAAATTTTTCTTTAAATGTCTCTCGGGAAAACTTGTACCGTTTTTACTCGAATTTTTTGAGTCAAAAGCATCGGAATCTCTCTCCACGCTTTGGTTTCTATGGAGTAAGCTTTCTATACTCAAATTAGACTCTATCCCCAAGATCTGTTGATAAGATTGATAATGCATGTATCAAGCTATATCAGTGTGTATTGCAATTTATTGTAGAGACATACGATAATTTCATTTCCTAAACTCTAATGTCAATTACTGTAATCACATTGTGCAGAAATATTCAAGGGGAGGGGAAAAAAGACCCCCTGTCTATCCCTATTGGATGACACTGGGTCTCAATCCCTTGATTTCCTTCTCGAAGATGCCATTTTGGTCAACGCAATTTGACGTTTATGAACGAGTCTTAAAGTTCGCTGTGTAACTTGTAGTGATTTACTTGAAAAAAAAAAAAAGGTGGGCTCATTCGGATATCATGCTGCTGGGTACGTAAAATGAACGTGTAATGGATTGAAAGGATGATTGTTATCAAACATCCACATCTTTACTCACTCCGCAAATATAAGCACTAGCATGTCTTCCATTGGATGTCTCTGATGACTCTACCACAGCGGCGCTCTGACTTCTTACTAATGTAAACTAAAGATCCAATGAAAGACTCACTAGTTTCTATTTAGCATACAAAGGCAGACTAAATCTAAAATGTAGCAACAAATCGCTAAGTGATGTATTATGTAGCAAGCAAATGAATAAATCAAAACCAAACCTGACAGCCCTCAGGCCTTAATAATTTCATGTATAGACCTTTCTGAGCCACGGGAATGCCGCTAAACAATTGTACTAGAGTAGCAGTAACTTCCTGACATCTTTGCTCAACTTTTTGGGACCAAAAAAAATATGGCGAAAAATCAACTCCAAACCATGAGGGATACCTCATAGTTTTTCTCGAAATCAAACGATCGAGTCTTTGACCTTGATAACGAAGACTTTTACTATGGTATATATTGAATCAAAATGTTTCTATCGATCTAATGTAACACCTGAAATCGTCTTTGTGAGGCTTTCATATGCAAAATTTTGACATTTTGACCAAAACTCACATTTTGTATCTTCCAAGATTGCTCAGTAAATCCAGTCAAAACGTATATTTTACTTGGCACCATTGGAAGCGCCTTAAAAAGTACTCCAAAAATGTATTAGGAAGCATAGGCTAGTGATCGCAACTTATATAGTCGAATCTCACGAAATAGCATAAATAAGTTGAAAATGTCTATTATTTGGCCAATCTTGAACAGAAAAGATTTACCTGAGATTTAATAAATTTTGGCGCTACTGGCTGACCAAAATGCCTTTTTGATGTTGACAACGATGGTTGGGATGTTGCTTAAATGAGGGTCACCAAAATAAAAAATAAAAAACGAACGCTTTTGCCTGAATACTTTTTTGCTTTTGTTGGGTACTTTCATATCTGAGAACGCCAGTCAGCCTGGCTCGCCACCAAAATATATGTAATCGCAACCTCCTAATTGTGATTTGCAGCATTTCAACATATCATTTTGACAGTATGCGTTTCATTGATTTGTTTAAAAGAAACTATTGACACTGGCTGCAAAGATATCTCAGTATGTGATAAGGACATCTTTAAAACTTTTATCAGAATATTCATAAGGAATGATTACTGCAATCTGTTAATTATTGGCAGACTGTGAGTACGCCCATCTTACCAACAATTAAATTCAGTCTCATTTGGGAGTTGAGTCGAATATGAGCATCCTCATTAATATGGTTTCAGGCTTATCATTCTTCTTCTGCACTGAGGATCTTATGAGCAAGCCTATAAATACGAACAAAAGTTTTTTCAGCCTTGTCGGTGCTCAATGTTTCAAATTCCATTATTCTTTATCAGATCAAAAATCATCTACCCCGCCATTATCTTTCATGATCAACTCTGAAGAAATTTGCTGAGCATTTATTCGACCTGCTCCCGCAGCAATAGAATGTGAAGCGAGGGAGCGAATGTTCGTTTACAACCCTATCCTTCTAGCATTTTATTTTTGAGCTTTCATTATTATCAGAAGTTGTCCTTGAATAACATGTAGCTGCGGATCTGATGCTCTTGCGGTGCTCCATGTCTGTATGAATAGAAAGATCTTGGATATGGGTAGACGGCATACACGCATTACCTCTTGCTACTCAGGTGTGTGTAAAATTTAGCCATTATCTAACACTGACTTACTGGTATCTTTTGTCTTCGTGGATATACGTGTTTCAGTATAACAGGAAGACTCCTGGTTGGTAGAACGAGACTAGTTGAAGCAAGAAAGCTTAGATTATTTATGAAATCTAACGAGAAATATTGGTAAAGAATTTAGTACACTTTACTTCAACAAAAAGGATATTGGCTTCAAAAGGAAAGGGTCAGAAGAGAGCACCAACGCCAGCGTCAGCGACAATGGCGGTGGTGGCAGCAGGAGTGATGGTTGCGATGGAGGTGGATGGCTTATCCAAGTCCAATGATTGCACTCTTCAAATATACGAGCCAATCTAGCATGGATAGCATGTGAATGGCGGGGTGACATCTTGTTGATGGCCGTGCAAGTAACTACGATGAGTGTGCGGCGGCGACAAATAATAATGCATTTGACATAATATCTGTCTTGATTCACACATGTAGCTCTGCACTTGATGCCATGTTGGAAAACGTTATATTTAAAACCGCTTGTTGATATGCTTTATTGTGCTTTGACAAAAGGTTTAAGCTGTGTAGCGCATGCCATCAGAAAGGGGAGATTGCTTTTTCACGCCCCATGTTGATGCTAGAGACTTCATATCAGAGATATTTTATGCCTACATTGAGGGGTTGCTAAACATCATATGAACAGATCTTCAATCGCTCAATTGGTTGTCAAATAATAAAAAAGCGACCGAGCAAATTGTAAAAGTAATCCATAATAGAATAAATATAAACAAAGAAAACAGTGTTTGGACATTATTATTAGTACAACAACTGCCAATTTAACCAGGCTTCTTTTCTATTACTAACTAAATCTTGCACCTTGTGTTGGCTCTACAAGATGAGATCTCGTTTAAGTGCCTACTGCGATGCTTTCCTTCAAAAAACCGGGGCTTAACTCTCAAATTTGGAGTTTACCATGGCAACAAAAACACGCCTTTCTTCAATAACAGCACTGAAGAGTGTTTAGAATAACAAAATATAGACAGAGTAAATACAATTAGAACTGAATATATTTATTATGTTATTCCAAGATTGAATAGGGATCAAAACTAGTGTAGATATCAAAGGTATTTATAGTTATTTGGCAGTGCCGCAGCAATAGGACCTTGATCTTGAATGCGGGATAATTGTATAAGCCTTGAACCAGTAACGAGGATGTGCTGCATCAGAACTCATGAACCACCAGTCAAGGATAAACAACAAAGATGATCCAGGATAGAATGTTCTTCCTAATAGCTTTGACGGAAGAACATTTGTCGGAATTGAAACCCACTTCCAGGGACGAAAGGCCATAGGCTACCACTCTCTAGGAACCAGGATATAGATTAGCCATTTGATGGCACCACTCATGTTCCTTCGTGCTGCTTGAATAAAGACCTCTCACTTCTACTATGCATCTCAGCTCATTCTCAGATCCTCTTATGTAATAAACGACGCCTAATACATTTGCCTCTCAGAGATGATCTATATCCTCAACAAAGAGTCCATACGGTGCTCAAGTCTATAAAATAAATACAGAGAGTGTGTTGCTTAATGTCGGCGCACAACAGATAACATATATACGCCACTACTATAGCCAAAAAAAAATAGTGCTTGAGCGATTAATTTTGGATAATTTGGCTGAAGCTGACATTTCGGCCGTGTAGCACCGTGAATCCATTAAACCCGGGTTCACTACAGTTTGCTGATGTCGATTCTTGCATCGCAGGATTTGTAGGTATCATGAATCTCTGTTCGTTCGATTCTGATACAAGATTTCGTTGTTTGATCGCTCAATCGAGCTGACACCGACTGAACCTGCCTCGTATATTATATCAACCATTTTTCCTTAATTATTATAATTGTCCAACGTTGTTGTGAATAGACTTTAAGTTTAGTTTTATGGTTAATAAACATAATACCTCTGCTGTGAACGAACATCAAGAGGGGTCTGCTGAGATAAGTATCTTGGTCAATTTGAGCAAATCGTTAAATTCAAATTTGCATAGTATCACTGACGCTCAAGTTTTAAAATCACTGTATTCGAGCATCTCAAAGAGATCTGATTGCCAGAAGAATTAGAATATATAAAAGTGTCAATAACTTGGAGGTTGGGCCCCGTACAATGCAGAACATCAGGGACATCAGACAGAACTGTAATTTACTTACTTCTTTGGCAGCACAGCATACTACGCCTTATTTTCAGGTCGAATCTTGTTCAAAGCTAGCCATTTTCAAGCACGAATAACTCATGCTACAAAGCGTTCTGGACTTTTGGAATAACGCCAAACGTCTCTTCTTGGCTACGTTTTACCTACTGATGCTTTATCTCAACTTTTTTTGAGTCTTTGCAAATTCATGAAAATTGTCGTTTTTACATGAGTACTAGCAAGGGAAAATTCTTGAAAATCGCACGATCGCATTTTTCACCCGAAAAATGAAGACTTTTCCTATGATACATATCAGGCCAAATTGATTACAAAGATGTAATATAACACTGAAAGCTACTTTTTTGAGAGTTTCATATGCTAAATTTTGACGTTTCTGCAGAAAACCTATTTTCAAATATTTCAAGATTTCTCTTTATTTTTAGTCTGAAAGCTGAATGTAACCAGCATCATTCGATGCGCCTTCATTGATTCTTTATAGATGCATTAGAAAGTAAGGTATAAAAACGACAATTTTCATAGTCAAATTTAGCAAAAACGTTTAAAGAATGTGAGATCAAGTCAAATTTAAACACGAAAATACCCACTGCACAATTTCAAATTAAAGTGCAGCAGTTAGGGCTGCCATGGCAGAAGACTGAGACTAAACCTACTGGACGTGACGTCGGTTAGGGCGCCCTCTCATTTTTCCATACCCCCTTTTTTTTACTCTTTTTGCAAAACGCGTTTAGTATCAAACCATATTGGTTTTGGAACACTTTTGATTAAAAATAACACTCTATCATCTGATAGCACGGTCTTGCACTGTCAAACGTACTTGATACTGCTTTTTTGAGGTGGAATATAGTAGGTATCATTCGATAACGAGTACAGAAAGATGTAGAACAAGCACTAATTGAATATGTTTATTAGGTTTCGATAGTTTTTTGCCTGTTCGACGTGGGCGCTGCTGCCATTACTTCTTTGCTATCTCTGCTGTCTGATTCTTTGGTTTACCCTGTCTAGTAATTGCTTCTTTGGTCTCTATCTCTGGCGGTTGCTTCTTTAATCTTTGTCTGGTCTCTGGTGTCGCTCGTTCTTCGGTTTTTCTACGCTGTTGTTGCTGCTGCTAGTATTGCTACTGGTGTTGCTACTGGTGTTGCTTCTGGTGTTGCTTCTGGTGTTGCTTCTGGTCTTACTGATGGTGTTGCTGCTGCTGGTGTTACTGCTGCTGCTAATATGGTCTTCCCTGGCCTACTGTGTTTGGTGTATGCTCACTGTCTGGTCTACTTTTGGTGATTGCGTATCCTCTGGTCTATCTGTGGCTGTGGTATGTGGTAAGTATCTTCTTTCTTCTGGTCGCAATGATATAAAACTTCTTTGGACGCTTATATTATTGCTTCCTTTCTCGTGGTAATGGATTCATGATGTTTGCCTTGTTGCGCTTTTTTCTTCTTTTTCTTTTGTTGGTAGTGTTTCCTCTGTAGCTTTACATGAAACAATATTAGTCATTGTGTTGTATCGCAAACTTATAATACCACTGTTGCTTTTGCAGTTGTGCGTATTTGTGTCATGTTGCTTTACATCCGACTATTACTATTACCATGCACCGCGTTGCTCATGCATGCATTTTTCTTGCAACAGCAACGAGCTTTTTTAAACATCTTTGATGTTGTGTTTGTTATTCTTTTCTTTGACTCGCTTCGTGTGAGTGTCTCTTTTTTGCCGACATACTACTATATTCTTATAATATTATGTTCTTTTCTTCTTTCTTTTTCTTTTATTATGTTTCGTTTGAAGCATACCTTTTTTACGTTGTGTGGATGTGCCTATCCCTGAAGCTCAACAAGACTTTATCCGAGGCTAGGAGGTAGATAGGCCGCCTCCACTTGGTTATCACTACTTACTTTAGTGATGATTGAGGGTCTCAATGCCTGAATTTAAAGCTAGGTGGTGTAAGTAAGGCATGCTCTAGCACCTGAGGGAAATTTGATGATAGTAACAGCTATATTGCTATATAGCGGAGCTTAAAATTTTGCCTCACATCAAAACAGGGGGAAACTCTCGCAATTTTTTTTTTAGGTCAGCGGAGTTTTTGAGCAATCTGATTGGCTGAGGGATTGAAAGAGAAACGGTCTACAACTGGTTGATTTTCTGTTGATCTGTCATTTATCGTGATTTTGTCTTTTGTAATAATAAAAGAGTAACCAAATAGATACAATTTAAATTTTTCTTTAATTCAAAAGTAAGATAAGATCCAATGATTCAATCTGGCAGCCATCGTACAGTTTGGGGTATTCTTAAATAATTCACTATGTAACGAGAGTCATAATATGGATATAGCAGTACACTATGTACGATGTCGTCCCAATGCCATATGTCTAGCTAACCTTACGTGATTTACAATTGATTCTCAACATGTTTCAATTTCATGGGTTGCTGTCGTCTGACTCATAACAGATTTTGGATGTACAAAAGTTTTTCTGATTTCAAGATTCGGCCCATGCAAAGCCAAACTTTGAAATATTGATACTAGAGCTCTGAAAGTAGCATGTCACTATAAGAAAATGTTATGAGACAACAATTGTATAGTTGGATTTTAGGTTAAATGGTGGGTTGTTGTTCAAAAACAGATGATTTCTTAAAAGAAGACCATTTTATTAGCCAAAGCCTTATTTATAAACCTATTAAAAACCGTTAATTACTACTGATTATTACTACGCATTATTTATAGATTAATATCAGATATTTGAAAGCGTTGTGTTTAAAACCGCTTGATTGTAAGACGCTTCGATGTGGTGGTTTGGTAAAAGGTTAATTCAAAGGTGTACTGCGCAAGGGGAAACAGTTATTTTAGGTTCTATGTTGATGCTAGAACCTTTATATTAGAGCCATCGTTATACAGTATACTCCTATTGTATAACTTTGAAAATATCTGGAGAACAGGCTTATCTGAATAACAACCGTGGAACATATTAAGAGCGATGCCATTCAATGCGCATTTTGATTCTGTACAAAGCTACTATGGCTTGGAGACACTAGTTATTCTGGGAAAAAGTGCCGGGTTTTCAGTTTTTTTTAAAGCCTTTCTTCCAATTTCCTTGTAGCAAATGGCTTTATAAACTTTTTTTACTTGAATCAACGATAACGTGAGATGTTTTTATGCGGAAAGCCATTGCTATATATTATAAGTATACGAGATATAGGATGGGGGGAGGGATTTCTTGCTTCATATGTCTCTTACATACATACTTTGTCAATAATCTTTTTTTTAGTTAGTATAAATTTGATTTCAATTCATAAAAAACAAAAATCATTTTTTATCTCTCTCTCTATTCTTTTGTATACATTTACTGAAGTCTAGTCATAAACTATATCTCTAATACAACACAAACTGTGATACTTGTCTGTAGGCGCATCCGATGTTAGTAAGCTACTCTTTATATGTCAAAGGATAGCAGATAAGGAACATGAGTATCTAATGTTGTCAAGAGCATTTAAAGAGTCAATCATGCTCTACAACGAAGGTATGATACTGTTTGGCACTTCATGGCATATTCATTCTCTTGGGCATCAATTTTTGCATTGGTGTTTGTAAATCACCCAGGTTGCCGCAATATTCAGAAGAGCGAAGCCTTCTGTGTGGTGCTACGGGCCACAGCTTTTGTTGTTCAAAGAACGCTCCATCTACAAGAATCTAATTTCCATAAAGTTAAAGAGATCTGTCTACTTGAAAACGGATAGAATGTATCTTCATGGCACAGAGTCATTGGTGCCAAACTGCCATGATTTAAAGTGCTTCTTGACCAACTCAGCATCATTCGCAGCTTGGTAGCATTTTCAGGATTCTGTGATGTTTAGCAAGTATCTGGAGAGGACCAACCAACGCCAGCGCTTTAGTCAACATGCTTGATCTACTCTAATCGTACTGCTAAAACGATACAATGCTTTTCACTATCGTTAATAGTATACTTGAGGTAAGCCAAATAAACTCATTCAAATGCAATGATGCGGCTCGCGAAATCAATTTAATTAACTCCTTGAATACAACAACGTTCTTGGTTTCTATATCTTTTTTTTTCACTTCATTTTTTAATACTCGTAGAAGATATCCAAGCAAAATCTATAAAGCTACACCATAATAATATGCTGAGAAACTCAGAGATGGAACGAAGCCCTGAAGCAGCAATTATTCAATGGGTAATGATATGAGAGCGTATACATGTGCGATAAAAAGAAAAAGGGCTAACAAAATCCTTGAAACAGATTAATACATTCACCATCTCCCATCCAGTAACACAGATGCAAGAGCTATCAGATGGTCTCATCTTGTTTGAAGTGGCGTCTGACATGTAAGTTGTCTAATTCCAACACGCCTTGATTTGCTTATACTGTATCATTAGCGACCCCAAATGGTTCAAAAGCATACGTTCTGCTGATGTGGGAGATAACTGGGTTCTAAAGCACAACAACCTGAAAAAATTGTGCAAGCTGGTGTCTAGATACTATGAAGAGGTCTTGGGTATACCGTTCTCTAATTTCCCAGAGATTGATTTGAACGCCATTGCTAAAGATGCTGATACCCGAGTCATTGTTCAGCTATGCAAATATATCTTGACTTCTGCCGTGGTGGGCCCAAATAACACCAAATATATTCCAGAAATTCAATTGATGAGTGAGTCAGATCAAAAGCATGTCAAGGCGATCATTGAAGAGGTAGGACTATGCTCTGGTAGAACGAGAGCAAGAGATTTACATTATCCGATGCATAGACTCTGAATTATGCTCAGCAAGAGCCCAATGAACCGCAAGAAATATCTGACAATTATACCCAAAGCAGTTACATGGATGATGGTACATATCGAAGCCAAAGCGAGCTGACAAGAATTTCGAGAGAAAAGGAAGAACTCGAGATACAAAACAAACAACTGATCGATAAACACTCTGAGCTATTGACGAAATATGTAAAGTCATTATTCACACATTGACATCATGCAAATCACTGATTTGTTTCTTTCACTTTACAAACAGGACAAACTCGAGAATGAAAAGCAAGATTTGCAAGTGAGATTAAAAGACATGGATACTGCTGTGGCACAGGCAAATGAGACCGGTAGAGCCGATTTTATTATGCGAACAGAAATTGATCATTTGAAGCAAGATTTGTAAGAAAGTGGCATCGTGTAGAGTAAAGCTGGCACTTAGTTTCATCATAGGCAAAAGAGCGAAGATACTCGACAAGAGCAAGAAAGAAGACTAGAGGATCTCAATCGCCAAATCAACAACTTGACCCGTATCGTAAGTGCATGATTTTTTGTTTGGCATGAGCGATCGAGATTCACCTTGTGTCATTAGAATGAAGAGCTCACTGTGTATGAATCACAAGCAGCAGCATTAAAAGATCAAGTTGATGAGCATCGCCACGCAGCAGAGAAACTCCAGAAAGCAGAAAATGTCATTGAGAAATACAAAAAGAAGATGGAAGACACAGCAGATTTAAAGCGACAGATGAAGTTACTGGAAGAGCAAAATCATTCACTCGATACCAGTTATCAGAAACTGGAAGAAGAATACCGAAAAGTGCTTGCTTTCAAGACCTTGATGGACTCTTACAAAGACCAAGTGGCCAATCTGGAAACCAAGAACAACGAGTTAATCCGTGAAAAGAATAAGATGGAATACGAACTAACCTACTTTAACAAAAAAATGGAACTCATGGAAGCTGATAAAGCCAGAGATTCAGACCGCATTCAGGCTCTGGAGGATCATCTGCAAGAAGCACAACTAGGTATGACTACAGTCAATGCACCCAATGCACAACGAGCAGCCAATGACGATGTGGAGGATATGGACATTGATGATTACAATTTGAATAATTCTCTGGAAGAGTCCTTGAAGGAATCCAATGTCACTGAACTCAAGTTATCCAAGCGTCGCCTTGAACGCCAAGTAAAGACGCTGCAAGAAGAGAGAGCTGCTGGCGGTGGCGGTGGTGGTGGCAGTGGTGGTGGAGAGTCAACACATTCAAAGGTGCTTGTGATGCAGCATTTGTTGGATGACGCCAACCGTCTCAAGACACAGTTTGAAAAGAACTACTTGGAAGTATCACAGGAGCGAGACATCTTACAAAGTGACATGGCACGTATCCGTGAAGGCATTCCTGATGCTCTTGTAGATCAATCAGAAAAGACGCTTTCTCTGCGTCTTCGTATCATTGAGCTGGAGAAGGAGACTAAATCGCTGAATGACACTGTTGCTAAGCTGGAGCAAAAGATATCTGAAGGCCGATTCCAGGGCGATGGTGAGGGCATGGACGAGGTTCTTAAAAAGTGCAACGAGTTGGAAGCCAAATCAAATGCTCTGGAAGAGCAGACCAAGAAGCAGCTGCAAGACATCAACAAGTTGCTTTTGGAAAAGGACATTTTGCATGGCCAAAGTCTGGAGCAAAAGGATCTCTTGTTGGTGACAGAGAGAATGAACAGCGACCTGAAGGAGTCCTTGGCAGCATTCAAGGCAAAGGATGACGAGCCATTCAAGCAAAAGAATGTTGAACTGCAGCAGCAACTCATCAAATTGCAAGAAGAATTATACAGTAACAAGAAGAAGCTCATCAACAGTAAACAGGTACTTGATGAAAACGGGATATATATACAGGTACGAGAACTAACATGTAAAATCCGCTGTAGTTTATCTCACAGCAAGACAAGCTGATCAAGGATCTCAGACAACAGGGCGAGTCTGGTAATTTTGATGAGGCTGTCAAGTCCTTGCAAACCGAAGTCAAGATGCGTGAAGAAGAGATTGAGAAATTCAAGCGACAACTCCATGAGACTCGCAACCAAAACCGCCGTGAACAACAATTGATGATATCAGCCTGGTATGATATGTCACGAAGAGCCAACAGAGATGTTGTAAATAACAAGGCGTCTCCAATCTCATGGCTTGGCCAGCAACGAAGAACACTTGATAATCAGCTTAAACGTCGCTAAAAATAAATGTTGCTATTTTTATTTTTTTATTTTTCAAGGCTGAAAATCATCTCGTTGCCAGTTCGTTTATCCTCCATGACAAAGTATATAATGTCAGTGGGCTCTAATCGAAGACATCGTATGTTGTGTCCTGTGATAATCTGGGTCAAATCTCCCTAATGTATATATGATGAGTCAAACATGTCTCCTACTTTTCGTTCGTGGGACTCGCACTCACTGAATTAACATGGCGAATCTCTATAAAACTAGAGTCAAATGCAACGATATAGGGATAGCAGAAAGCAAAGGCGGTTGGATGCCCTTCCCAGTTGATGATCCAGTCTGGCCTTATCCGACGTCCCTTCTTATCAATGTAAAATGCAATTTCTAGGTGTTTGATTGTATGAGCAACCTAACTTTCATTGAATCCTCTGCCAACTTACCGTTGTAACAAAGCATAATACAGCCGTCTGGGTGTCTAAACATGGATACAGGCCGTAATGTCTCTCTTTGGCTAATAAAGTTGTGGTTCTCATCGCTTGGATCAAGGACGCCTATTCGCATGTTAGCAAGTGCTCCTCTCAAGGGGCATGCTACTTACTCTGTACACCAGCCGAACCAATATCGACCATCTGAAATCCCTTGGCACTGCCCACACAAATCACATTTTTGAAATACTGAATTGAGGTAGCTTCCCCAGGTATATACAGATCTTTAAATCCTCGCAATGTCTCGTTGGAGTGTCTGATAAACAGCCCCAAACTAGGCTTATTGCTGTTCTTCTTTTTCTTTTTCTTTTTACTATCAGATCCCTTCTCGTCGCATGGCTCCAGAGCTCGAATGGTGGATGTCATGGCATTGTATTTGACAAAGCACACCAAAGTGCGTTCTACAGGCTTACCCGCTGTTGATTTATCATACACTTGGCCCACCTTGAAAAAGGACACATTGTTTCCAATCTTTCGCATGTGCTGAATCATCCTTTTAGGCCTCTTGACAAATGCGCTGCTGCTGCTATTACTACTGTTGCTGCTGTTGTTGGTAGCACGACTCTCAGTGCTGTTTGAACTGACGCTGCCACCAAAACTGTGCTCACGGATGCTTCTCATTTTGTACGAGGATGGTGAAGATACAGAGGGAGAGGACGCTATGATGCTTTCCATGAAAATGCAGTTGTTCTCGTCGAACAGTGCATCCAATGAGCACGTGTAGAGTATCTTGTCTGCCAAAATCAACAGCAGTCGAGAGCCCTTGAGAATATCAATCTGAGAAACCTTTTCCAGTGAGAGTATCTTGACAATGCCTTCTGTATCGTCGTCCTCGTCGTTGTCCAAGGAGGTAGCATGCGTTGTAGTAAAAGGCTTTTTGAGATACACACCATGGTCACATCCAAAGATGAGATACGATGCATGCACAACCGCACAGTGAACTTTGTTGAACGTGTTAAAGAACTGATCGCTGATGCCTGTCATCTGGAACACCTTGAGCTTCTCCATGACGGATCGCCGGTATTTCTCAATGGTATCCACCCATTTCTTGCGACTTGCTAGTGTGGGTGCATACAATGTGGTGGTGCCTGAGCCGTGTCTGCCCAAATGTATGAAGCTGATGGGGTATCCGCTTTTTCCATTGACGTTGCTGTTTGCAATAGAGGTGGAGGACGAGTAGGAAAGCAGAGGTGACGGCAGAACGTCTGAGCTACCTCCTGTCGAGTAGAATGATCCAGTGCTGGATCGATTATAAGGAAGGATCGAGCTTGATCTTCTTGTCTGATCCGGTAACGCAATTGCTAGTAATGCCAGTGGTATAGGCTAGTGTGTGTATCAGCGTCAGTACTATATACAGGTATTGAGCAGTACGAATTCTGACCTTTTTGTACAATTTGTATACTTCTGCGCCATCAAAGAATTTTGATTTGATGAGCAGCAAACAATGATCCAGCACATACACCTGCAATTCGGACGATTCAGAAGCTGCATTGCCCGTGGTGCTTTTTCTCTTCAATGGTCCTTTGAGTATGATCTTACGTTCCTTGAATAGCAGATCTAGATCGTCCTATTTCATGCCACATGAACCTTAACCTCACATCTAACTTGGCAGACTCAATACTTACAATCTCCTGTGTGAGCATATGCTTTTTGTTGAATGTAAGCTTCTTTTCCAGCATTTCCAAGCCAAACCTGTTTTCAGTCTTTCCAGATTCTTCATTCACTCGCTGGAGAAATTGCTGGATTAGTTTCATTGCTTTGGGTATGGTTTCACAGTCTGGATGATTTTCAGGGGTATTTTTCAGTATCTCTCGCAATAGTAGATTATATCTTCCTAATCGAGTTGTTGGCTTTGTCAGATATCCATTCAGTTCCAGTTTTCGAGAGGCTGGGGCTCGTTCTGTTGTCTGTTGGTTGGATCATTAATACATAAGCAGATCGACTGATTGCAATGCTATCAGTACCTGAACAAACTCGGCAAATGCAGCGTTGGCTAATCTTTCCGTTTCCAATTTATATTTACTGATAATTTGATGAGAACCATATTCAATAAAGTGTTCAAATAGATTGGACACATGCTTTAGAAACACGTCTCCAATCTTGTACACTATCATATGCTCTTGCTGCCGTTGAAGAAGATCTGCTAGCAGTAAAGCATTGTTTTCTCGAATCTCTGGTAAATTCCAAAACAATTCGTTTACAAAGGCATCTCTTCGATCTGCGGGTATGATGAAATCATTGGTTAACAATGGCTTGATCCAGCTCTATGCGCGTTTTTTTTTAGCACCATGATGTATCTGCATTAACGTGTTTAATCTCACCTTTTCCACATAAAGCAGGTCCTCAACAAAATCCTTTTCAGTGTAAATCAATTCGTATATATTTTCTTGTCGTCGCTTTTCTTTGGTGGAAAGACTGGTTGATATCGATTTTGAAACGGTGTTGATCCAAAGCCTATCTTCCTAGTGACAAGAGTTGGTTGTCTGATGCTCAATGCAACAGGAATCACTTACATTCTCTTCATACAGTGAATTTTGACTCTATTTGCAGAGAAGAGACATCAGCATTATGTATCATTATGTATGCACTATTATCTATATACCTGATTGAATCGGCGAGGGCAGAGTACGCTGTAGCAGGCGCTTTCAATAGTACATGTCGATGAATAGCAATCTGTTAACAGAGTAAAAACGCCATTCGGCATGTCGTCTTCTTTTTTATGAATAGGAGGAGGGTTGTCCTCGCCTGATGTGATGTCTGTAACCATGGCAACTGTATCTGAATCGGCGGATAGTTTTCGCTTACTGGAAGGCTTGGTCACAACCTGATGCTCCTTGAACTTGTACAGTTCATGCACTGAATCTCGCAATCGATGCTCATAGTTGACATCATGAAACAATTTTTGATCGTCCAAGGCTCTTCCAACCAAGATGGCCAGATTTCGATCCGACGTTCTTATGATAGAAGCCAGCATACTCTAAAGTGCAAACAAATGAGTATAAACAGAACTTGGAACTTGCAACAACAGCACATACAACCGCTTCTCTGCCATCAAACACATCATGGTACTGGATGCTGTCCTTGGTCTTTGTACCAACCACCATATTCTCCTTGAAAACATGAGCAATTTTGGATAGTAAGGCGGGATAAATGCTGCTATTTGTTGTCAATGTTGCACTCGGCGATGTTGGTGAGTCAAAGGAGAAGGATTGCGATCGTTCGCTCTTTTTTCGCTCTTTTCGTTTCTTTCTAGAAAGAGACATTTGATGCACGCTTTCGGCTGATTTTCTTAGGGGCAAACTTAAAGTGGTGGAAGAACTCGTCCATAGATGATCTAGATTCGCTATTTATAAACACATCAGTATCCGTACGGCTTTTTATCTCCCCTCTTTATACACTTTGGCAACAGCCCAACATGAACGATCTCCCCGTTCCCTTGTCCGTCCTCCTTCTGGCATTTTCTCTTTCTCTTTGTTTGGTATCCCTGACTTGCTCACAACTCCCTGAATAGACCATAACTTACTTTTGCTTCGGGACAAGGTGGACAATTTGGCTCGCATTGGAGCAGTCGATTTCGAGAGTTTGGATAGCAAGTTACTGCTACTCGCCACTAGAGCACTACTGGCAGCACCATTGTGGGTCTCTTTGATTTTGTCCTGATCTTGTAGTATGATTTTGGGCTCTAGATCCGATGTAGGTTCGAATAAGGTTGTGTGGTTGCTTTCAATCGTTTTAATGGATATGTTGTCGTTGTCGTCTTCCTCCTCCTCGTCTTCCTCTTCCTCCTCCTCATCATCCTCGTCTTCCTCATCCCCATCAAATAATGCAAATGATGTTGTTTCTATACCAGGTAATGTCGTATTCAGGGGCGCATATATGATCGCGCCTGGTCTATATAAAAAGTCCTCATCATCTTGCTCTACTTGCACTGTCTCTGCTGTCGCTGGTGTAGACGATACCTCATCCAGTCGCTGCTGTTGTTGTTGTGATAGATAGTACTTGTTCCGAAATGCCGCTGCTGGTGTCAACTGGTGATTTGGGCTTTCAGTTACAGGATGTACACCATGTGTCACCATCCCAACGCGATCATGATCTGTTGTCGCTGATGAGGGACGAAGGGGAGATTGTGTATTGAGAGCCATGCCAGTGCGACAAGATGCAGTTGCAAAAGAGAGAGGAAGAAGAAGAGGGGAATATATAAAGTGAAATGAGCAAAAGAGAAATATAATTAAATTAAAAAAAGGAAAATGTATAATTTTATAGGAGAACACCTTTTTTTGTTTCTTCCCTTGCTTTGCTACAAAACAAACATGAACTTGACTGGAGGCCAAAGGTAAATGGAGTATATAGCTCTTCTAATAAAGAGAGAGAAAGAGACCACACACATGCACTAAATCAATGGCGCGCTACAGAAATAAAAGCATCATCCATCACAATCACAATCTCCATTCTAATACATTGGATCTAGAGAAAAATCGTTGTTATGAAGCAAGCAAATTTGCACAAGCAACAGTAGCAAGTATGTATTAGTAGGTTAATTGCAAATTAATTTAATTAAGCGCTCTTTTCTTTAAGGGTCGTGTCATGGTGATCATAGCAATGATAGTTTATTCACTTCAATTTCGTAAAAAATGCAATTTGAACGATACAAATAAACTTCGTAAAAGCCAGACAGAGAGACATATTAAATTGAAAGAATAGTTAGTGAATCCATCCGCAACATTCACAAGTGCATACTTACATGTCATAACTGCAGCCTGGGTACGCTAATAACTAGTGCTTCGTGTTACCATTGCACAATGAAGACCTATAGCGTTATGTGGCAGCATGACTTTCACTTGTTGTAGATGGCCATCGAAGACATTGTGACACTGATAGACCATGAGAACCACGTAATTAAAGTAATGAGCCTTGAATCTTAGGGCTAAATGCACAACATGCATTGGACAATAGAAGAAGATGACTACTGGTTTGAAAGCCCCATGAGAGAGTGGTATCAGGAAAAAGAAGCCATGAGGGCAATAGCAAAGCATCGACAGACATCAGGCATTGGACAATTTGAACCTCCAAGGGATGTACAGCCTCTACTACACGTTAGTAACAGGACAGAGAAAGGCAGAGGTATCAATACCTAAAAGAGCCACGCACATATAGTACACGGTGTTGACCAGCTTCGTACTCCTTCCTCTTCATCGCCCATCACCTGCAAAGAGATCAGCCAAAGCACCTCTTTTGAGTGCACCTTGCTTGTAAAGAACCATTCACCATCAAATCCATGTCACTAAGAGTGCATTGTGCCATCTAGCATACACGATGGTATTTAGATATTGAATGTATTATCCCTTTCATATGGCTACCTGATATTGAATCAGGAGAACAGACGTGTAGAGAACTTGAAAGATGGAGAAAGAGGGAGAATGGAATAACAACCCGTCTACCTTTTCTTTTTTTTTAAACACTGATTGATAGGCATACTGGCATAGATTATGAATGCAAGTTTTACGTCAAGCATCTGATTCATTTGTCCACAAGTGTTTGACAGACCATCTTGTCTCTTCATCAAAATATGATAGATTTATAGTCCCTAGACACTTTTACAACCTTAATATGGAAAAAAAAAGTTGCCAGGCATTGGCCAGGCATGGCTCATATCATCATAATAACATGATGAATTTATTGTCCCTACCTACTTTCAAGCCTCGAAAAGGAAATAAGTTAACCTTAAGAGTACTTCGGTTAAGTGGTGATATTATATGCAAGGCTTCAAAAGAAAACAGCATGGCTAAAAGGAGCACTATGTATTTCGCCACCTATTTCCATTGGCTTCAAAAGCATCCATTATTACCTGCCTGCACCTAATCTGTTCCAGATTTGCTAAATTTTGATGATTTTCGACTTGATCAAACTGTTTTGCCAGATTCGACTATTTAAAATGTGATGATCACCCCATGCTTCTTTAAGCTTTCTTGGAGGGCTTTTCAAGGTGCATCCAATGGTACCAAATAAGATAGATGTTTTGAATAAACTTATTGAGCAATTTATGAAAATATAAAAAGAGGTTTCTGGCCAAAAAGTCGAAATTTTACATATCAAAGTCCTACAAAGATAATTTTAGGGGTTACGTTAGATCGATACAAACATTTTGATTCAAGATATACCATAGTAAAAGTCTTCGTTATCAAGGTAAAGAATGCATTCGTTTGATTTTTGATGAAGCCATGAGGTACCCCTCATGCTTTTTGGTCGATTTTTTACCATATTTTTTTGGTCCCTAAAAAGTCGAGCAAAGACGTCAGAAAGTAACTGCCAGATGAGAGCAATTGTTTGGTACTATTCTGACCATCTAAAACGACCTTGCACGCGAGAAAACGCAGCTCAAATGCGCTCATATTTTGCTGTATTAGGCACACTATTGACTAAAAAGGGATAATATCTCTATGATACTTGCCCGTATATGAAGTAGTTACGTGTATATAGATGTAGAGCATTGCATGAACCAAATCCATAGATAATGTGAAGGATTTTCATGTGTAAGTGGCGGGTCAAAATGAAAGTAGCAGTATTTTGTTAAGATACGCAAGGGCAATCGGTAGCGCGAGCTGCCGCTGCGCAGGCTGGTTCTCACCAAAGCGAAGCAAAGGTAGAGAACCATTCAAAGCGTAGATACACTCGTACACATCCAATAATTCAGCCATTTCCTTGTGCTTGGATCTGTACATGGCAGATCAGTACAAAACCTTCCAAGAACAAAAAGTTATTCCTGGACATGCGGGTCAAGGAAGCATGTTAAATTGTCCTGAAATCTACGAAAGCCAACGTTTATTTACCGAACTTATTTCTGAGAGGCATATGATAATATAGACTGGGCAAAATGTAGTATCTTTTTTTTTTGGAGAGATTATATACATTCATTTTGAAATGAAAGGAAAAATAAAGTTGCTGGATAGCGGTATGCTAAATGTTTGATGAAGTAGCTTTGAATAGCATATCTGAATACCATTAGAACGTATATTGGATAGGCGGGCAATCCAGGAAATTTGATAAAAAAGAAGGCCCCAAACATTGATTGAAGGCAAGGCGTACGTCAGGCAGACTCAAGAGCTTGATGGTAGCGTCTTGATGAAAGGAGCACCAGCAGCACCAAGCCATGTTTCGCTTGCCATACACAGAATGACGATGTTTTGTTCCTAAATGAGAGGCATTGGACTGCCATGTTGCACAGAGCGTAGCAAAGATATCGAAAGTGTTCAATGAGAGCACCATTGCCTTTAGCTACAAAATACCAACATCAGCAATGATCAGGCGCAGAAACCATTGCCACCAACAGGAAACTCATGCTATTAATCAGCAAGTAGCTGGATATTGTAATTGCGGATAGATGCGATTTTTTTTTTTTACTTGTTCAAAGAAAAATACAGTATTACTCTAGTAGGCAGTAATGTGGATGCCAGTAATGAAATGTTGGCCCGACATGAATCTTGAAAGATTGATTTCAGGGCAAGCTATCCAACAAGCATTCATCAGCAACATGCACGTTATATTAGAGAGAATATTTAGCACAGATTCACATGAACACAAGAAAAGTGGCGTTTTTGGAACCCTAAGAACTGCAGCAATTTATTGAGAACCTTGTACAGCAGAGAGCAGGGCGGCGGAATAGCGAAACTAAAAAAGTCAGGCTTTCTGTTGTTGCGTTGATGTTAGTTTCCCGGACCAAATTTAAAACCTAAACTGTGTTTTTTATTTTGTTTCTTCTTTTCTTTCTTGTAAATATCAAGGACGAGTTAAAAGGGGAGCCATACTTTTTTTTTTTTTGATATATATATATATATAGATAGATATGGCGCAATCCAAACCTTTCCTCATAAACGACTATCCAGTGATTATTGGTATTGATTTCGGTAATGTATCGCTCGTATTCTATGTGTGTTGCTAGAAACAAGCCAAGGTTATATTAACAAAAGCCAAAAAAAAAAAGGTACCACATTTTCTGGCTGTTCCTATGCCTTTATTCAAAACGATGAAGTAGTCGATGTTGTTCGATGGTAGGCATTTTGCTTGGCTATATGGCTTACTTCACGTTCTAAACACATTTTGTACAGGCCCAAGCAAAATAACAATGTCTATCCAAAGGTAAAATATACTGTGTATACAGCTATAAATAGAATCTGACAAAAAAAATCGCATCTACACAGACACCTACACTCAATTTCTACCAAGGCAATACCAAGGAGATGACACAGTGGGGTAATGCTGCTCGTCTGGAGATGCAACGTCCTACTGCTAGAAATTCGGTGTTATTGAAGCAGTACAAACTCTACTTGGATGAGAACATTGCCAAGGATTTACCGCCTCTCCCCAATGGTCTAACTATTGTCGAAGCCATTTCCGACTATTTGCGTGCCTTCCATGAGCATGTCGTTACTGAATTAAGAAAGGGCTTTGCAAAAAACTACGGACAACATCAGTTTAGATATGTAAGTATGCTTGCTCGTTTACAGATGAACATGGTAGAGTAACACTCTTCTAGTGTTTAACTGTTCCCGCCATGTGGTCTGACAAGGCAAAGAGCACCATGCGTGAAGCTGCTATTATGGCTGGTCTCATTCAAGAAGATGATCATCGTGATCGATTGATGCTTATTTCCGAACCTGAAGCAGCAGCTCTCTACTGTGAGAAAAAGTGCGAACAATTCAACTTGAAGCACAACGATAGATTCATGATTTGCGATGCTGGTGGAGGAACTGTTGATCTTATCGTTTTCGAGATTGATGAGCGCAGTGGCCGTAAATTGCGTGAATGCACAAAGGGTCATGGCCAGTCCTGTGGTTCCGTCTTCCTCGATCGCCGTATGAGAAAGCTTTTGAAGCGAAAGTTTAGAGAATACCTTTCCTCGATCCCAGCCTCTGCTTTCGAGACAATGATGGACAACTTTGTGGATCTGATCAAACCTCAATTCGATGGTGTAGAGGACCAATTCATCACTCTCCCCGCTGCTATGAATTTAGCTTCTCTCAATAACCCAGCTATTGGTTTGGAAGATGGTATGCTATGCTTGACAGCAGCTGAACTGAAAAAGGAAGTATTTGAGCCCGTCATTAAGGAGGTCATCAACTTGTGTGAAGAGCAGCTACAGAAGGCTCAGAGATTACAAGCCATTTTCTTGGTTGGTGGTTTTGGTTCTTCGAATTACCTCTTTGAAAGAGTGCAAGCAGAATTCGGATCACGTGTGGGTTTGGTTGCAGTACCACCTCGTTGTGAGTTGGCTGTGGTTCGTGGCGCCGTCTACTTTGGCTTGAATCCTCGCGTTGTTACTACTCGTATTCCTAGATATTGGTATGGTATTGATACAACTACAACATTTGAGGAAGGTGTCGATCCTCCAAGCTACAAGATTGTGAGAGCCGATGGCAGTGTTCGTTGTGACAATAAATTCTCGGTCTATGTTAGAAGAGGACATCCTCTTGGTAAGCGTCATTGGAGGAGGACTGATCTCAGAGTGTGTGTTCATTAACCATGACTCTATTAGATATCGATAATTGTGTATCAAAAGACTTTTTTGCTTATTATCCTCATCATACAACGTGTACTCTTTATTCTGCTGACACGGATGATCAACCCATATATACAACAAGTCCTGGTGTACACAAGGTCGCCAACTTTACAATCCCCATGCCAGCATTGACAGGTGTCACTGAGGGCGAGAAGGTTGATTTGACAATCAAAATGTATTTCGGTGAAGTCGAGTTGAAGGTCGAAGGTAAATGCTAGTGCGATTGAGTTCGATACCCTAATACTAACTGTAACTGTAGCCGTTATTCGTGGTAAAACCTACGGTACAACTTGTACATTTGATACTGACTAAACTTAAATTAATAACATTAAACTATAATAAAATACCATGTCTTTTTTGTTACAATGATACGTATAGCAGAGCCATTGTTTGTTCCATTCATGGAATTCATGGCAGCCCCTGAAGCCCTTGGCTGATGCATGAATGTGGCAATCGTGTTCTTTGTTTCCTTCATTTGCAGTTTATCAGTGCATTTGATTGTCAATATATAGTCAAGGCAATCAAAAGCGCTTGTCACTTGGGTAATCAAACAATCGTACTTTATTCAGGCAAACTGCAAAACGCATAGTCTCATTCTCCTTGATGAATAGTCTCAGTCATGAAGTTCATTATTGCGATTTGTTATAAATGAGCTGACCATGGCTCAGTTTTCTCGCCAGCAAATTTTAGCCAAGATCTAGATGGTAGGCTACAAGCGCTTTTTCAGGCAAAATATTGCTGCCAAATTCATTCTATTCTCTTTGATCGCTATCTCATTGCGTGCCCAGGCTGCGTCCATAGCCCCAAGAATCTTCAACGAAATGGTGGTGAACAGCACAGAAGGCTTCTATGATGAAACCAACAACATACCTCGTAGTACGGCCCCTCCCACATTTGAAATGCCTCCACTTGTGGTCTGTTCCAACAACTGTACCCTCAATAGTCCCTTCACTGGGTATCTTGATAGCACGAAACATCAAGACCGTGATTAGAATAGGTATCCTTCTTATAGATACGTGCCATATTAATAAAGATGTATACAAAAACTGACTAAATCAATGCACTCCAATTCGCTATGCTAAGCCCTGACATCAAAACCGTTACGTACATACAAGTAACATATATGGCATCACGCTAGCTTGGTTTACAAATTCATACCATCGGTTCGGAATACCTGAGAGACCTTCAAATGGTCCAATGGAAAAATGACCATCTGATGCCTCATTATTTTGAGATTTTAACTGAGTCGACTCGGTTTTTTTTTTTTGCCACATGTACTTAGAAAAAAGCTTATAATGGGCAATCGTCGTTCTAGATATAGTTTCTCTTAGTGGCTAAAATGTATAGACGAGCATCCCAAGACACAGTTTCGGCATAAAGAGAGTACACATAGATTATATCGGCTGATACATTTAAATTATCAGTAAATCTTCACATGTACCTGAAAATCAAATTTGACATTTCCTTTCCTGAATTCATGCAAACTGAATCTATTTTCTACATCCAATATATGCTATTGCTATATCCAATTTGAATAAATAAATCGCCATTATGTAGTGTAACATTTCAAACGATATAATTGCTTTTAAATAATAAACGGGGGAGAACCACTCATAACAACGAATGTGTATTTTAAGCCATGTGATACAGTGATTGTAGCAACCATCTGATGTCTGTAGCCGGTCGGCTCGGATGACTTGATCTTTTGTATTGCTTTGGGCCCCATCGTACAAACTTGATTTGCTATCGCCCCACCCTTTATCATCAAATGTTAGATGTGCAAAGACCAGCAAAAGAAGTAGAAACTCATGATGTTTGTTCCATATTATAATGGCCCAATTTACAACCACATTTTTCATCTAGTGATTTTATCCGTTTGAGCTTTGTGAAACACCCATGTTCCCGAGCAATCCGAAAGTGAAAGCAAAAAGCAGACAGAGACAGTTAGGGCCAAAGCGTTGTACTGATTTGTATGCGCTGTATCAACTGCTGCACTAGGAAACCTCTCAGCTTGTTTCTGCTCGCTGTAAACCCATCACTTTAGACATACTAACTGAACAAAAGGTGAAAGACTATTGTGATCTCATCATCAGAAGGGGTGAAGTTAATTTCTTGTGTACAATAACAAATAGTTTATGTTTGAGCACACTTTGTCCATACGATTATTATTATTTTTTTATATACAGTTTGTGTTTGCACCCTTTTTTTTTAAACTTTCTTGCCTTTTCCCTTCTCTCTCTCTCTCTCTTCTTTCGCTTTTCTTTTCGCTTTTCTACACTGCAAAAATGACAGGTACCTTACGCTGGCATTCCTGCTCAACGAATGATTTTCCGCTCAAGAGGCACAAGGTTTCCAAAGCATGCGAGGCATGTCGAAGTAAAAAGATGCGATGTGATGGCAGTACGTCTTGAAGAGGTCAATGTGTTTGAATGTCCATGCTAACAGCTATTGTTAGAGAATCCGTGCCAGCGATGCGAGAGCAACAGGATCAAATGTAAATACAATGACAAGCCAGCTAGATCGCGTGCTCCCAAACCATCTCCACCTCCTTCCAGCACACAAGAGATCAAACATCGAAAACCACCACCATCGCCGCCCAAACAAGACTCTCTCAGAATGGACTCATCGGATTCAGGCACACTATGGATTTCCAACAAAAAACTACTCAAAATAGCGTTCAAAAACCAATTATATGAAACACTCAAGTTTAAATCACTCAAAACACGCCGCTATGGACTCTCGCTGCCGCCATTGCTAGTTGGGTTCTTTGATACTACATCTCAATCAACTAGAATCTGGACTCGACTGGTCGAATTGCTGAATCAAATGGACACTGCGTATATTGAAGACTTGGAACCGATCAAAAGTAACATTGTAGAAGAAGCTTTCAGACTATTCGTTACACACAATCTGGTGTATGGCGCTTTCATTCACACTCAGCTGTTATCGTTTGTTCTCGATTCCAATGCAATGTTGTATTATTACATGCGTCCAACTGAATCACAGCAACAGCAGTATTCTCCACAGCCATCGTCATTCCCATCTAGACCCTCACCAGCATTAGCATCTGCATTAAATCATCGCTACTTGCCGTACTTCTCCATCATCATTTACAGTATACTCGCAATCACATTTCTATCTGCCTATCTCGTATTGCCCAACTCGAACTGCTCCATACCAAGCGAGAATCTGTACCTGTATTCTCATGTATTCTACCGCGAGGCCCACAAACAGTTTCTTGAAACATGCTTTCCAACAGCCACAACAGCATCGATATCAGACACGGAGCCTATGGAGATGATGTTTTTGGTACAAGCTTCAATCCTTTTAGCGCATTTCCAATGTCAAGCCATCAGCGAAGAGCAGGCTTACATGACCATTCGCATCGGTTTGGATTTTGCCCAGAGATGCTCTCTTGCCAAAGATTTGGTACTAGAAGACAAGCAAGACCAAGACATGGTGAACGCATTGCTGATATCACTGGACTCTTGGTACGCCTGGCTGTCTTTTTACCTTGGAAAACCTTATTCTGAAAGAGAATCCATTGACAAAGCTGATCCTGAGTCAAAAGAGGCCTGCCCATCAACTGCGACTGATAGCTCTCCTTTCTCCAAAAAATCAAAAGAGCAGCAGTGGGCTTTACATGTCGCCGATGTCTATACGCTGTTCCTGAAAGACGTCCTGTTGAAAAGCAAGCAGCAAAATACAAGTTTTCCGGCTCTCAAGGTAACTTTGCAACGTATCTCTCTATAAAATAAGTAAGTCATCCAACTAATTGGCGCTTGTATAGGACTATCTGAAATTGCTACAGACATCATGTCTACCAGAACAACGTGTGCTTGAAACAAATCAGCCCTACAAAACTGTTTGCTTGTACAATGATATACTCACCATTCAACTCGCCAGCTGTCATTTTGACTTTATCGATACAGCCTTAGTGGATGCGAGCTCACTGGATTCAGTCTCTAGCCAATCCACCGAAAATACATCGTTGCCCACTGCATCAGCTACCAATGACGAGTTTCAACTGTTTGCATCAAAACATGACTTCAGCGTCGTTGATGTCGCCATTCAATCGTCCAAGAATATCCTGAGCATCGTGTATGAAATGGTGCAAAAGGATATTGATGGCAGCCATCCCGTCCCAAGCACAGCCATCTATGCGACATGTCTAGTATCGCAGCTGCTCTCTTACTGTCAGCGCTGCAAAAAGGTGCCGACCATGGACAAACGACAACAAGACGCTATCCATGCGGCCAATGTGCTGTATAAGCACTTACTCAAGTTGCTGAAATACGCCTCCAACCAGGTGGAAGCTTTGGCTATTCTACTCGTTCAATTAACGGACAGCGCAAGTAGCAATGACAGCATCAGTAAGATACCTTCACTGTCATCATCACCCTCTATTGAAAAGCACATGCAAAAGAGCCATGTGCCACCGTCTCCCTCTCCTTCATCATCTTCAGACGTAGCTGCTGTAAATCAAGCGACAACAGTGACTCCCGCGTCAGTTATTAACAACAACAGTGCTTCGCACGATACAGCAACTCCATTCGACAACAACATGATGTCTAATGAGCTCTTGGTAACAGAATCCAGCTTCAGCCTTACTCCCAATACTGCGAAAACAGCCTTGGATCACCTAGCGTCTGCGCCACCACCCAGTGTCATTTCGAGGCTGGATATTGACAGAGAGCAGCTAGAGAAGCTGTCTCGCAAACCGCCTAGTTCATCGCGTCAGCAGCAGTTGAACCATCATCAACAAATGCAACAGCAAATGCAGCAACAACGTCAACAGTACCAGCAATATCAGCAATACCAGCAATATCAGCAGCAGCAGCAGCAACAACAACAACAACAGCAGCAGCAGTTCTTATTGCAGCAGCAACGATATCAACAGCAGCAGCAGCAGCAGCAGCAGCAGCAAAAACACGGTTTGAATCAGTTTAACGTACAACATCAGACAGCATCTCAATCAAGCTCAAACTACTTGTTCGCCAAATACGTGTCTACTGTTCCAACTATCAGTGCTACCTCAACTTCTCAAAAACGAGATAGTTATTCTGCTGGCTTTGCTCAACCTGATGATACAATTCCTGTCAGCTCATCAACAGCAGCAGTAGCTGCAGCTGCGGCAATGAGCGGTCAGTACTACTACTATAGTTCGCCAACGCCAACACACAGCACAAGAAAACAACAGCAATTGCAGCAATACAACAACTCTTTCAATAACTATACTGTGCAGCCACCGTATAAACGACTCAGATCAGACACAGTAACCTCTTACGAAGACGATAATGCTAATCCTCATGGCGATGCATCCACGATTCACTCATTTGAAGATGCAAACAACCAACATCGCTCTCGTAACAACAGTTTGACGACGCCTACTACAACTGCAGCGACTGATTTTATTGATGTGGATGAGTTGGCCACTGCTGCTACTGGCTCTCATTCATCCGCAGTGCAAGCAGCAGCAGCAGCAGCAGTGACAGCAGACTCAGATTTGATGTATTGGGTGCTGGAAGATCCAGGAACCTCGTTTTATTCTGATCAGCCACCAGCCCACCAACAACAACAAGCGTTTTCGAGACAAAATCGAGCACAACCAAGCAACACTAGTCATCATAGCACCAATTTCTTTTTGCAGCAGCAGCAGCAGCAGCAGCAACAAGCCATGGAGCAAGATACAATTAACCACAGTAATGCCAATTTGACAAAACTGCCTCTTCCTCATCCATCTAAATCGACATCTATGCCTTTAAAGACATGGTCTCCTGCTCCAGCTCAGTACTCAAACAAATTTTTCTTTGCATCCGAAGTTCAAACACTGCACTGTCAGACCCCTTCCTTGATCAATTTTGAAAGCTCAGCATTTCCAATTGGATTGAATGTGATACATGAAGAAGACGACGCTGAACCGCATCCTTCAACATCTTCATCTTCATCTTCTCCATCCCAATTGCTATGCCCACCCACACATCTGCACCATAGAGCAAGCATCACGTCTGACAAAAGCAGCAGTACTAATGGTAGTGGTTTTGGTACTATTGGCAATAACAGCAACAGCAAGAGTGCAGATACAATCACTACAGTTGAAAATGCAGAAGCCGCCGCCGCTGCTGCTGCTGCAATCTGGGCATCCACTGCTGCTGCTTTGAATTACTCTAATGCTGCCCCAACTGCCAAGACATCTACAGCATCTCCTTCCCACTCTAGACGTTCTTCTGTCTCCTCTCATTATCATCGACAACGGAATCAGCATCGTCATCAAACAAGCAGTAAATCAACGCTTGTTCATTACATCAATAATGAAAAAGTAGGTAATGATGAATACTAGATGTCTCCTCCATTTATTATATATATATATATATATATATATATATACACTATAACTATCTATACAATTCCAATTTATTTATACATATACATACCATATTTTATATACATATTATTCCATTTATTATAGCACTTTGTACGCAACATTTATAAAAAAAAAAAAAAAGTTCGAATTTGCTTTTATCTAGAAAATAAACCATATATGTGACATTGCTTTCATGGCTGCCATTGATAAGACCGAGACCACCTGTTTCCATATCTTTTTCCTCTTTTATTCCTTTTTTTGTAATCTAAAAATATACACCATGGCTGAGGGATTTACTTCAAACATGAGCGCACATGCCAAGTTGTCTGCTGAAGAGTACAGAGCTCGTAAGGTTGCTCTTATCACTGGTAAGTTTATAAGAGATAATGGGTTCCCGGTCCTCAGAGAGCCCTACCTGTTGAGTCAGCAACTAACATCTTGGTTTGACAGGTGTTACTGGTCAAGATGGTTCTTATTTAGTCGAGTTTTTGTTAGAGAAGGGTTATGAGGTTCACGGTATCATTCGTCGTTCTTCGTCTTTCAACACTGGACGTATTGAACACATTTATAGAGATAGACATGAAACCGGTAAGTGGATGTGTTTGAAAGAGAGAGAAGAAGCTTGTGTGTATGAGAGACGTCGTTTTTTTTAACACCTTTCTAGGTGTCAAATTCTTCCTTCATTATGGTGATTTAACTGACTCCACCTGTTTGGTGCACATTATCTCCAAAGTACAACCTACCGAACTTTACAACTTGGCGGCACAATCCCACGTCAAGGTGTCCTTTGACATGTCTGAATACACTGGTGATGTTGATGCTCTCGGTACACTTCGTCTGCTGGATGCTATTCGTACTTGTGGTTTGAGTGATCGTGTTCGTTTCTATCAAGCCTCTACCTCTGAACTCTACGGCAAGGTAGTCGAGACCCCTCAAAAAGAAACCACTCCATTCTACCCCCGTTCTCCGTACGGTGTTGCCAAGCTCTATGGTTACTGGATTGTAGTCAACTACCGTGAATCATACGGCATGTACACCTGTAACGGTATTCTATTTAACCATGAAAGTCCTCGTCGTGGTCGTACTTTTGTGACGAGAAAGATTACTCGTGCTGTTGCAGATATTCATTTGGGTCGTCAAGATTGTTTGTATCTGGGTAACATTGACGCTAAGCGTGATTGGGGTCATGCTCGTGATTACATTGAGGGTATGTGGCTCATGCTTCAACAAGATGAACCTCAAGATTTCGTCTTGGCCACTGGTGAAACACATACTGTTCGTAGTTTTGTCGAGAAAGCTTTCAAAAAGACCGGTCGTACTATTGTTTGGGAAGGCGAGGGTGTCAATGAGATTGGCAAGGATGCTGAAACTGGTAAAGTGCGTGTACGCATTGATCCCAAGTACTTCCGTCCTGCTGAAGTCGAATTGTTGTTGGGTGATCCTACAAAGGCCAATACTGTCTTGGGTTGGAAGCGTAAAGTTTCATTTGATGAACTCGTCAATGAAATGGTTGTTGCTGATATTGAAGCAGGCCTCAATTCCTCTACCTTAATGTAAATTTCTTAAAAATAAAGCCTTTATTACTTTCATTGTTTCATTTGATGGTTGGTACCCTTGCAAAAATCTAATTAAGACTATAAATGATCTGCGTTAAATCTGCTAATATAAACTTTATTTGAACAACGCCGATTCTAGTGTACATCAGACTTTTACACCTTGATGCTGATCTGATGTGTAGGTTAGGGCTCCCGGCGAAGAATCATCAACTTTTTATGTGCATTAATGAGATTGCATTGCTTCCTATTCCTCGAATGTGGCAAAATACTAAAAAAAAAAAATCCATATGAATTGATATGCTGGAGCCGTTTGAAACCTGTTTTTTTTTGGATAGATTGCAGTTGCATATGATAGAGCAGGTCGAGATGTGTCCATGACAATTACTGGAATCACTATTATTAATCCAACTATCAAATAATGATAATTTTAAGCGTAATTACACATACTTTTGAGTCTCATTTGCTTGTTATCTCGTTGCGTTTTTGCGCTCAAATTTGTGCTATATCGTCATCTTTATCCAAGATATACCTTAGGAATCATCACTAAACACTTTGCATCAACTTTTTTTTTCACGACAAAATCGAGGATATCACCCAAAATTTCCTTGTTACTTATAGGAATTTGCTTTTATCGCCATTTTTGCCTCAAAAATGAAGACTTTTACTAAGGCATATCTTGATTCAAAATGACGCCAAGAATGCGAGCGTTCTGAAGAATTTATTTATTTGCCTATTTTGGTAATAAAAAATCGACATTTTTGATAAAAAACCTATTTTTAGTTTTTTGAGAAAAACTCACTCCAGATTGAATTGATTGACATGGGACCTTTACCATTCGATAAAGCGTCTTTTTTCCACAGGAAAGCTTAATGCAAAGTTTGTGTTGCATGTGTATTGCTGGTGTTACGAGCACATTTGTCTAAAAATATGTCAAATGACATCCTGGAAAGCAAGATCAGAAACGACTAATACATACGCCGGCATACACTTATGCGCATGCCTTGAATCTTGCGAGCACAAGGTCTGACATCTGCCACCTACCATCATCTTTAATATATACGAGCCTTTCTACACCTCGGGTGGTTTCCTGACCTACGCTTTGCTTTGGTGAAAACAAATCTACGTTCAAACGGCTCGCGCTGCCGCAGGCCTTTGGCTAATATCGCAAAATTAACATAGCTAAAATGTTAGAAGAATTTTGATTGTTGATTGATATAAAATCACCAATCATATGAGAGTTTATGCTTCGGATGGTTCTTTACCTTTGCTTTGCTTCGGTAAGAACCAACCTGCGCAGCTGTAGCTCTCGCTACCGGTTGCCCTTGCGTATCTTATCAAAACACTGCTACTTTTATGTTGACCCTCTACTTACACATGAAAGCCCTTCATATTATCTATGGATTTGATTCTTATGTGATGCTCTACATTTATATACACATAGCTACTTTGTATACAGGCAAACAGCATACTGGTATTTCCACTTTTTAGTCCTTAATGTCCCTGGTACAGCATAATCTCGATGCGTTTGAGCTGTGTTTTCTCGCGTTCCAGGCCATTTTAGATTGTCAAAATAGCACCAAACAATTGCTCTGATCTGGCAGTTACTTCCTGACACCTTTGTTCAACTTTTTGGGTACCAAAAAAACATGGCCAAAATTCGACCAAAAAACATGAAGGGTACCTCATGGTTTTCATCGAAAACCAAACAATCGCGTTTTTGACCTTGAAAATGAAGACTTCTACTATGGTATATATTAAACCAAAATGTTTCTATCGATCTAACGTAACTCCTGAAATCATCTTTGTGGGACCTTAATATGTAAAATCTCGACTTTTCGACCAGAAACCTCTTTTCATATTTTCTGTGATTACTCAATAAGTTCAGTTAAGACATTTATTTTATTTGACACCATTAGAAGCGCCTTGAAAAGTGCTCTTATATTGTATTAGGAAGCATCGGATGATCATCACAATTTGTATAGTTGGATATCACAAAATAGATTTTTTTTTTAAATTTTGTTTATTGATTGAACAAAATAGATTAAAGAAGTCGGCAAAAGACAAAATTTGGCCAATCTTGAGCAGAAATAAAAAACTGAGTTTGAATGAGTTTTGGCGGCGGTGGCGATCAGCGCTGCTGCTGGCTGGCCCAGATGCCTTTTTGATGCTGATAACGATGATGGCAACAATGATTGCGATACTGACTAAATGGGGATCATGAAACTAAAAGGACAATTGCTTAGCCCGATTTTTTTTTCTTGGGAGTTTTTCCCTATGATGATGTCTTTTGCAATAACAGTATTTTAGAAAAGACGCTGTAGATCTTACACAAGTCCAGTATTTACACATGGCCAGCTTTATGCCGCCATATCAAGAGCAGCATCAGCGAATGGATACCTCCCCCTCCCGATTCTGATATAGCCTTCTTTTTTTTATATTATTAACTGGTTGTTTAAAATCTACTTGATATGCCAGACTTTTATTATCTCTGATTTGAAATGTCTTCGGTGAGAGCCCGCAGGGCGACATCGTCATCCAGCTTAGCGAGATTGATCGGCTAGTCTATTATATACATGAATATCAAACGAACGCACAGCTTAGCTTACAGAGCTCTGGCGCAATTAAATACTTGCTTCACAGGAAGATACTCGGTGCCAGTTGTGGAGCAGTTGTAAAGCAAGTGTACGCTTTTCCGATATTTCAATGTAACGTTAGCGGATGTATTTGTACTTATTGAATTACACAATGCTTTGTTTACTTTTTATACAACTTTTTATTGATCAAGCTTGTATGTCTTCTCTTCAGGACATGATAGGTAACACTTGAATAATGTAAAGATAACTGCTGTCTAATATGTGGCGGTATATCTCTTCATCTTTCAAACAGCTATTGACAACATCATTTAAGGCATTCCAAACTTGTTCTAGATCTGATATATTGATGCCTGACTTGTAAAACCGCTTGAAGTATTCCTTCATGAAAACTGCAGCCATTCTCAGTACGTATTTCTCTTCACTCCACTCTTTCTTGTTCATTTACACTCTTTGTTTGCGTAGCATCAATACTATCTAAAACCATTTCTTAGTTCTCGTCATATTTTTGTGTCTTGACAGCTCATATTTATAACCAAATCTATAAAGCGCTACTCTTGTTACAGTATGTATTGATCTGGTCAATCGATGTACCATTACGAATACTCACGTTTTTCTTGTCTAGTTATTTGTGTCAAATGTCTAGTGTGCGAACAAAAGTAGAGCAAAGAGATCCGTTTACTGGCATTCAAACCAGCCATCCTCCCCAAAGAAGAGTCGTTGCTAAAGGGAAGAAAAGAGAATATGAAGCTGTAACATCCACAAATGCCATGTCCACATCAAGTTGCCAAGCTGTTGTCAAAAGGTCCAAGGCATTTGGTGTCTCGCCGCAGCGATTGATGGATAGCTTTTTTCAAGCAATGAGGGAAATCATCGAAAACAAAGCAAGACCCATCATTGACAAGCCTAGTAAATTGGATGCACTCAAAAAGACATTACTCTCGGTGAAGAGGCTCCCCCTAGGTGTTATTACTGCTGCTGAAAAGATCTGTCAATGTGCCAAAGCGCCGCTGTGCATACTAACAACGAACACAAGACATCCCAGACGTGCATGTACTGCTTTGGTCCCACCTCTCATCCCACACAAACCATCAAAACAAAGGATGGTAAGACCAAGACGAGGTCCATTCATGGAGCATCCCTGTGCTTAAATCCTGCCTGTGTGTCCGTTCTCAATCACAGAGCCATTCAAGGTAGAGACAAGACATCTGCTTTGGCCATTCTTTTGTTCAAGCAGCCATTGCCTGTATTCAATCCAAAACCCAGTCAATCCAACACTGGCATTATTTCCAGGACCATCTCTTTCTGCAACAGAAACGAGAAACGGGCCGGCAGCGGTGCTGCATTAGCGGACGCTTGAGTTTTCAAGGTAATAATGTGCTCAATCTGGCTTATTCAAGAGGCTGCTTTACTAATTTGTCATTTATTTTACTCGCAAGATTCAAGTTTTCGCACTTATGCTATCTTCATTCAGGTAGTAATCCGTATAATTATACTAATCAAGAGGTCCATTTCCCAGTTCTACCAGCACCCCTGGTAACTGAAGTCGCTGCACTGTTATTACCTTTAACTTTTAATTACATTTTATTGGTATTTTCAAAGATGATGAGTGAGTGAGTGAGTGTGTGTGTGGTGCGCGGTGAGTGGATTATAGTACAAATCTAATTAAATTACTTTTTGGATGCTTTGGCTGCTTTCTTGATAGGAGCAACCTTTTTAACAGGTGCTTTCTTAGTAGCTGCTTTATCAACAGCTTTCTTGGGAGCAGCAGTCTTCTTAGAAGCTTCTTCATTCTTGACAGGTGCCTCTTGTTGTGCTTTAGCCTCTGCCTCCTTTTTAGCAGCTTGCTCACGTTCCCATTTTCTTTGCTTGACTAATTTACGATGTGCCTTGACTCTCTCCTTTGCCTTTTGAACTCGAGCCTCCTTCTTTTCTTTTCGTCTCTGTTCGTTCTGTTCTTTTTTGGCTTCAGCCTTTGCCTTCTTGGCTTCAATTTTGGCCTTGATCTCCTCTGGTAAATCTTCTCTCTCCTCGACTTGAGGTTCGGGCATAGCACCATGCTTCTTCAAATATCTGACACGTCTCTTGTGATCTTTGCTCTTTAAATGAAGCTCGACATGTTCAACGGTCTTCAATACTTTTTCAGGGCAGATTTCACATGTGAATCGCTCGACGCCCTCCTCTTCCTCATCCTCATCCTCATCCTCATCCTCTCCATTGATGTCTGCTGCCTCTTCCATATCCTCATCGTCCTCGCTATCATCACTATCATCATCAGATCCAGCTTCATCGGCGAGTTTATTGACAGTCTTGATCAATGCCTTTCGTGCTCTCTTTTTGTATCGCTTTGTTTGTTCATCATCAGAGTTGTCAGTATCACTATCACTGTCTGACTCGGACTCGGAAAAGACACCAGCGAGTTTCTCTTCCTTGTCTTCAGCATCAAACTCTGTATCTGCAATTTGCTGCTTTTCTAATTCTTGACGCACACGCTTGAACATTTTGTGTATTGAAAAGGTATGTAATAAGCTTTGAAAAAAATCAAAAAGACCATTATATCCTCAAAACCTTGTAAAAGAAAGAGTGTCACAGTGGCGGCGCTGTCAAATGTGCCTAATCCAGGTACTCAAATCAAAGGGTAGGAATGCATCATTAGATCAGGATGTATTTGTTTTGAATTATCAGGGTTTATTCGAATATCAAAGAGAGGCATTTAACCTTGTTGATATTGCAGCAATGGCTTTTTATTCATCTTGATCTGCTCATCATCTTCATTCTCATCCTCATCAGCTCCTGGGTCAACCCAGACATGCCAAATCACGGTACTCATACCCACCAATGTAGCAATAAGCACACTCATCATCAAAGTGCTCTGAATAGGACGAACGCCATCTGGTGCACCATCTAAATCTAAGCCCTCCTTTCCAGCAGCATTGCCTGTACCTGGCTGACCAGCTGCAATACACATATCAATCCATTCTTGGGGTAATGTCATGGTTTCTTGAGCTAGTTCGGGAGCAGTGATGAATGTAGCTGCCAAACCAGCAGGTAAATGCCAATCAACATGGCAATGAAAAAACCAAACGCCTGGATTATCAGCTCTGAATCGGATCACTACGAAGCCCTCTGAAGGAACACCGATTGTATCACGGTATGTTGGGTTGCTGGGTACGTCAATGGTTTGATTTGAATAGATGCCACTGCCACGAGCAATCACCTGGAAAGCATGGCCATGCAAATGGACTAAATCAAAGTTAGTAATTGTACTTTTGGTTATATCTAAAAGTCAAAACTTACAAGGATGAGGTCCATCATCAAGGTTATTAATCACAAGTTCAATCACCTCATTTAATTCAAACATGTGAGTGATACTTTGAGGCCCATACACAGCAGAGTTATTGGCATACTCACCGACACTCAAAAGTGTGTGCAAGCTAGGAACGAGAGGAGTCAAGTAAGGGATATTATTGATGACTCCATGATTGAGTCCATCTGTGTTCTCCATGAAATCAATGGTAAAGTTGATTTGACGATCTGCTTTCAGAGCAGGAGCTTCAATCAATGGAGGGGTAAACGCATCATCATAGTCTCCTTTTTTCAGATTAGGATCATCTCGAGGAGCAAAAGGCTTTTTCTTGTCATAATAAATGGGAGCTTCAATATCTGTATAAGCCAAGTTAGTGGCCTGACCAACATTTCCAATGCCAACAACATACTCAATTGAAGATCATCAGGGATATAATCAAACATAACAGGTGCCATAGCTGCATGAAGACGGTAGTTTCTGTCAGTGGTATTCTTTGTCTTGACTAGCACAGATACACGCTGTCCTGCTGCCATATACACACTACGGACATGCTTGGCTTGAGTTCGCACCTAGATCACAATATCGAATATTGAGCGAAAGAGTTGTGATGACACATCAAAAACTACACTTACACCATCCACTTCAATCACTTGCATGTCATGGCCATCAATGCTCACCCCAAAGGTAGCGATGCCAGACATATTGATAATACGAAGTCTATACGTCTTTCCGGGTTTGAAGTGAAATGTGGTATTGGCATGATCATTGATTAAGCCAGACTCTATTCACAAGAGAGAAAGTTTGAGTAAAGATCAGATAAGCAGCGGATGTTACAGCTTACGAGGAATGGGCTCTACTCCCTCTACGTTATCTTCGTTCATGTATTGCTCCAGGTTTGTGTATGAATCTTCATGATACCAATCTATACATCACATTGCAAGCGGGGTTCAGTTGAGGGGAATAACGGATTTAGATTGTGCAGGGTTGTAGATCTACCTGAAACGGTAATGATTTCATCTTGATCATACTCAAATGGCTCATTTGGATCGTAGACGATTAAGGGTACTCGTAAACCGTCCATGTACTGCACCTGTAGGGATAAAGAGTGTATGAGTACTATTGAGTAAGCAATCTATTCTGAGGATGCTACCTTGAAATGACTGTGTATCCAAAATGTGCCAGCTTGTGTTACTGGAAACTCGTAGGTAAAATCATAGCTGGGAGGAATTGGACTAGATGATTGCAGAGATATAGGATAAGAGATCACCCTATGCGTACACAGATGTGGTGCTTACCATTGAGTCACCATGCCAGCGCCATCATAGATGTTTGTGCGGTTGTTCTGGTTGATACCATGTGCATGAATGACGGTAGGTTCATTCAATTTATTATGTACGTGAATCACAAGTGTGTCGTTGATGTTGAGTTTGACCGGAGCAGGTCTAGTATCGATGAGAGGTTAGCTCTTGGTGAATACCCCTAAAAGAGGACTACGTACGGCCATTGATCATTTATGCTAATAACTCTTCTTTGATGAAGACCATCTGGATTCATAGTCTTGTATTCAAGATTCCAATCATACGCCACTCTCTCTGCCAGGGCAGACGAGAACGACATGGCTGCTGCTAAGACGCAAGATAGTGTAGTAAAACATTTCATCTTTAACTCTGTTTGTTTCAACGAACAGGGAAAAAAGAATAGCTCTCTATCAAATCTCAAACAAAACTCCCATCATATTTGATGTAAAAGACAGGCCAAGGACTGTGTTTCTTGTATCAGAAAGATCTGATAAGGATTTGATAACTGATCAACTCATCTACGACGAAATGTTTGAAACATCGACTCATTTCGTATACCCTGCTTGTCTAAACATATACACGTCCTTTCTTTCTTTACTCTTTGAAATACTTGAAAACACATCTTAATGGAGATTAATAAGGCATTCTTTCGTTACATTCTACCAAAGGCCTACAATACCAGTATCTTGTCTACCAGCTTGTTGATTTATACTCTAAAAAAGAGCCATCATGATACAGGAGTATTCATGCTGGGACTCGCCATCGGCTTATTTATCCAAGCCCTACTAACAGGCTTCCATGCTTCCTTGGCAGACGCTCTGGTTCGCTATCAGTCCGAAATGCATTTTATAGTCTCCAGCGGGCTCTTTATTTGCTCAACAGTCCTTGGCTTTGGTATGGTTAAACATCAAGAAAAGCAGAAACAATCCAGCATGATGACACATTTAGCTACCATGTTGACGCCCTTCCTATTTATTCTGAATCAGGGCATCGACATTAACCTCTACTTGATCAGAAACACAGTAAGTTTCTTGATTGATACACCTTGATTTCCTCTAAATAGCCATCGATTGTGTAGAGACTGACATGGCACGCAGCCATATTCACCATTTTGACAAGCGGCTTTGTTTGCATACTGTTTAGCGCTGTGTTCTTTGCAGTAGCATGCTACTTTCCTCATTGGATCCAGCAGTGTGTGTACAGCATTGTGGTTTATTTCACTGGTGCAATTGCACTGGCCAACATGTGCGGCTACATTGAATTGATCCAACATCCCGTTCATATGAAAGGACTCGTGTATACACTTCGTCAATCACAAAAGACATCCTTGGGCAACATTCGGTAGGTACTCTGTATTGTCGACGCACATCTATACTAACAATGCCCTCTGCAGACGTCTCTTTAATGCGGCCTTGGGCATCAAAGACACAGAGGCTACAAATTGGGTAGGTACAGGATATAGTCTTTATTGGTTCAGCGTTTCTTTTGGCTTAATTTACAAGAGATTGAACCATGAACGATAATAAAGCATTGTGAATTACTTTGTCGCATAGAGTTGGGTATACATTCGAATAAGACTTTCGTAACCTAGTTGATCATTGCATCTCAGTAAATTCGCAGCATCGCAGTTGAGAGGTGAGGAAGGCTCTGGATTTGTCAGTAAGAGCGAGATGGCCAATACAGTTGATTTCAGGGTCCAGGCTGGTGACCAAGCCGTTTTTAATATATCCAAACAGATTTCGCCAGTCTGCACATTCAGAGAGAATAATAAGGTTAGGATAGAGCCCCAAAAATTATCCAATGTGTATATGTGTTGTTACCTTAAAATGTATGTTGGGGTGGCATATTGTGGTCACGAATTTTATGGTGGGTGGATGAATTGGGTAGTTGGAAGGTACTTGGATAGAAAGCTCAAATTGGCCGCCTATACCACTGGGTCAGTACAATGCCGTCTGAAAGACATGTCTATTTACTCACCTTCATATGGTGTGTCTGCCAATCCTGCAAGTATCGCTCTCCATTGCAACAAATCGTCGTCTGATTCAGGAGCCAATTCAACAATCTCTGGATGTGATTTGGCTTCTCTGTCAATCTCGCGCAGCTCTTTTAGTAGTCGTCTAGATACAGCGTCCATGATAACGCTTCAAACAGAAAGAGGAAGAAATCGAAAGATGAAGGAAAGAAAGAGATTCTATTTAGTCCCCCCCCCCCCACATACCTTATTTATGTTTGCCCTTAGTCATTTGAATTGCCGTCTTGGGATTTGGCCTTTGATCTGGAAGCAATCTCATGGGTATGCATAAGCCATCATCGTTTTGTGTCGATAAGCCAAGTCCATTTCAGCCACTGGTCTTGCGCAGTGATCCACACTTGCTGGCTCTGTTTATCAATCGAAAAAGATAAGGGCTGCAGCGATGATAACCACTCAAACATTGGTAGCATGCTTCTCACACTCCATTTAGAGTTCTGTGACTTTATAGTGCACTCTGTTAATACAGGTTCAACGTTGCCGAACCCATACTCACCTGTTTCTCTTTGCTTGCCATACTGTACAATGACTGTATTATTGCCCCTTCATGTCAAAAAACTCGGTGTCCTTGAAAAGAGACAAACAAGCTTCATAGAGCAAGCTGTCAATCTGGCAATTCAGCAGCAAACAAACTTGGTTATCAGTATCTCGTGTGATGAAGTCAAGGCGCATGTGGATTGTATCGATGCTATCTGGGAGCAAATACAAGCATTTCTAGGCACCATCTATGTCATCCAGCTCAACACATCCTACAAGCAGAACGAACCATTATTTGACTGCAATGTTGTCTTTGCTGATATCTGTGGATACAATGTGTATCGTGAACCCTACATGAAGACTGTCTGTGTCTCGTCTGAAGATACTCGAGGTAAGCAAAAAGCGACCAACACGTACAGACAATGGCTGATTGGCCATGAGCATAGATATCCAACAACAGTATCCATCCTTACAAACACATGTGCTGACCAGTGATGATCAAACTGAACAACCAGCATTGGAAGGTAACACAGGACCTATTGAACCTCTGGTATTTCAACGTGTTGCTGTCGGCGGCACATTTGATCATCTTCATGCTGGCCATAAAATCCTGTTGACAATGACAGCCATCTTGGCAAATCAAAGCATGGTAGTAGGTGTTACAGATGACTGTATGCTGTTGAAAAAGAAACACCGTGATTTGATTGCATCGACACAGCAGCGAGTGGAGTATGTCAAGGCCTACTTGCAGCTTGTCAAGAGAAGCATCACATACCACGTTGTGCCCATCACAGATCCATTTGGTCCTACTGTAACAGACCCCACCATTGATGCTTTGGTAGTGTCCAAAGAGACATTGAAAGGCGGTGATTTGGGTAAGTGAGACGTGTAGTGAGCAATGGAAAGGTATTCATTTATTGGTGTTGTTACAGTGAATAGCGAAAGAGATATGCGTGGATACCCTCCTTTGGAACTGAGAATTATCGATGTGATCTCTTCTGAAAACGCTTCAGTTCAGGGCAAGGATATGGATATATTAAAAATTAGTTCTAGCTGGATTAGAGAATATATTGCAAACAAGAAGAATGGCAATAGTAGTGGAAATAAAGAGTAGTTGTAAGTTGTAAAGTGTGTATCAAAGGTGTTCTGTGTGTGGTGTGATGGCAAGAGTTACATTCGGGATTGGTGTATATATATATATATATATGATGTTGGTTGTGTGTTGCCCAGAATATAGCGGTGTAATGTTTGATACAGCAAACAATGCAAGATATAAACACCTCTATCCTCGATCCACATCGTAAACCCACGCATAGAAGCTAGCCATCTTTTGATCCAACAAGTCAATCAATCGATTATTCAAATCTCTATACACTTTTTGCAGTCTATATCGAGTGGATAGCTCGGGCTCTTCAGCTGCTGGGATATATGGCACAGGATGCATCTGTTGGTTGTTGATAAAGGTACGGTGGCGTGGCCTTGGCTGAACAAACAGACTTCGATCCATAGCAGTCTTTTGCAAATGATGATTGATGGCGGGGCTAGTTGATGCTGCTCGCTCCTCTGTCGTAATAGCAGTGGCTGTTGCATTTCTAAAGGTGCTGCTTTCGTATGGATGGGGATAATGCACTTCCAAATCAGCTGAACTCGACAGCAGCTCTTCCTCTGTCAAATGTTGCTCGTCTTGATAGAAATTACGCTCTGCAAAAAATGTGGGATCAATGTCGAGGAAGCGGGCCAGTCTCTGAAATGAACCTGATGGGTTGAGCAAGACATCTTCTGTTCGAATCACGAATAACTGAGAGGGCGCAAACTGCTGCAAAAATGGCACCAGTGCAGGGTAATACATGCCTTTTGCCAAAGAGTTGAAAGCGTGTGTGTCGTTGGAGACCTTCCATGATGCTCTAATCTCGCTTCCTTGATGACAACTGACGAAACCCTCCCATCCAGTTTGTGTGCTCGTATGTCCGCATCGACGCAGAATAGGTAACTCCAGATCAATCAGCGTCTCGAATGACAAGTTGGAGTGTCCTAATTCTAAGGCAAATGTTGAATACACTGATGTTGACATCATTGCATGCCATTTTTACCTGTCTTCTCGTACAAATATTGTGAATACGCTCTTGCAATGGGCTCTCTCAGAAAAAAGACAAGCTGTTGCACGTGTGTCAGTATATGTATATATATATATAGTAGTTTATGTCTAGATGCATCCTACCTTGACATGAGGCAACGTGTCCTTGATGCGCTTTGCAGTTAAATGGCTGTTATACAGGTAATGTGGTGCATTCTCTCCAACAATCCAATTTCTAGTCTCTTCCATGGTAGCCAGCACATCGTCCTTGAGAAAAGGAAACTGAGATATATACGAATCAAATGCATTGGCTTCATCAAACTCCTGTCTATCGAATACATGATTTGCTATAAGCCCACTATTATCCACTGACGCAGCTGCCACTTGAGGATGCTGTTTCAGCATACGAAATACGTAGGAAGCACCTGCAAACTCACTACCAGCGAATATGAATGATGGAACAGGCTTTGCGCAAGATTTCGAGTGCTGAGGAGTAAAGTGAGGACAGTTTCGTGGGTAGTACACTATGTGAGCTTATTTAGCACATGAAAATAGAGTTTTCGGTAGAGCCTGATATTACGTTTTGGATGATGCGTTGGATGCGATAACGGTTGATTTGTGATGTAGCCTCTCCATTTTGCTGGCACCTTTTTGGAGGTGAATGGTAGAAAGATGGATTCATCGTCATTAGGGTCGACTTTGTTCCATGCCATTGTGGTTGTCTGAATGATGATGGTGGTGGCAATACAAGCAGCTACTAGTGAGATGATGAAATACTGCCATTTGAATATGATGCGCACTTGCCCAGATGGCAATGTCTGGATGTGTCCTCCTGTCACAAACGCCAAGCAAGCCAGCAGAAGGTTCTTTATAGTCAAAGAAGCATCTCCATGTGCTGAGCTGGTACCCTTCATGATAGAATGAAAGATAGAGGAAAAAAAAAAAAAAAAAAAAAAAAAAAAAAAAAAAAAAAAAAAAAAAAAAGAGAGAGAGAAGAAGAAGGGGTTGGGAAGGAGGGGAGGTTGAAACCATCAAATTTAGAGTTTAAATTTTGGATGTGTAACAGCAGTGTATATGGAATACAGTAGTAGTGGGCAACGTCCATGAATGAATATAAACCAAGATGGATCCCCTTAAAAATGAGGATAATAAATTGGGAATTGAAAAAAAAAAAAAAGTTTATTGCTTATCCCTTCTTTGTTCTTTACATTTCTTTCTCATTTCAATTATGATTGCATGTTTCTATATTGTGAGTCTACGATGGAAACCGCCAAAAATGATTATTTTGGATGAAGCCAATGTCATTTCAAGCCTATCTTCATTTGTATGGTATAGTTGCTACTTGAGACACATCAAGACATGAGCTTTGCTAACACACAAAACACCCCCCCCCCCAAGATCCCACAAACACTCGCTGAAACTCGGGTTGAGCAACTGAATCGACTCGTTGCAAATCAATGCCCATCACATCATGTTGATTTCTATGTTTTCACAGTTGCTGTATTGTGTGTTATTTGCTCTGCCATCTTTACATTCGTTGCAAGATCACTACATATATCCATGTGGTGTCCTCTTTTGCTTTTATTAATACCTACAGCACTCAGCTTCTGGACAAGCAAAAGGAGATCCACACTCATCATCAAGATCAAAGAGGTAGGCGACTATAGATGGCACGCTGAACTCGCTTTAACACAATCAAAAACTAGTTTGAGTCTGCACTAAAAAAGACCCTGTACGATTACACAGCAACAGATCAGAGTATCAAATGGTCATTGCAACGAGTTCCTATTGACGAGGCACCCTGCACGTCAGTTCGATTTTGTTTAGTGATTCACATTACCGAGTTAGACCCAGAAATGGCGTATGTGGGTGAGGAACTACCTTCCTATCAAACTGCGCTTTTGAATACAGCAACTACATTTCATCCGCCAAGCTACCATGAATTAACAGCACCTCCGCATGCTGTTGTTGTTTCTTAGACATTCCTTATATCATATTAATACAATCCTGTTTTTTCAGTTATTTCTTCTGCATCAAATCAAGGGGCCCCATTAGATGAAAGAGAGTGAATTGGTAGGGGATAAAGCTCGTACAAAAGGAGAAATGAGGGGAGGGGGGGGGGGGTCTAATCTGGCATAGCCAAGAAAATAGACATCTCTCTTTGATTGACACTTGTTGTTATCACGGCTATTTCAGACTTTCGACCATTGGTACGTGTAAACTATTTGTAGACGCACAAATGGAACGCTACTGCTGTCATGAAGCATGTCAGATGTGAGGCTGTGTTTGCTTCTCAATAATAGCAACCCCAAGAAGCCTCAGCAAATCAACAGTGAGACCCATTAAAGATGTATATATCATGGAATATGAGCCTCGAACTACAGGAGAAAGAGCATTGTGCATCGTTGGTGAGGGATGAGAAGCATCGCTCTATCATATTGAAAACAGACTAAAAGACAAACATACGGAAAAACCTGATGCTCCTCTGTCTTTCGAATCATAGCACGAATGCCCTCCCAATGTCCTGTCTAGGCGCTTGTATCGGCATAATCCAATATCAATGATAAACTGCCACCCCTCCATACCACCCAACATTGACATGCGTCGGTGCCTTGTTGAAAGCTGTTAGAATGTGATGATGGAGGCATCCTCTCGCATCTGTCCTGTTACTCTGAGGGAAGATCAATGTGCATGGTCTGATTCACGTCGAAAAACTAAGCATGTATACGTTTGTGGATCACTGTACAATTTCGTAAAAGACATCAATGAAGAGGGTGCTTTAATTGAATATCTGGATTGTCATACTGCTCGTCGAAATGACCCTTTAGCAAAGCGTTTTCAAAAACCAGCTGCTGCGTATGCTGTAGTATGTATAATTGTGTGTGTATGTATGTCATGTATGAGTGTATTTATTCTTTCTTTTCATTGGTATCTTGAGGTTGAAGAAATGGTTGAGGGTGTTTATTGTACAATGGCCAAGGGGGGATAACAACCTTAATAAATTTATGCAACAAATTAATATGTATTTATATACGCGTTCATAGTGTAAATCTACTCACCAAAGCAGTTAATGCTAAACCAGCAGCAAATACAATAAGGAGCATTTGCATAGATTGCATGGAATAGCCTACAATAAAACTAGCAATCTGTGTATATGGATCATAGATGAGTGTGATGTTGCTTGATTTATCTCATGAAAATACTTGCGCCAGATAATACCAAGAGATAATGTGTTAATTTTTCTGCCATCTTTTGGCCTTCGAAATCCTAGTGATGATGATTAGTCAATACATGCTGCTCATTGTGTTGGTAAAAAAAAAAAAAAAAAAAAAAAAAGGTGTCCAACTTACAATTGTGCATTCTAAAATGTCTGCAAAGCTCATTCTGATCAAATAGTGTAAAGGATAAAAGAACAGGAAAGTATTTTGTCCAATACAATTGTTATACGCTCCAAACGGGGCCCCAATAAGAGCATCGCAGAAGGCAGACATCTAGCAAAAGTACACTTGTGAGCCAATCTATATTCTTTTTACATAAGCTGTTTGCGTAATCATACCTTATAATTCGACTTCTCTAAAGCACAGTGCTTTTTAGCCTGTAATTCCCTTTTCATGAGCTCTAAACACCATTGATTACCTTCAAGAAACGCATCACTGCTTTTGCCAGCCAAAATCGTTTAAAAGCTCCGCTTGATATTCTGGATCGATTCGTTGATTCTGAAGCTTTTTGAATTCAATTCGACCTATATTGACAGATTCGACTATGTAAATCGCGATGACCATCCGATGCTTCCTATTGCTTTTCTAAAATACTTTTCGAGGCGCATCCAGTGGTGCCAAGTGAAACAGTCGTTTTGAATAAAGTCATTGCGCAAATTTAGAAAATATGAAATGAGCTTTTTGGCCAAAATGTCGAGATTTCACATATGAAAGTTTCACAAACAAAGTTCTAAGGGCTGCTTTAGATCGAGAGGAATATTTTGAATCCATATCATAACATAATAAATGTTCAGTACTTTTGCACTTTACAATCCTAATATGGAACCTGAGTTTCAAGGCATCTATCTGTCCTGGCTCATATCATAACATAATAAATGTTCAGTACTTTTGCACTTTACAATCCTAATATGGAACCTGAGTTTCAAGGCATCTATCTGTCCTGGCTCATATCATAACATAATAAATGTTCAGTACTTTTGCACTTTACAATCCTAATATGGAACCTGAGTTTCAAGGCATCTATCTGTCCTGGCTCATATGAGAATAATGATTTTACAATCAATCAACAAAAACCACTGTTATTTCTACCCTCTTTCCTCTGCTCAATGCTGTCAATGTTTTATTTGAGCGACGTCTCAGAGCCTCAGAGATTTCATTACTTACTGCAGACATTTTATGCAACCCATGCATTGTCAATGTCCAGACTAACGTTATTAAATATAGAATGCAATAAAATATCATTATGAACGATATAGAAGGCAATAAAATATCATTATAAACGATAGTGCTATGACCTTCCACCTACTTTCTATACGCTTCGAGGGCATTTACTACTGTATTGCCTTATGAAAAGGGCATGAGTTTTCCAGCTGGCCCTACCAGCCAAAATTAATTCAAACCCAGAATCATAGTCTGTTCCAGATTGGACAAATTTTGATGATCCTGGACTCGATCGAGCTATTTTTGCAGATTCGACTAAGTGAAGTATGATAATCACCCCATGCTTCCTTAAGCTTTCCTGGAGTACTTTTCAAGGCGCTTCCAATGGTACTAAGTAAAATAGATGTTTTGAAATCACTTATTGAATGATTTGTAAAAATATGAAAAGAGATTTATGGCCAAAATGTCGAAATTTTACATATCAAAGTCCCACAAAGATAATTTCAGAGGTTGCTTTGGATTGATAGAAACATTTTGATTCAAGATATACTATAGTAAAAGTCTTCATTTTCAAGATGAAAAATGCGATCGTTTGATTTTCGATGAAAACCATGAGGGATACCTCATGCTTTTTGGTCGATTTTTGACCATGTTTTTTTGGTCCCCAAAAAGTCGAGCAAAAGTGTCAGAAAGGAACTGCCAGATGAAAGCAACCATTTGGGGCTATTCTGACGATCTAAAACGGCCTTGAACGCAAGAAAATTCAGCTCAAATGCACTCATACTTTGCTGTATTAGGGACACTAAGGACTAAAAAGTGGGAATACCAGTATGCTGCTTGCCCGTATATGAAGTAGCTACGTGTATATGGATGTAGAACATCACATAAGAATCAGATCCACAGATAATATGAAGGGTTACTATGTGTAAGTGGAGGGTCAAAATGAAAGTAGCAGTATTTTGATAAAATACGCAAGAGCAATCAGTAGCACGAGCTGCCGCTGCGCAGGTTGGTTCTCTACCTTCGCTACGCTTCGGTGAGAACCATCCGAAGCATAAACACTCATATGATTAGTGATTATATATCAATCAACAATCAGGGTTCCTCTTCTAACATTTTAGCTATATTAATTTTGGGATATTAGCCAAAGGCCCGCGGCAGCGCGAGCCGTTTGAACGTAGGTTGGTTTCCACCGAAGCGAAGCGTAGGTCAGGAAACCACCCGAAGTGCTGAAAGGCTCGTATGCCTTAGTAAAAGTCTTCATTTTTGGTGTCAAAAATGCGAACGTTTGATTTTCGATGAAAATCATGAGGTATCCCTCATGCTTTTATGGTCGATTTTTGACGATCCCAAAAAAGTTGAGCAAAGGTGCCAGCAAGTTAGTGCTAGTGGAAAGCAACTGTTTGATGCTACTCTTGAGGTCCAAAATGGCTTGTAGCACGAGAAGACATCTCTCAAATGCACCCAATTTTTGCTGTGATTTGCATATTTTCGAGTGAAACGTGGTAATGCAAGTATGCTATCTGCCCTCTTTTGGATTATTTCTGTTGATATCTACTTGGAGCATCCTAGAGGAGCCGTATCCACAGTTGCAAATCGTTTGCAGCATGATTTTGAACCGTCAAAAAGTGATATTTCAGTGTAATGAGTAAGTTGGTCGATGATTCCACATGAATAACCAAAAGCATTCAAGTGAGATGTCTACTATTTATGATGTGGAGAAAAATGGAACAAAAGTAGCCAAGCAAAATTATCAACAGGGTTCAACAACAGTGAATAATAAATGCAAAAGCGTTATTAATTTACAACATCATACAAATTTATTTAAATTTAATTATTTTTCTTTCAATAAGAAGGGGGATTTGGTTTGGGTTTGGGGAAATGAATTAGTCTAATAAACAAATTACTGTGCCAAAGCAACAGCAACACTATAGGCGCCACTATGGCTGATGGAAACATTTACATTCTTGATACCAGCGGCAGAGGCTGCGCTCTTTGCCTTACCAGTCAAGACAACTTCGGGAGCACCAACTTCATTGCTCTTGATTTCAATCTCGTTCAAAGGGGCACCGGCACCATCTGAGGGAATGTTACCGTAAGAAGAGATTGCCTTGAAGACGGCTTCCTTGGCAGACCAACGACCTGTGAAACTGGCTTGGGGATCGGCACGAGCTTGACAGTATTCGATTTCGGCTGCAGTAAAGTTGCGTTCAATGAAGGTAGAGTTCTCAATGTTGACAGCGTTGGTTAATTCGACATCAACACCAACACCTCTCTTTCCAGCTTGTTGTTCAGTGAGAGAAGCAAGGATGTTCTTGGTAACTTCGGCATCACCAGCTGTGGGGGCAGCGCGGTTAGCGGATTTGTTAGTAAAGTGCCATGTCTTCTTTTCCTTGGAGTATTCAGTGCGAGCACTGGGGTTCAAGTAAACAGCAAACTCGAGATCATCAGAGTAAGGAGCCTCGTTCTTGACTTGGACAAAGTCAGCAACACCAGTAATGGAATCGTGGAGATAACGGTAGGTCTTGGCGTAACGTTGAGCGTTCTTGGCTATGTATTCATTGTATTGGCTTTCTTCCAAAGCACCAAAGACGTAGTCAGGGTGAATGATCAAGACTTCACCACCAGCTTGACCGAAACCGAAAGACTTGAGGAGACCAGCCTTCAAGCCATCAGTTTGGATAGAACGAGAGGGATAGACAATGAAGTCAAAGTCCTTCATGATCACATCCACGTTATCAGCATTACGGTTACCAGGAACAATACCACTGAGCAAACATTGCATCATACCATTAGCCATCCAAGAAGCAGCAGGACCCTTGGGGTGACCAGTGAGATACTTTTGAGTGATGGCCAACAGAGCATTACCCTTGGAACGGCCCAGATGCTTCAATTGAGAGTTGACGACACGAGATTCGTTCTTATCGTTGGCCTTTGTAGAAGTACCGTGGAAAGAGGCGACACCAATATCATCAATAGTCAAGCCATAGACAGCGAGAGCACCACGGATAGGAGCAATGTTGGAGTCGTTCTTGAAGAAGTGATGGTTGTAAGTGGCCAAACATTCCTTTTCTTGACGTTTAGCTTCACTGTGGATGAAGGTGGTACGCTCTTCGAGCCATGCCTTCTCATCCTCAGCAGCGAGTTCACCAGAAGCCTTGAGCTCTTCCAATTCTTCACGCAACACTTCGTATTCGCTTTCAACCCAAGCCTTGATTTGAGCACGACGAGACTTGACTTGTCTGGCACGGTAGTTGAAGTCCAACAAGGGAGAGGGTCTCTTGGTGATGTTTTCACGAGCAGTGGTCAAGATACCAGCACCAGGAGCAGGGACGGAACGGCCTTCCTTATCAGTGGCAGTGCTACTAAGAGCAATGATACCGTAGATGGGAGAACCAATCTCAATAGCGGTAGCAGCAGACATGAGAATGTGGTTGGCAGCACCGTGAGCTTCCATGAAACCATTTCTAGAGGTTGTAGCGGGACGAGACATCTCAGCAGGAGTACGACCGTGAGCGAGCTCTTCAACAGCATTAGAGGTAGCCTTCATGTTGGCAAATTCGTAACTGGATTCCTCAGTGATATCTTCAGTGGCGCCAGCAATCATGATCTTGGCTTTGCCAGTCAAGAGAGACTCACAGGCCAACTCGATAGAGACGGCAGATGTGGCACAAGCATTGACGGGAGTCTTGATAGGGCCAGAGGATGACAGAAGCAACATGTTGATCCAAGCAGGCATGGTGTTGATGAAAGACTCTTGCAAGATATCCTTTTGAACAGGCTTATCGAGGAGACGATCACGGAAGAGACCTCTTTGAGAGATTTGACCACCCACACCAGAACCAGTGGTGTTACCGATTTCAGAGACATGGACATACTTGAAGAATTCGTAAGGATCAGTGATACCAGCAGAAACGAAGGCTTCCACAGTAGAGACAATGTTGAACACAGTAACAGGGTCAACTTGGTCCACAATATCCTTGGGCACACCATAACGAGTAGCATCCCAGCCAGTGGGGATCTGGCCAGCAACAAGACGGTCGAAACGGAGAGCCTTGGGAACGTACAAGGTAGCACCCTTACGCAAGACAACACACCAATCACCATTAGCATTCTCATAGACATCAGCCTTGTCATCTTGTTGGAGCTTAAAGTGCTCGGCTTCCTCCTTGGAACATTCAAATGGTTCAAGATCATGGTCAACAACAATTTCTTGCATGAGCATTTTCTTGTCGGGATTGTAACCATGCATGACAGTGGGATCTACAATATAAAACGGTGAGTACATGCCTTTTTACCTCTTTCTCTTTTCAACATACCAATGAAACGAATACCAGTGTGCTCCAGGATTTGCTTTTCATACTTGGCCTTGATATCCTTTTCTTCAACAGGCTCACCAGACTTGGCGTCCAACCAACCAGAGTAGAATTTACCAGACTTCAAGTTACCATCATGATGCTTGATGAAGCCCATGATCCAGGCCATTTCAATACAGCCCTCAAGAGAGAACTCACCAAAAGCTTCCATCTCCCAACGAGTTCTAGCATTACCCCAAGGAGACACTTCACCGAAACCAGCAACAACAATGACTTGCTCAAGATCGAGCATGCCCTTGAGATGGCCCAAATGCTTGAGAGCATCATAGGGCTTAAGGGTAGGGAAGTCAAACTTCATGTTGGCACGAGGGGTGATGTTATGAGGCTTATGCTTGCGCTCAGCTTCTTCACCAAAGACAATCTTGAAATCAAGAGCATTCTCAGCATCAATAGCCTTGCGAACCTCAGCAGTTTCACGGATTTCCTTACGCAACTTGGCGCTAACTTCATTCAAGTTGGTGATGAATTGAAGGCCACCGTTGAGATCAGCCCAAACAGGTTCGTTTTGACAGAGTTCGACAATGGAAGGATGCATGAGACCAAGAATGTTGAAGGACATCTCGACAGCGGAGAAAGTTCTAACACCAAGGGCCTCGATACCTTCAGCCACCATGTTGTTGGGGCTCATCAAACCAGTACCGCGGGTCCAACCAATGACAGCACCAGCGATAAGCAAGTAGCTAGACCAGCTCTCAGAATACCAACGGTTGAAGAGAGTTTCCAAAGAGATCTTGGACTCACTATAAAGACCATCAGAACCAAAAGTACCGTGGTTAGGAGACAAGGGAAGGATGACTTGAGCAGGACGAGTGTCGGAACCAATCTTTTGCTTGTGAGACTTGACATTACCCAACATGCGAAGCAAGTTGGTCAACATGATACGGTGAGCAAGCTCAGACTTGGAATCAATAGAGTCAATCTCACGGCCATTCTCAGGGATAGCAGCGAAAGGCACAATGAAATCGAGATCCCAGTTGAGACCCTTGGGATCATAAATATAATCAACCAAGGCATCGACATCTTGCTTGGCACCTTGGTTGAAAGGAACGACGACGAGCTCAGAGCCTCTGGAACCATAGGCCTCATAGATGGATTGGAAGTATTGAGTGACTTCACGGCTGAAACGAGAAGTAGTAACAACGACCTTGGCACCACCAGAGATGAGGCCCTTCATGACTTCAGAACCAATAGAGTCCTTACCAGCACCAGTCAAGAGAACACACTTGTCAGCAAAGGTAATACCTTGCTCAGCAATTTCAGTCAAGACATTGAGGTAAGTGGAGGTCAACTTGCTGCTGAATTCCCAGCCAGAAGGATCATTGACATTCTTCTTCTTGAGATGCAAGAAGGGAATGGTCTCAGTCTTGGCAGACTTCTCAGAAATACGCTTACGTTCAGGGAGACGGTTGACAGTAGAGGCACGACGTTGACGAGGTCTTTGCTCTCTGATGATAGTGTTGGACATGGACATGGAGCGCAAGACATCAGTGTAGAGTTCCTTGATAGCAACCTTGGTGCTCTTCTTCATCTTGTTTTGGCTGCGAATAATCTTGTAGATACGACCAAGATCTTGTTGCACCTTGAGACGGTTGGAGAATTCAGAGACCTTGGAGCCGGCGGTCATGTCTTTGACATAGTCAGACAACTTGCGACAACCAGGGCGAGGCACCTCAGCATAGTTGATATCACCCTTCTCGGTAACATTTGTCTTGGGGCCGGTGGGGAAACCGACATCCTTGTAGACAGGGCTCTCAGTGAGAACATCAACACAGTTTTCAATAAGAGCTTGACCAAACTCCTTGGCAAGTCTGTAAGTTTCACCCTTGTCACCAGCACAGTTCTCAACGTTGTAGCGCATGTAGTCAATCAATTGAGGATAGGCACGGTTCATGATACGCAAGCACTTGGCAGTAACTTCACGATCAACAATGGCGAGCTTACCAAAGATAATGTCGTACCACATCTCCAAAGCATCTTGACGAGACCAGTTCCAGTAAGAATCGTACTTACGAGCCTTGAGAGGAGTGAAAGAGGGCTTAATACCATCAGCATAGATGTCACCGTGTTCAGCCAACCACAAATCAAGTTCAGCTTGTAACTTGGCAGTAGTGGTCTTCTCTTGTTCGTACTTTTTGGCACCTTCACGCAAGTCCTTTTGAAGATACTTGGCATACAAGTTGAGTTGTTGGTAGATCAAGGAATCTTGCTTGGCCTTCATGGCATCAAACTCTTCACTGTTGATGACAGCGACAGCAGCACCGCCGGCAGCACCACCAGCAGCGCCACCAGAACCAGGAGCAGATAAGGTAATACCAGCCTTCTTGGCGTAAGCTTGAGCAACAGTGTCTAACCAAGCCTTGGCTTCAGGTTCAGCACCGAAACGAGCAGCAGGCTCCATAGTGATAGCAATCAAGAGAGCACCCTCAATGCGACCAGGACCCAAACCATAAGAGGTAGAGAGGTAGGTCTTGACATTGTTCAAGGTGAAACCACCAGGCATCTTGGCACCGACCATCTTGGCAATCAAAGTGCTGGAATGCTTACCAAGAGTACCAGGGAAACTGTTGTTCAAGGCATTTCCAAGTTCATCCAAAGGAGTCTCTTCAGACTTTTCAGGAACGGCATTGTTGAACTCCTTTTGCAAATCACCAAGAATTTCGTTTTGGAGAGTAGACTTACCACCAACCAAATCCTTGATAGCCTTACCCAAAGGAACCTCATCCACAGTCTTCTTGAGCTTTTGAGCAATGACGGCATGAATGATCTCAGTAGCAGTGACAGGAACATCACTGACAGAGGCGGCAGGACCAGCAGAGGCAGCGGGAGCAGAGGCAGCGGGAGCAGCGGCAGCTACAGGAGCGGCAGCAGCGGCAACAGGAGCGGCAGCGGCAGAAGCAGATGGTTCAGTGGCAGCAGGAGCCTCTTCAACAGTTTCAAACTCGTAGTAAATCTCCTTGGCATCCTTGGAGATGGACAAGTTTTGACGACGGTTACTCAAAGCGTTATCGTAAGCTTGGTACTTCAAGTTCAAGGTACGGACAGCCATACCACTGAGAGTAGGAGAAGGACCGACTTCAATAAGACGCTCAATTTGATAGGTCTTGAACAATTGATCTTGGGTTTCAATCCAACGAACAGGAGAAGCAAATTGGTAAGCCAAAAGTTCAATCAAGAGAATGTAACCCAATCTTTGCTGTTGAGCAGGAGTGACATACTTGTCATCAGACCAGTTCTTGAGGACCTTAGCCAAACGAGGACTGGAGGTCAAACGGTATACATCTTCAAGGTAGCTCTTTTCAGTGCTGAAAGGTTGAGCAGTCAAGTTGGGAATGTACTTGGCAGTCAATTGAGCAACATTGATGTCAGAGGGGTTGAACTTCTTGGCCAAGAAGGTACGGAAAGGAGTAACACCACTGAGCAAGAAAGAAGAGTGGAAAGGTACATCGATACCAGGAAGAGGGACAGTAGCATGACCACGTTCCAATTGGACGCGACCCTTAGCTTGCTTGACCTTGGTCTTCTCAAATGCGCCGTCGATGATTTCAGTCAATTGTTGTTTGACATCCTCAAGAGACATGGTTTCCATCAACTTTTGAAGATCAATGTTGGCAGTCTTGATGTAGTTCAAGACGTTGGCGAGAGCGTCCAAGTTTTGAAGAGCACCAGCAGCAACATATTGCCAGTTTTCAACGTTGAAATTGACAATTTCCAAAACATCACCACCACGACGAGCAATGGAGTCAACAACATAACGGAGAGCAGTGTCATTGAAAGTTCTGGAAACACGAGCAGGGTTGACAGCAACCATACCATAGTTGGAATTGCCTTCTTCATCACGCTTGACAGCAGATTGCATAGTCATACCACGATAGAAGACAACATCCACAAGAGAGTCCAAGGGCAAGACATCACCAACAGAGGCCAAAGCAGCATACTCACCGAGAGAGTGACCAGCAAAAGCACAGTTGGCTTGGATCAACTCCTTAGAGCGCATGTCTTCAAAAGCAGCCTTCTCCATCAAGGTCAAAGCAGGTTGAGTGAATTGAGTGGCAAACAAGAGACCAGTGGGAGAACGGAAAGTATAGAAGGCAGTGCGTTCATGGATGGTAGGGAACAAGGGCAAGGTCTTGGTGGTGCCGTCAGCATCAACAACATCGTAAGACATGCTCATGTAGTTTTGACGAATCTTATTACCACGAGGACCACCAAAGTGGACAACCTTCTCCTTGGGGTTACTACGCACAATTTCAATAATAGAGAAACCATAGTTTTCCATGAAATGCTTATCAGCTTGGTCCCAGATAGCCTTGGCAACAGGAGAGCTGTCGTAGAGAGCCATACCCATACCTTGTTCTTGAGAACCTTGACCAGTAAAGACATAGGCAGAGACAGGTTGCTCGACTTCAGCAGTACCTTCAACCACCTTTTCATTGTTTTGGTTCACAGTCTCCACCTTGACGATCTTGCGACCATTCTTCATACCAGTGTGATACAGCTTGGTTTCGAGACGATCAGAAGGCAAGACCATACCAACAAACTTGACATCGTAGGCAACAACACGACGAGGCACATTGTCAGCAGCAAAGATTTCGACAAACTTACGAGTAGAAGCACTGGTCCACATACCGTGGGTGATAGTGCCAGGTAAGAGAGCCAAATCAGCAAAGTAAGGGTTGACATGAATAGGGTTGAAGTCACCAGAGACGTTGGCATAAGGCTCGTTAGAGGCAGGGGCATGGACAACAGAAGAGTAGGTGGATTGGCTGGGCATGACAGAGTAGCCACCGTTCTCAAAGAAATGGGCTTGCTCAATTTCTTGGGCATTACGCTTCAGGTATTCAATGACAGGGTTACCATGACTTTCACCAGACTCGTACTCGACCTTGGCAATCTCGACAAACTCTTTGGTGGACACTTGCATGATGACAGTACCGGTAGTTTTGACACTAGCAAAGACTTTCTTGTTCTTGTACTTGAGTTCAGTGTTCAAACGGAAGATCAAAGAGGAACCAGGAGCGATATCATGAGTATCCAAAGCATCAGTCCATTGCATCCAGTCCTTGGACTTGAGAACAGCAATATCCTTGACATCCTTGATCTTGAATTCCATGGGAGTTTCAACCTTGCGCTCGAAGGTATGCTCAAAGTCCTTGAAATCACCACGGTAGAGGAATTGACTGGTCACCTCAAGCACAGGCTTGCCTTCACGGACAATAGTACCCTTGACTTCAATCATCTTACCAGAATCAGTGTTGACGATAGCATTGATGTGGGCAAAGGTGTCAACGACATCGCCAACCTTGAGGAGCTCAGAACCATCCAAAAGACGGTAACCGTTACCCAAGTGGACAAGTCTCAAAAGATCACCATCGATCACCTTAGGGAAGATGGCCTTCATGATAGCCTTCCAGCCAACGACAATAGCGAAATCCATGGGAGCATAGACAACCTTTTGACCACGATCAACAAAGACCTCAGCTTGGTTACCAACGGCTTGACAGAACTCCTTGATCTCTTCAGACTTGACAGTTTCATCCTTACCAATAAGCTTCTCGTGGACAGGGATGTTCAAGAAATCATCAGTGTTATCAATACCGAACCAGAGCTTGTAGTAAAAGTCCTTGATACGGTCATTGCGACCCTCCATGACTTCGTGGACAGGAGCATAACCAAGTTCAGGCTTGTACTCAAATTGCAAAGACAAAGGAATCAAGTCATTGTCTCTCTTTTCATAAAGCTTGACATCGATCATCTTGCCAGAGAAAGTAGCTTCGACAGAGGGAACAAAGTCGTTAGTCTTGGCAGTAGCACTCCAAGGACGCTTGTCTTCCACCTTGATAGCCTTGACTTCACCACTAGCATCAAAGGAAACAGTGACTTTTTGACCAGCACGGGGACGGAAGATACGCTTGGCTGGGTTATCAGCAAAACGCTTGCCTTGCACAATGAAAGGAGAGGTCAAGAAGGCACGAAGCCAGTTATATTTGGGGCCAGAGACAGCTTGAAGCCAGTCATTCTCGGAGGGAACCTTGTTAGCACTGATCTCAAAGACATGTTCAGTGGCAGAAGCAGCAGCTTCCTTGACGACAGTCTTGGTAATGGCAACACCGCCGAGGTACTCAATTTTGGGGATAGGAGCTTCCTTGTAGTAGCGTTCCTTCAAGCTCTTAATGTGGCTATTGTAGATGTCACCGAGGATCTCACCAACGGGTTGATCGGCACGAGTGGCATACTTGGCAGCAACAGGACCGTGAAGGATACAAGTACGTTGAACGTCTTGGTCAACAACAGCACCGAGATCTTCAGACTGCCAGAGAGAATCCTTCTTGAACCAGATGTCGAAATCTCTGTCCATGACAGGAATGAAAGGAACAGGCTTTTGAGTGGGACGCTTACAAAGAGCAATGAAGTGGAGGACATCCTCAGAGGTCAAAAGTTGGGTCTCGGCCTCAGGGAATTGAGCCAAGAATTCTTCAGCAAAAGGCAAAGGAGTTTGCAATTGAGTGAAGTTTTGAAGCATAGAAGGACCAGACTTCTTGGTGAAACGCTCTTCAACACGACGCAAGAAATCGCCAACCAAATCACGGAGAGTCGAATCGATCCAGCGACCTTCGTGCTTGACATAGAGCAAGGTGATCAAACGATAGACAACTTCAGAGTAGGTCATATCTTGCAAATCAACAGCCTCACCAGACTTCTTTTGACCAAACCAGACCTTTTGGAAATCAGCATTCAAACGCTTGATAATGTAGTCCTTCTTGGCCATCAAAGCAGGCAGACGCTTGTCCTTGGGCAAAGCAAAGATGCTCTCATCGAGTTCCTTCCAGAAACGAACACCACGAGTGGCGACCTTGTGGATGGGCTCACCAAGTTCAGAGAGAACAGTGATAATACCACCAGCAGGGCCCTTGTAGGTCTTTTCCCAATCAGCATCGTCAACACCAGCAGCATCGACCATGGCTTGCTTGGCAGCAGGAGAAGCTAAACCTTCCTTGGCAACCATCATACGAGAACCAAAGAGAATACCATCGAAGGGCATGGGAGGGTAGTCAAACTTGAGAGACCAATCACCAGTGATGTAGGGCAAGGTATCATCAGCACCACCGAAACCAGAACCAGCAACGAGCACAATGTTGGGTTGACGACGGATAGCAGCGTAAGTTTCAAGAATAGGCTGATGAACATCTTCAAAACCGTGATGCCCACCAGCACGGCCACCAGTCCATTGCAAGATAACAGGCATGGTGGGATTGGCAGCGGCAATAGCAACGACATGACGAATGGAATCAACGCTTCCAGGCTTGAAAGCAACGTGACGGAGACCAGCAGCTTGCAAGTTGGCAATAATCTCGTTGGCATTCTCAATACTGGGGACACCAGCAGCAATACAAAGACCTTCCATAGGAAGGCCCTCCTTGCGCATGACTTGAATGAGAGGATATTGGAAACCCCATTGACGCACATTCAAGAAGATGATGTTGAGAGTGATACCTTCACCAGCACGAGTGAGTTTCATGATCTTATCGACCTTATCACGAAGCACTTTCTCATTGAAATGTCCACCACCAGCAACTTCAATATGGTAACCAGCATTCATGACAGCAGCAACGAAGTTTTCATTGACAGTTGCGGGAGTCATACCAGCAACCATAAGTGGAGGCTTACCCAACAAGCGAGACATCTTGGTATCAAGATGAATACGGCCATTGCTATTTTACGAATGAAATCAGCTTACCACGCCCTGTTTTGTAAAGCACACCAGCCACTTACCTAGTAGTTTCGACCAACTTGGGTTGGAAAACCTTGGCCCAGTTTTGGGAATAGGTGACAGCACGAATATCAGAGTCGAAAAGATCAGCCTTATAGGAGACATCACGATTGGCACCCTCAAGAGCACCAGCCAAAACAATTTGAACACCAGTACCTTCCTTGTTACGGTGAGTCAAACCACCAATGCCTGAAGCACCACCTGGTCCGAAATCAATGATGTGAGTCAAGTCCTTTGAGGCAATAGCACTCTCCCAATGAACATGATGTTCACAAATAAGTTCCAATAATGACTTGGTGAGATCGCTGGATTCACGAAGATCTTTGCCTATCGTTGATAAGGTTACATTAGTACACACTTCCACACAAATCTTGCCCCAACGCCCCACTCAAAAAATTATATTGGTTCCGATATCTTACCTGAATCTGTAGCGTACACAGGGACCTTGAGATCCTTGGAATGGAAACGAAGATCATTCTTATCACAGTCTTCCAAGATGATAGAGACAGCAGACTTCAAGTAGATGCTGTGGAAAGGTGCAGTGATAGGCAAGAAACGAGAGGAGAACTTGATTTTACGCTGAGAGTAAGGGACACGAGATTGATCGAGACCAGTAGGTGCCTTGAGCTTACGCAAAGAGAGGTTCAAACCGTACAAAGATTGAGGAGGACCAGTGCAGACAAAAGAACGAGGTCCGTTGTGCAAGGTAATTTCAATTTGACGCTCAGGAGCAAGATGAGAGTTGGTGGCCTCAAGGTGCTTCAAAACTTGGTTCTCTCTGAGACCAGTGACAGCCAACATGGGAGTAGGGTTACCCTCATTGTTACTGATGGAATCTTCAAGAACAGTAGGGTTCAGGGTAGTAGGAGGGAATACTTGTTGAGCACGAGTACCAATCCAGAAAAGAAGACCCAAAGCCTTCTCGGTATTGTTGATGAACTCCTCTTCAGTGGAAGAAGCAGAGATGACGACTGAACTGATGATACCTTGACTGTGACCAGTAGTACCTAGATGCATCATCATACACTTAGCATTCCAACCCCACTTGCATATACACTTTTCACTTACCTTCAAACAAATCGCGAATCTCGGCAGGAGTACGATCAAGCACACGGAGCATAACATAGTATTGGAGGATCTGAGTAAGACCAATCAAGGGAAGACTGACAGGAGCAGAGATGAGGTATTGGACATCAGGTCTGACCTCAGCATCATCCAACCAACGCAGCACATCCAAGCCCTTAGAATGAAGAACCTTGGCTTCAGGACTACGAGCATAGTCGGCCAATACACCAGCCATACGGTGAACAAAAGGCTTGACGATACCTTGGTATGTCTCCCAAATGTCGGCAAGCTCATCGAAATACTCTTCAATATTACCTTGACCACCAAAGATGGCGAAAAGCTTAGCATCGCCACGAGTGGCAGCTTCAAAGAGGGCAGATTTAGCAGGAGCGGCTTCCTCGGCAGTCAATACATCATGTTCCTTGAGCACGACAAGAGCAGAAAAGTAGGCTTGAATAACAACCTTCTTTGACTCGGGAGAAAGAGAGCGGGTGATGGCATGTACATCATTGTCCTTGAGGTATTGGGAACCGAAGTCAAGGAAGAGTGTGCGTGCAACAGGCAAGAATTGAGATGCATTGGCAGCACGTTGAGTGGCGAAATGTAAGAACTTGGCAGCAAGTTCAATATCAGTGATTTCCTCAACGGCATCTTCCTTTGGGAATTCCTCTCGAAGTTGTTCAGCTGGAACCCAGATGTTTGTAGGTACAAGAACAGACACTTCGGTGGTGTTTTGTTTGATAGACAAAGGACGCAGAACTTGTTGATTATCCATTTTTATATAAATAGTTGATTAATATTATTTATGATTGCTGATGTTGTTGTATAAAAATGACTAGAAGACATACATTAATCTCCAAGCATTTCTGCGTGAGATGTGTTCTTTATCTCACCTTCTAGTAAAATATGTAAAATGTAAAAAAAGTTGATGATTTGACACTCTTTCTTCTTTTTTGTATATGTAACAATTGTATGATGTTGTATATGTTAAGATTTGTTGCACAATTTACAAAAAAAAAATGATATTCAAAAGATTTCTTTTAACGGTTGACAATTGGATTTTGATACTTTGTTTCCCCAAACAAAGTAAAAAATAAAACTGTTATAAAAATTAATGAATAAAGAAAAGAGTTTAAAGATGAAAAGGATCAAAAACGATGGCTTCAAATAATATCGTTTTGTAAAATTCTTTCGACCCCCATCAAACTAGTTTTGATCCCTTTTTTGGACATTTGGTAGGGGCAAATTTTATTCGGAGTGGCTCGGACTAAACAGATTCTATGTATATCTGTATTATAATCACCTCTTCTTCACCCCAAAAACCGACTGTTCAAATCGCTGTGAACTTAGAAGTGAACAAGTTGTCAATAGCATTGGCAAGAAAGCCAGGCGTGTAACAGTTGGGTTCTATCTCAAGAAAAAGAAGCTCGAACATTCTTACCCCCAAAATTGCATGATACATATATCAGATCATTGATTGACATGGACATTTGGTAGCATCTAACCTGCATTTTTACTCCATTTTGTGTAAATTCCAAAAGACATTTACATTTTCTAATTCGTCCCGATGGATGTAAAAATCTGAGATTTTTCTGAAACATGAAACTGACTCAATAGCATTCAAATCCCAGGTGTCAAGGCCTAATAAACCATAGCAAATTTTGTTACACGATCAAAAATTCGTAGTGGAATATGAATAAATCGCTCTACAAGTTTTCAACTTTCTAGGCGGACCAATTAATTGTTCAAACACGTAAGAAGTTTAAAGGTGTTTTTTTAGTCCAGTTATATCCTGCGCTCAACAACAAGAAGTGGGGTTGTAACACACTTTTTTTCTCGCTGTAAATGATACGATTCTGGCCGTATTTTACTTTGCATTGAAGTTTGACATGTTGCCTGTAGATTCAAAATAGACAAAATCACCATAGCAACGTTGTATCAGGCATCTCCGCTTAGGTTTACATGTTGAAACATTGGAAAAAGGTATATTGAATGTTAAATGTAGTGCTAAATTGCCCCACCGGCCCGGCGGATAGCCTTCCGGAAGTAAAACGTAGCAATCATGATAGAGTTTATGAAAAGCATCATCATGAATCAATTGCTGAATGCTCATCAGGGTTAATACTGTGTAAATCCAGCAAATGCTGTATATAACGAAAATATGGGGATTTAAAACTTTATATTTTTGGGTCAAACTGTTCAGGAACGCATATCTACTATCTGTCTACCCCAATACAAAAATAAGCCTGTAATTGTTTATGCGGTTAAAGCAAAAGCCAGGGGGTACACAGAGATCAAATTGAAATTACCTAAAAAAACTGAGTTCGTTTGATCTATACATTTTCTTGGGGTGATACAACGTGGCCAATCATGGCCCCTTTGCAGTAATTGAAAGGGATCCCCACCACTGACGAGCTCCTGTAATCAACTGTACCTGCTTTCTTCTAGAATATGGAAAGTCGATAATATAAAAGCGTAGTCAAATCAGGGCAAATGCCCCAAAACGACCGCTTATAAATTATATTATCATACATATCCAAATCGTGTTGCTCCAAGGTTGGTCAATCCCGGATTATCCTAACTTCAGAGGCCAAGCAATGACATCTACGCAAATACTTGATACGGTTGGATTTCCTAGTAGCAATCGATAAGCATTACGCTATTATTGACCATACCGTCATGAGAAATTGATCAGATATGCTGCTTTTTAGCTGCTCTTATCGCTTTTGATTGCAAAATGTTTGAGGCTATATCATGAACCCCATTTTTCCCGTTGGCTTATTGTTTTATTGTTACATTTGCTTCCCTAGCTCCGATGTATTCATATTTATCACCTTGAAACATTTACACCGCAGTAAACCTTTGTACGCCTTTGATAGGGTGCATGATTCTCCAGCATTACGCGTTGAGAGCCTTATGTAAAGTCAATTGAATCATCGGTCACTTTGATTTGGGGTAGACTTTGGCCATCAATCTCTGTTATCTCTGAGAAAGTTATACATTTAGGAGAAAACTCTTGCTGCAGCTGCTTTTGTACTATATGTCCCATCAAGCATTTGCTAGTTCTATGAGAACAGACATCCATTCAAAGTATTTATCAATTAGCAAATGCTTTCCACGCTTGTAGGACAAGCGATCCTATTTGATCAGACAATGCAGAGTATGACAGAATGAGCTAAATCATATTTTGCATTTCAACTAGACAATTTCAGTAGGTGGTGAGTGTAACATGTGCATCCCAGTTACAGTATAGCAGTAAGATTTCACTAAAGAACAATATCGCCTTCTACTATGGGGAAACAACGACGTGTGATCCCAAATATATAGATGGCTCGTAATCTCGCTTTGGTCTGTTTCGGAGCAAAGAAAAAATGCTAATTATTCAATCCAAATTCTACAATCTACTCTAACCTTCACATGATGGGTCTCATTGTTAATGGTTACGAGTGCTTATGCTTCGGATGGCTCTCCACCTTTGCTTCGCTTCGGTGAGAATCAACCAGCGCAGCGGCAGCTCGCACTGCCAATTGCCGTTGCTCATCTCATATTCTTCATGTTATCTATAGATCTCGCTCTAATGCGATGTTGCATATCCGAATACACGTAAATACTTAATATACCAACAAATAACATGCTGGCATTACCCTTTTCTTCTTAAAAATGTGTCTAATACAGCAAATCTGGGAGCATTTGATCTGTGTTTTCTCGCGTCAAATGCCCTTTTAGAATGTCAGAATAGCACCAAATGATTGCTCTCATCTGGCAGTTACTTTCTGACACCTTTTGCTCAACTTTTTGGGTACCAAAAAAACATGGCCAAAATTCGACCAAAAACCATGAGGGGTACCTCATGGCTTTTATCGAAAATCAAATGATCGCGTTTTTGACCTTGATAACGAAGACTTTTAATAAGGCATATATTGAATCAAAATGTTTCTATCGATCTAACGTAACTCCTGAATTCATCTTTGCGGGACTTTGATATGTAAAATTTCGACATTTTGGCCAGAAACCTCTTTTCATATTTTCGTAAATTACTCAATAAGTTTATTAAAGACATCTATTTTATTTGGTACCATTGTATGCGCCTTGAAAAGCACCCCAAGAAAGCTTTAAGAAACATGGGGTGATCATCATGTTTTTATAGTCGAATATCACAAAATAGTTCAATCAAGTCGAAAATCACTAAATTTGGTCAATCTGGAACAGACTATGTGATCTGAGTTACAATTAATTCTGGCTAGTGGGGCAGGTAGGTTATAATGGATGCTTTTGAAGCGTATGGAAGTAATAGGCGAATTACATAGTGTTACTTTTAGCCATGCTATTTTCTTTAGAAACCTTGCATCTAATAATGCCAGTTCATTGAAATACTTGTAAGAGATCAACTTATTTCCTTTTCGAGGCTTTGAAAGTGTGTAGAGACAATCAATTTATTGTTTTATGATGTTATGATGTTATGAAGGTAGCAATGTGATTTATTTATTTGTACAACTGTATGTGTGCTATATAATGATATGATTAGAGACGTAGCGAGCTCCTAGGCAAGGCGAATAAAATGATTTTTATGAAGCAATATGTCTATGTTGTTCTCTCCACTGTTTGCTTGTTGTACTGCTTTGTTGCTGACGCTAAGACATCCTTGACACTGTTATGAGTGTTGTACCTGTAGATGCGATATTGAAGGATATCAAAGGAAGATTTCAAAAGTAACCAGATACAAAAACTAAATATTTATTAGTTGATTCAGGCACATCTTATTTATACGAAACCATCATCGCTAAACCTATCGCTCTACCTTATTGTTAAATGAGTTAATACGTCGAGTTCTGTATATCCAATATCGACCACTATAAAGAATCCGATTATCAGTTTAGTTGCGATGATAGAATCACAACCTTCGTTGTCATTCACAAGCACATACTTTCGTAACCAAATATATGTAGTTTACTTCTTGTTGCACCTTGTATCCCAACATACACAATGAGAAACAAAGTTAATCATGATCCGACTACTATTGAGTTACTGAACTTCCGCAGTTCTTCTATAGACTCATCAATTGGCTTCAGCTAGCATTTTGAAGCTGGATACAGCGTCGGTTAAGACAATGCATTCGATGGGGTTTTGTTTTCGCACCAAGAACATATTCATCAATTTAGGTAAAAGCGATTGGCAATCAACGAAAAAGACTTTACGAAGGCGAGGAGCGTGTTCAAACACGAAAGCAGCAAACGTTTTGTTGTAGCGCCTGGTCATGATGGTCAAGTATCGCATTTTGTGTAAGATCCACAGCGACGTTTTTGAGATATTGCCATTGAAAAAGACATTTTTATGAGGAAGAACCCCAAAAAAGTATTTGCGATAAACAATTGTCCTTTCAACCCCATGACTCCCATTTAATCAGCATCACAATCATCATTGTCATCATCAGAAAGGCATTTAGATCAGCCAGCAGCAATGCCGCCGCCAAAATTTATTCAAACTCAGTATTTTTTTGTTTGTTTAAGATTGGACAGATTTTGTCTTTTTCCGACTTCTTTAATCTATTTTATGATATTCGACTATATAGACTGTGATGATCACCCTATGCTTCTTAATACATTCTTGACGTACTTTTCAAGGCGTTTCCAATAGTACCAACTCTAATATGTGTTTTGACTGAACTTATTGAGCAATTTGGTAAAATATAAAATGAGATTTTTAGCGAAAATAGTCATATTTTGCATATGAAAACTTCACAGAAGTAGTGTCAGAAGTTGCGTTGGATCGAGAGAA